GCAAAATTCTGAATTTGTATATTTCCCTTTGCTCTTAATAAGACTGCTTTTAAAAAAAGAAAAATGCCATGTGCCATGAGGTAGGGTTAGAAGACGTGATCCCTAATTTGTCATATGGCAGCTGTTGCACTTGCTTGCTCACATGTATGCAGACACACTGCCTCTGTGTAAAGTCTCGAATGTTTGCACACTGGGCTTTTAAGAATTAACGTCAATCTCATATCTGTCTATGAGAAAAATGAGACTTTAGTTTTTGTTTGTTTTAAGAAAAAAACCCTGGGCTTCAATGAGCCATCAGCAAAAAATGTTGAGGCCATGACTATATGAATGAAAATAGGATGGTCTTCAATCAAAATGCTGTTAAACCTGCACCAGGCTTGACCTATTGTACTATTTGTGAACAATCTAGAAATTTCTGGGTTGTGATTGTATGCTAACTTGGTGATTCATGGGAAATCCAGATGGGAATCTAATAATTCTTTTTGCCCAGCATGCGGGATCTTAGTTCCCACACCAGGGATTGAACCCATGCCCCCTACAGCAGAAGGGTGGAGTCCCAGGGGAGTCTGGTGGGAATCTAGTAACTCTTGACGACAATGGGTGGTATTCTGTTTCATTTTACAGTAACAGGCTCTAGTAGTCACATACAAGTTGTTTTGTCTGTTATATTCAAGCGATGTGAAAGGAAGATGGATACAGATATTCAAAAGCTTAAATATGAAACAATGTTGATGGCCTTTATGTTTATGAGAAGCTGAAAAAGATGGAAAAAATGCTTAATTTTTTTGAAGATTTGCGTCCAAGTTATAGAGATATGAGTCAGGACATCTTTTAAATAGGAGCACACTTTTAGACTCTGTGCCTTAAGTCTTCATGGCAGACTGATTGAAAATGTAGCACTGCTCTGCATTTAACTATGGATAGTTGACATTTTAGAAGACTGGGTGGCAGAAAATTATTTTTATATAAAAATGGCTTCATCAAATGTGAACACTTTGCTAAGTGGCTTATGAAATTTACCAAATCTCTTGAAAAAGCAGCAGTTCAAAATGAGGTTGAGGGTGTAATTTGAAACAGGATGTCCTATTTTGTTGGTTTGGCTGCTTTGATTAAAACCTTCTGTGAGGCAACTTTCCTGATCGGCTGAGATGCAAGTTAACATGACAACAACATATTGACCCAGTAAACAAAAAGCACGATGGCTCTGTAACCATGAACAGACACAGTTACTTCACTGCTTACTGAAAACAGCACACCCTAACCCCTTAATCACTGCTCCCTGCCTCTCTTCTGCCCCAAGGGGGAAAAAAAACAGTTTCAGCAGTGGCTTCTTTTGGACATATGTAAATCCCTTCATGGAAAAGTTATGAAACTCCAGGAAATCGCTCCTGTGAATCATTGTAGTTTTTGACCCAGAACTTAGTTCCTATAATGCTTATTTCATGAAAAGCTTCCCCCAGCCCCCGTTTTTAGTGGTTAGTTTGTATAAAAAAAAGCTCAAGACTATAAATCTGAAAAACCATAATTTTCCCAAACAGGCAGGATTTTTAGCAATTAACAGGTTAAGCTCATTATTCAGACAAAGTCAAAGTCGCTGAGTATGATTGTATGTGTGTGCATGCCTGCTTAGTCCCTTAGTCTGGTCTGACTCTTTGAGGCTCCATGCACTGTAGGTGGCCAGGCTCCTCTGTCCATGGAGTTCTCCAGGCAAGTATACTGGAGTGAGTTGCCAGTTCCTCCTACAGAGGATCTTCCTGACCCAGGGATCGAATCCACGTCTCTTGCATCTCCTGCATTGGCAGGCAGATTCTTCACCACTGAGCCAGCTGGGAAGCCCCGTGATGGTATAAGCCACAGATTAATGACTGCTAATCACTATTCTAATCACGAATGTAATTATATGTGGTTGTTGTTCAGTTGCTCAGTCGTGTCTGATTCTTTGCGACCCCATGGACTGTAGCACTCCAGGCTTCCCTGTCCTTTGTCAACTCCAGGAGCTTGCTCAAACTCAAGTCCATTGAGTTGGTGATGCCATCCAACCATCTCATCCTCTGTCGTCCCTTCTCCTCCTGCCTTCAATCTTTCCCAGCATCAGGGTCTTTTCAAATGAGTCAGTTCTTCGCCTCAGGTGGCCAAAGTATTGGAGTTTCAGCTTCAGCATCAGTCCTTCCAATGAATATTCAGGACTGATTTACTTTAGGATTGACTGAATTGATCTCTTTGCAGTCCAAGGGACTCTCAAGAGTCTTCTCCAACACCACAGTTTAAAAGCATCAATTCTTCAGTGTTCAGCTTTCTTTAGGGTCCAACTCTCATGTCCATACATGAATAACAGAAAAACCATAACTTTGACTATATGGACATTTGTTGGAAAAATAATGTCTCTGCTTTTTAATATGCTGTCTAGGTTGGTCATAGCTTTTCTTCCAAGGAGCAAGTGTGTTTTAATTTCATGGCTGCGTCACCATCTGCACTGATTTTGGAGCCCAAGAAAATAGTTTGTCACTGTTTCCATTGTTTCCCCATCTATTTGCCATGAAGTGATGGGACTGGATGCCATGATCTTCATTTTTTGAATGTTGAGTTTTAAGCCAGCTTTTTCACTCTCCTCTTCCACCTTCATCAAGAGGCTCTTTAGTTCGTCTTCATTTTCTGCCTTAAGGGTGGTGTCATCTGCATAGCTGAGGTTATTGATATTTCTCCCAGCAATCTTGATTCCAGTTTGTGCTTCACCCAGCCTGGCATTTTGCATGATATACTCTGCATATAAGTTAAATAAACCGGGTGACAATATACAGCCTTGATGTACTCCTTTCCCAATGTAGAACTATGATTATATGTGTCACGTGGAAAAAATCATTCAAAGGACCCTAAGGTGATGATGGTATAGGCCACCATAACCTTGGGGTACTTTGAGATTTTGCATGACACATATAATTGTATGTCTGATTAGCATAGTCATTAATCCATTTCTGGTATGCATATTCTACGTTTATGTTTTAAAGCTCCTGATACCATCTTCATCTCTGTATGAGACAATTTAAGTGACCTTAGTAATAAGGGCATTGTGGCATTCTCCAAATCATGTGCTTGGCAATTTACTCAAGTAAAGTTGAGTACAATGTTTTTTCATTATTCCTATTTTGGGGGGCTTCCAGGGCTTCCCAGGTGGCACTAGCGATAGAGAACCCACCTGGCAATACAGGAGACTTAAGAGATGTGGGTTCGATCCTGGGGTCAGGAAGATCCCCTGGAGAAGGAAATGGCCACCCACTCCAGTATTTTTGCTTGGAAAATCTCATGGACAGAGGAGCTTGATAGGATATGGTCCATATGGTCGCAAACAGCCCGGCATGGCTGAATTGTCTTTGCACACAAACACTAATTTTTTACACCATAGCTTTATACAAAACTGTTTAATCTGTCTTCTGGTGGTACAGTATTTACAACAGAAATGTTGTATGTTAAATGGTGTACTTTTCAAGCAACCCAAACACCTGGTTAGCATAAATCTTTTAGTGGTAATGCCATTCCATTAACTCCTCTGTTTCCAGAACTCTGAAAATCTCTTTGCTAAAGAGTTGGAGAGTGACTGGGCATATAAACCTCAAATATTTCATAGCCCAATGGCTCAGCTGTAAAGCACCTGCCTGCTAATGCAGGAGATGCAAAAGATGTGGGTCTGATCCCTGGGTTCAGAAGATGCCCTGGAGAAGGAAATGGCATCCCACTCCAGTATTCTTGCCTGGAGAATCCCATGGACAGAGTAGCCCAGCAGGCCACAGTCCATGGGGTCACAAAGAGTCAGACATGGCTGAGCATGCATGCACACACACACACATTGCATAGCCATGAGAATTAAGAAACACTCTTCATAATAGTACATGAGACTTTATAAGGAAAAAAATCAAGTTGTCTCTGGGCTTCAGGTTATTAACCTCATGGTCAAATAGTCTGTTTAATTTATGACTTTATTTTTCCGTTTCTTAATTCTGGATCCAAGGGCACTAATGATGTTTATATAAGAAGTACTTTCTTGGATGGAGGAAAATAGCTTTTCACATTATAAAAACAAATCCAAAATAATAAGCATAGAAACCCTAGGAAGAGATACATCTTGAAAAAATCTTGCCTACGGCAGCTGTTATTCACACTTTTACCTTATGTGTCATGAACACAAATGTATACAGATTTAGGTTAGAACATGAATGCATTTTTTTGTATGGTTTGTTACATAATGTTAATTAAATGCAGTCAATTGTTGTTTTAGTCACTTTTAAAAAAGAGAAATGCAAACGTAATTCATCTCTAATCCAGGAGTCCTTGATAGACTAATGTCACAGGCTTATTTAATACTATATCTCCCCATTGTTCTTCACTACTTCTTTCGGCTACATCCTGACTCCCACTTTTTTTTTCCATTTATTTTTATTAGTCGGAGGCTAATTACTTTACAATATTGTAGTGGTTTTTGTCATACCTGACTCCCACTTTTATCATTTCTACAGAATCCTTAGGCATTTCATCTTATCCAGGCACATTTTGTTTTATTGCACTCTGCATATATTGTGGTTTTTTTACAAATTGAAGATTTGTGATAACCTTGTGTTGTTTCATGATGGTTAGCATTTGTTAGCAATAAAACATTTTAAATTAAAGCATGTACTTTTTCTAAAAAACAGTGCTATTGCACACTTAATAGATTACAGTGTAGTGTGAACATACTTGTACATGCACTGGGAAGCCCCCAAATTTGTTGATTTCCTTTGTTTCAGTAGTCTGGAACCAAACTCGTGGGATCTCCAAGGTATTCCTGTTAACTTGCAGAGGCGTCTTGTCTGGTTTTATGACTGATTTAATGACTTTAAAACATTTGGCTCCTTAATTTACAGTTAGAAAACACTGGAGAGGCAAAAAAAGGAAGCTCTTTTTTTCAAGTTGTGGTAGTTATACCGAACACAAGATTGATAAGGTATTCATTCCCTCCTTCTTCATTTCAGGGCAGACAGCTTGATGTCGGCACACCTCACAATCTGAGTGAACCGGTGAGTAATTGCTTCCACTGCCTGGGACTTTACAGTGTTTGCATTGATAAAAAAAGGGACAAAAGTCAGGTTTGATTATCGTAATAATGAATCCTAAGTAAAAGCTCATTTAATTGTGCCCGATGGCGAAAGCTGGATGGAAAATAGCGAGAAGTCTGCATCACAGATTATTCAAACATGAGTTCAGGGACAGTGCGTTGAAGTGGAAAGAACATAGGACTAAGACAAGACCATGATTTTGATTATACCTAGCTGTGTTCAGTTCAGTTCAGTCGCTCAGTCCTGTCCGACTCTTTGCAACCCCATGGACTGCAGAACGCCAGGCTTCCCTGTCCATCACCAACTCCCAGAGCTTGCTCAAATTCATGTCCTTCGAGTCAGCGATGTCATCCAACCATCTCATCCATCCAACCATCTCTGTCTTCCCCTTCTCCTCTTGCCTTCGATCTTTCCCAGTATCAGGGTCTTTCCTAATGAGTCAGTTCTTTGCATGAAGTGGCCAAAATATTGGAGCTTCAGCTTTAGCATCAGTCCTTCCAATGAATGTGGCTTTGGCCAAATTACTTAAAATTTCTGAGATGTAGTTAAAACTACTAAAATATGGGTATTCTGAGAGGATTGGATTAGACAGTGTCTGCTCTTTCCTCTATCAATTACATTTATGGTCTTATTTCTTTCCTGCGCCTGTATCCATTTACACAATACATGTTTGGTGACTCCAAGTATAGGTATGAACTAGGCACTGTGCTGGGTAGTAGAGACTTAAGAATGAGTAAAATAGAGGCTCTGTTTCAAAGGACTCACAGTCTTGTAGGAGAGACAGACATGTGCGTAAAATCATAGCCAGACAGCATTGTGAGAGTCAGAAGAGCGGTGGGTGGCAGGAGAAAGAATAAAACGCAGGAGGAAAAGCAGTTTGCTTGCCTGAGGGTCTTGCATGGCTAAAACTGGAAAAATGGAGTTTTCTAGAAGGACTAGAGGGGGAAGGTACACTAGTCAGAGGGAGCCCTTTGTGTCCAGACCCAAAAGTTTGAGACAGCTGAGTTGTGCAGAAAAGGAGGGGTACTTTAGCTTGCTTGGGGGAGTGTGCATGTGCAGAGACAGGACGGAGAAGACTGGGCTGACAAGCTAGGTGGGGCCAGATGGCGGAGAGCTCGGTGTGCCATGTTGGGAATATTTGGTTTCAATGACACACAGGGTTTTAAATAGGATAAGGACATGATTAGGTTTTGTTGTCCCTCATGAAGCTGTCAGCAAGCGGTGGTGGGCCCAGAAAAGCAAGGACAGTGAGCGAGCAAGGAATGGAGACAGAGTCCAGGAAACAAAGAAGTGAATTGGTAGAACTTGGTGATGGATTGTCCATGAGGATGGGGTGGGAAGGCAGTGACAGAAGGAGAAGCTGCTTGATTCCTGGCTCAGGCAGCTCAGAAGATGGAAGCATATTAATGGAAAACACAGGAGAGAGAGCAAATTCGAGGGTACAAAGGGAGGAATTTGATGTTTCATATGCTGAATGGGGGGCTCCCCAGGTGACCCTAGTAGGAAAGAACCTGCTTGCCAGTGCAGGAGATGTAAGAGACACGGGTTCGACCCCTGGGTAGAGAAGATCCGCTGGAGGAGGAAATAGCAACTTACTCCGGTATTTGAGGTGCTTGTCGGGACTCTAATGGAGCTATTTAACAAACAATTGATATCTGGGTCTGGAGCTCAGGAAGGGGTCTCCGCTGAAGTTCAAGTTCAGATGGTTGATACTGAGAAGGGATGTGAGCTCAGTCTTGGAAAACCTGAAGTGTGAAAAGAGAATAAGTTGAGGATAGGACATAGACATGAAAAGAAAAAGGAGAGGAAAAAAGAGATGGCAGAGCAGAAGGAACTGAGGAAAAGGGGAAGGCGATTTAGGTGTTACTGTGGCCTTGGACTGAGTGGTCCACACAATCTCAGGCACAGACAAACTAGGTAAGGAGGCCCCAGCTGAATCTGTCCAGTGGGAGGTCAGGGCGGCCGACTTCCCAAATTATCCACCTACCTTGGTTTTGATGTGCTGCCTCTGCTTGAGTCTCCAGCTTTAGGTTTTGCTTGTTGCGTGACACACCCCCAAAGACTTAAATGATGTGCTGACACCATGCGGTCCTGGACTTCCCCTGCCCCAAGCATCCAGGGGACAGTGTGTTCCCAGACAGTCCATTGCTCCCTGGGATCTAGGCCTGCCCACCCCAGGCTAGGCACCACTCAGCAACCCCGAGCCACACCAAGCCCTCCTCTCTGTGAATACAACAGCTCTGCTTAGAGTCTCAGAAGTCCTGATCGCCGGGAGGCCACAGATCTCTTGGTAGATACATTTCTACTCCAGGAACACTTTGCTGCTATTTGCACTTCAGGTGACTAGAAAAATCACACTTCTTCAGTCATCATCATCTCTTTCTCTTATAGTGCATCCAAGGATGTCATTTCTGGAATTCAGCAGATCAGGAAAACTGTGCCTTAAAGTGTGTAAGTATCAATTATGTTTCTGTTTTGATATGAATGTTTCCTTCAAGAGAATCATTCTCCATGAGGATTCCCATTTGAGTTTCCACTGACTTTTAATTAGCTTGCTTGACTCGAAAGCAAAAGTATGAATAATACATAATGGAAATGGAGTAATGGAGAAAATGAGATCAGTTTTGTTTTTTATTTTGATTAATTAATTTGGCTTTGTGGGGTCTTAGTTGTGGCACACACGGAATCTTGGTTTGCATCACGGGAGATTTTTCATTGTGGTGCATAGACTCTTTGGTTGTGGAGTGAACTCAGGAGTTCCAGTGTGAGGGCTTAGTTGCTCTGTGGCATGTGAGATCTTAATTCCTCAACCAGGGATTAAACATGCATCCTCTGCATTGCAAAGTGGATTCTTAACCCCTGGACCACTGGGGAAGTCCCCAAATCAACATTATTAATGCAACTGGTGAACCGGCAACCAAGAGAAGTTAATGCAAAGCATGGAAGCCAGAAATGACCAATTGCTCCAAACTATAGTGACCTTTTAGTAGAATGTTAAGTATTTGTTAAATTTCCTAGTCCTGTACTTCTCAAATTTTAATATGCAAATATCTGGGATCTTGCTAAAAATGCAGATTCTGATTCACTGGGTTTTGTGTGGGGAACTAGAAATTCTGTGCTTGTAACATGCTCCCAGGTGATGCAATGCTGGGTGCTGCCAGAACACACTTCGAAGGGACCTAGATCACGTTCAAGGTTTCTCTGTGGGGAATGTGGAAGCAGTCTAACCCAGAGGGCACACACACCTAGGTTTACTTCACTTCGTGTAGGAAATACATCCCCTAATACTTTTTCATTTTTCATTTACCCTGGCTTTGCCAATTAGTGTGTGACTTCATTAAGGTACTTGGTACTTTACTTTCCTAATAGGTAAATTAAGATAATAAGCGAATCCCTGCTAAGGATAGTGCTTGTTACACTATAATTAATTACTTCAATTACTTCAATCTCATGGATAAGAGTTTTGTAATTTAAAAATGGGTTGCTTTGTTCAGTTCAGAGATTAAATTAGTTAGGATCATGATAACTTTAGGTAATATTATTTTCTTGAACTTCCTTGGTGGCTGAGATGGTAAACAATCCGCTTGCAATGCGGGAGACCTGGGTTCAGTCCCTGACTTGGGAAGATCCCCTGGAGGGGTGGCATGGCAGCCCACTTCAGTATTCTTGCTGGAGAATCTCCATGGACAGTGGAGCTTGGCGGGGTAGAGCCCACGGGGTCTCAAAGAGCTGGACACGACTGAGCAACTAAGCACACAGAATATCATTTTCTATTAATGACTCAAATTACAGCATCGAGATTTAAATAAGGGTATTAATGTCTTCTTCTGTAGTCAGTCCTCACAGCCGTTCTTGTACTGTGTCCTCACAGATCTCAGCCACAGGAGTCACTTACACCCACTCTCCTGCTTGCGACGCTGTGCTTCATAGACTGGAAGTTACCAAAAGATGGAGCAGGTGCTGTTTGGACTTGTGAACAATCACACACTCTGAATACATTTTTCAGGGACTTCTTGGCCTGGTGGCTAAGACTCCACACTCCCAAGGCAGAGGGCTGTAGTTTGACCCCTGGTTGGGAATCTAGATCCCATGTGTTGCAACTAAGACCCAGGGCAGTCAAGTAAATAAATAAGCAAAAAAATAAAAACACTTCCTACTTCTTGGTAGCACACTGTCCAGATGGTAGTTTGAATCATTATTTGCCTAGTTACGTGTTTAATATCCTTTGCTGACATGTAGGGCCATCAGGGGAGGATGCTGTCTGTCTCGTTCACACTGTCCTCTGCACCAAACACAGTGAGGGGCACGTAGCTAGTGCTCAGACTGCACTGAGCGAGTAAGGGAATGAGAGGTACCATTTGTTGGGGGAATCAGTCCAGGAAGCAGAGTGGGTGCTGGAGTGGCCAGTTTGGGCAGAAGAATCTTCTGGCCTTTCCTAACCAGACCTACTGGTGGCTTTTCATTTCCGATTCTGTCTCCCTGGGCACCTACCAACATTCCTTCATTCTCTAACCTGGTCCATCATGGATTACTGTTTAGTTGAGACTTTCTAGTAGACATCATGTGTCCTTGTTTTTCCAGTGATGCAAAGAGCATAATTTTTACAGCAGTTTGTACAGTGAGTGGCCTTCCTGGACGGAAGGCCCAGCTCTGGAATCTTTTGCTTTTAATTATTCTTTATTGATTATTTTGTCGTGTGCTCATGCTCCATTGCTCGGTTTTATCCAACTCTTTGTGACCCTTTGGACCATAGCCCCCCAGACTCCTCTATCCATGGGATTTTTCAGGCAAGAATATTGGAGTGGGTTGCCATATCCTCCTCCAGGGGGTCTTCCTGACCCAGGGATTGAAGCTGAGTTTCCTGTATCTCCTGTACTGAAGGTGGATGAACCACTGGGGAAGCATTTTGTTGATGGTGGGGCATAAATTAATTTGGTAGAAATGCCTAGCTAAGTGTCAATAAAATTATTTACAATTTTAAAGATTCTAAGTAATTTTTCTTTTCTTTTTCCTCTATGCAGAATGAAACCTATGCTGCAGTTTATGAGGTGAGTGCCAGTCACTTGCAAAAAAGGTGTCATTAAACCCCACGTCTTTCTCTGTTATCCTTAAAATGCTGTTAAAATAAAGATAAAGAAAGCGGAGTCATTCTTGGTGCACAGAAATGTTCTTCCTAGGAGTGCTCTAACTCTGGGTGTAAAGATGACTGTATTTCCATCTTTGACTCAGGTATTTTCTGTGCTCTATATATCTATGTGCATATATAAAATGCATTTATGAATGTACATAGATGTGTGTATGCACTCATATGCATTCACACACGTACATATGTATTACTCTAATCTGGTTTGAAAGGTTCTTCTGATTCCTGAAGCCTGGGTGGTGGGAAGAGAGGGAAAGGCATAGCGGGGATACCCTCGTCTCTGCTGATTTCACCTCCTCCCCCTAAAGCCTGTGGGTTATCATTAAATACAGGGCATTCGAAGAGACCCTTCACTTATTTGTTTATTTATTTTCTCTTTTGGCCATACTCCACAGCAGGGATTGAACCCATGCTCTCTGCCTAGGAAGTGCAGGATCTTAACCACTGGACTACCAGGAAAGTCGCAGAAGAGTACTCTTGGGTTGCAATCTTATTCTTTATTCAGCAAACTCCTTTGACAACACAGCTTTTTAAAATTTAAATTTCAGTTAATTAATTTACTTCTTGCTATGATATTGAGGGACCTTATACAGACTCTGGCTGCCCAGGTGTCTTCCGATTACCCTCTCCTCTAGCCCCGAGGGAGGTCTCTCCCCTGCACCTGACCTTCTTCTCCTTCAGTCTTCTTCAGTTAAAATTTCCTGTCCAGGATTCTGTACCCTGCAGAATTTATTTTAGTTTATTTGACAATAGGTACTTATGATGAAACTGCATTATTTCTCAGTTTCACATCTATGCTGTGTTCTATTTAAAATGTCCTTGAAACCAGAGAACAGAACTATCCTATCTTGCCTGAGGAAGAGATACAGATGATCATTTATTAGTGAAATAGAAAAAATTCCTTTGAATAGAAAATAAAAGCAAAAAATTAAATTGGAATATTCTCTCAATAGTCTGTGGTGACCTTGTATCTGAGTGATTTTTCCTTGGGAGTGAATGGTGCTTGAGTTAGGTAAGAAGAAATAAAACAAAGAGGAAAAATTGCTCCTTATATAAATAGACAATTAAAGCTTGTTCCTGGATGAGATTAAAAAAAAAAAACAACTGCCTGAGAACTCTTTTATGTGACCAAAACAAAAGCAGCAGCCAAAATAACAGTCCCTTTGAGGATTGCGATTAGAAGCCAGAGAGAGCAAAAGGGTCTGAAGCATCCAAGCCGCTCAGGACTGGGTTTCTTTCTCTTTTTTTAAACTTTGTTAATTTAAAGCATTTTTTAAAAATTGGAGGATAATTGCTTTACAATGTTGTGTTAATTTCTGCTTTACAACAATGTGAATCAGCTGTATGTATACATATATCCCTCCCTCTCAAGCTTCCTCCCACTCCCTGCATTCTGCCCGTCTATGTCATCACAGGACACAGAGCTGAGCTCCCTGCGTTATGCAGCAGCTTCCCACTAGCTATCTATTTTACACATGGCAGTGTATACTTATCAATGCTCTTTTCTCAATTCGTCCCACCCCCTTCCCGCCCTGTGTCCACATATCCATTCTCTGCATCGGCATCTCTGTTCCTCGAGGACTGGGCTCCTAGTGCGATAGTTCAGTGTTCATCAGTATGCTGCCCACTCGCACTTATGTAACGTGGACCTTTGCTCTCTATTATAACATGTAATTTTCCATTCTTTTCTATTATATTTTGCTATTTTATACGTTAAATAATGTAGACCTGAACAGTCATACATGCTCGATAGAGGTGGAGGTAAAGAGAGAGATATAGAGATAGATATTTTTAACTCAGTTGCTCACACCTTTAGGAAATTTGACCTCCTTGACCATCAATGCTTCCAGCTAGAAAGCTTGGGATTTGCCCACGTGTTTCTTGGAGGGAATAGTTTTAGAAGTGGTAGCTTGCAAGATGTAACTTGGAAAATGATGTGAGCAAGTGAGATGGCTTATCCCTGATAATTCAGAACACAAATTAGGTTATCCTAATCTAGAAGGTTCTAAAAATGTTTCTATGACTTCTCATTGCCATTTGAGAAAAAGTACAAACTACCAGTGTTTGCTGGCTCATCCACCTCATCTTGCCTCCTGTTCCTTGTTCTCTGTACCAGCCATAATGGCCTTTCCCTCATCTTCAAGTCTATGCACCATATTCCTACCTCAAGGCATTTGCCTTTGTCCAGCTTTTTGCAAGGCCAGCTCCTTTTAATCACTCAGGTCTTGTCATGATGGTCACCTCTACATGGTTCTTCCTTACCACCCTAACTAAAGTTAGTCCCCTTCCTGTCTGGTCATGCCTTATGTCTTTGACTTTTATCTTCCTCATGGGTGCGTGCTAAGTCTCCTCATTCATGTCCAACTCTTTGTGACCTTTTGGACCATAGCCTACCAGGCTCCTCTGTCCATGGGATTCCCCAGGCAAGAATACATTATCCAAGCGTACTATTTTTTGTTAGTTACTTTGTTATTGTGTATTTTCTTCTAAGAGAATATAAATTATGAAGTCAGGGAACTTACTGGTTTTATACATTGTCATAGCCTTAAAATCGAAAGCAGTGCTTGGCATGTAAAAGTTATCAGTAAATATTTTTTGAGTGAATGACTTTTTAGGAGATGAAGCCACAATTCACATGGAGACTCTGCAATAGAGGCATCCAGGGAGGGTGGTGGGGCCTGTCCTCCTTGAGCTGCAGGATAACAAAAGGCACCCACAGCAGGTGTGACACTTAGGGAAACACAGGAGTGGAGCCAGAGGGATGATGGTAATAGTGATCTCACTGCTGCGAGAACAGAGACAGTAGACGGGTGTAGCCCCTGGGAAGGATGAACTTGGCTTTTGCAGTGGGAATGGCAGCTCAGTAGCCTGGGATATGTTGTATAAAAGCCCCATCCAGGGCTTTCGGCTCAGATTCTGTGGACTTCTTAAATCCAAATTCCTTTAAGTTCTCTCCAGGGCAACTTGAGTTTGAGAAACACTGGATAACTTCGTTTGAAGTCTAATGTTAGATTAGAGAGAGAGAGAAAGCAAGATAGAGGGTGGAAGGCACAGAAAGAGAGAGAGGGAGAGACAAAAGAAGAAAATCCTATTCAATAGCTTTGCCTCCACTTGAGATAACATTTAAACTCTCTGGAGTACAAACTTCTAGTTATGAGATTAACAAGTTCTGGGAATCTAACGTACAACATGTTGATTATAGCTAACAACACTGTATTATGTTCTTGAATGCTGCTAAAGAGTTGATCTTAAATATTCTCATCACGAAACAGAAATGGTAATTATATGATGGAATGAAGGTGTTAACTAATGCTATGGTGGTAATCATTTATCTTAATAAACCTGGGAAAAAAAGGCAAGCTTCATCGAAGTAAACAAAACATTTAAGTTCCTGGATAGGTCAGAACTAGCTGTATTACCAAATACTCATTATTCCATTTCCTTTCTTCTTCCTGAGTTGTCTTTCTTGAAAAGAAAATCCCATGTTAGTGATAATTTTGCCGCCACTTGGTACATTTATTCTCTGCAGTTAATGAATGTGTTGAGTGTATTTTACTGAAATCTCAAAGAAGATGTGAAAAGTATACTAGACCCTTAAGTTAAATTATCCTGAGCCCAGACTGAGGTATTTAATCCTTAACTAAGCAAACCTGGGCTTATCAGTCTCCACTTCCTTGGAGAGCACAGATCAAATATGGGACAGTTGAGTATTTGCAAATTAAACAGCCCTTCTCTACCTGGACATTCAGAGTACGTGCATTGAGTCATGGTTTCCCCTATTATCATGGGAAACAATAGAATGTTGTCCTAGATGTTATAATTATAAACCGAATGAGAGCGGGAAGATTGGTCATGATTGTGTTGTAGTTTTATGATGTGTGCATTTTCTCCTTTTTTTCTCTCCTCCTAACAATTGTTAACATTAAAAGTTGCAGGAAATTTGTGTCTCAGCCACCAAAATGTTTACTCTGTTTTCGGTTAATGAGTTGAGATGTTAATCAGCATTAGGTTTTTGTAGACCTTAAAATTTAACTTTGGCCCTAAGACATTCATTGAAATGTTCAGTTGCTCTAAAGTTTACAGTTCACTTTTACTTTTCCAAGGAAGGCATGGATACATAAAATAAATAGGACTCATTTTAGGCTAGAGTTGTAAGTAACTCACTAAACGTTTGACTAAGATAGCAAACATATAATTGCATTGTTGAGCTCAGTATTTTGTCACCTTGTGGGATGTCACCCATTAGAAGGTCATGAAATTAACTTACTGAATAAAGAGTCACAATAAATAAAATGACATAGAATAGAACATGTAAGATTGCATCACAGCTCAGGATTCCTTTTGGAGACGAAAATGTTCTAAATTCAAATTGTAATGATGATTTTACAATTCTTTGAATGTTCTAAAAACCTCTGAATTATGTGCTTTAAAAGGGTAGATTTTATGGTATGTAAAATATATTTCAATGAAACTGTTTAAAAAAGGGAAAAAACTACCATTTCAGCAATCTTTTTCACCAACTTGTATGTGTGTAAAAAGTTGTTTTGTTAAATGTATTTTGGAATTTGGGACATGGTCAAAAAAACCTGAAAGTTATTCTAATCCCACTAGCAAATGGGAACTTGAGTATTACAGCTCAAATTCTTGATATACAGGTATACTTATATATCAGGCATTCATATTTCCAAATTTGGTTGAAGCTTGTGAGCAAAAGCAGTACAAAGGCTGCACTGATGGGCATGCTGCCTGTCTTCCATAGCGAGAATCCTGTGAAGTCGGCTGCAGCAGTGGGGAAGGCGCGTATGAAGAGGAAGTGCTAGGTAAGCAGATTCACACAACTGTTATTGAAAACAATTTACACCACTCCAGGTACCTGTCCTAATGTAGGAGTAATGAGCCATCTCTTAAAATATCTAGACTTCTATGTCTCAGTATGATCTATATCTATCTATATATATAATTGAATATATATTTTTTATTAACTTCAAAAGTGGAATCCATATTTAGAGACTCAGCAAAAGTCTTCTTTCAGAGCAAAATAGGGGAAACAGCACATGACATGTTTAGAATTTGAGATTTTGCCCTCAGTTCAGTGGATGCAATCACTTCTCTCTTAATGAGAGAAACAAATGTGAATCCTGAGCAACTTGATATCAGGAAATGCCACTGTTTTAATGAACTGAAAGTGTAGAAATATTTTATTTAATGTGAATTTCATTACTCAGCTCACAGTTATTCAATTGACTGAGTACCTTCTATAGTTATGGCTCCCTACAACATGTTGGGAAATTTGCAGAATGTGTAAAAGTTACGCGTCTCAGTGTTAGATTTGGAGTAAGTAAAGAGCTTGACTGTATATGTCCCCAGTTCCCTCTGATTTATTTCAGAGCAGGTTGGGTGTCTTTAAGAGATTTTGCCTGAGAGTTTTAATTCTCTAGTCATTTCTGAAGGATCAACACTTTGATAAACTATAGCCTATGTTAGCAGCTAGCTTTTCCAGAATTCCCCAGTTTTTCCTCCCACTGGAAGATAAACAGTTCCTTCCGGAACAAGAGATGATTGGCTTTTCCATAAGCTACAGTCCTTGTTTCAATGGTTGATGAAAATTGGCAGGTGGATCTTGCCTTGCTATCCTGATTTGCTTCTGAATCAGAGTGGTGAAGAAACCTTATCCTTTAAGTTCAGGAAAAGATGCCTGCTTTCGCCACTTCTATAATAGTGGATGTCCTAGCCAAAGCAACCACGCAAGAAAAAGGCATCCAAATTTGAAAGGTGGAAGTAAAATTATCTTTGCAGATGATATGATCTTATATGCAGAAAACCCCAAAGATACCACAAAATACCCTGTTAGAACTAATAAACAAATTTGGCAAAGTAGCAGGAAACAAAGTTAAAACTAGAAAATCAATTGCATTACTATGCACAAATCTGAAAAGGAAATTATGGTGAAAATTTAATTTACAATAGCATCAATAAAATACTTAGAAATTAACCAAGGAGGTGAATGATTTGTGGAATGTGGAATGTTCACAAAACATTTCTGAAACAAATTAAAGAATGCAAGTAAATGGAAAGATATACCACATTCATGAATTTATAAACTTGGTATATTGTCAAGATGTCAATATTATCAGAGCAATCTACAGATTTAATGCAATCCCTATCAAAATTCCAAATACATTTTTGCAGATGTTTTACATGGGATAGAAAGACAGATTCTGCAATTTATATGGAATCTCAAGTGACCCCAAATTCTGAAAAGAACAGAGTTGGAGGATTCATACTCCCTGATTTCAAACTTATTGCAAACCTATAATAATCAAAAGAGTATGGTTCTGGCATTCAGAATTCTAACACTTATACAGTGTCTGGGAAGTAGTACCAATAACTTCATGTACCAATTGTAATGTTGCTAATGCTTAAAAGTCACGAAATATTTCACAATAAAAAAGAGCAGAATATAGGATCCTTTGGAGCTCAGACAGTTACTTGCACATATAAAAATAATGTGTTCGACACAATGGGCTATAGATAGATAGTGTAAAATTTTAAAATATCTTGAGATATGTACCCTGGGTCAGTGGATGGTTCTGTTGCCCTACACATACCCTTGGCACCCACCCCTCTAAACTATATTGAAGTGGTATGACAAGAGAAAACCAGGTAGTCTCAGAACACTCCATTTTGCTTGCCTGTAAGAAAAACTATTTTCAAAGATTAGATGGCTCAGTGGGTAAAGAATCTGCCTGCAATGCTGGAGACAAAGGATATGCAGGTTTGATCCCTGGGTCAGAAAGACCCCCTGGAGAAGAAAATAGCAACCCACTCCAATATTTTTGCTTGGAAAACCCCATGGACAGAGGAGCCTGGTGGGCTACACCCAAAGGGTCACAAAGAGTTGGACACGACTAAGCATGCAGGCAGGATGAGGGGAAAAAAGCTGCCAGACCAACTGGCTGATTTAAAGAAATAAACCAACTGAATTATAGGCATCAGTTACTGTTCAGATGAGTAACTGTGGCAAGATGTAGCAGGAGTGTGCTGAGATGAAGCAGGGACACGCTGTCCTGTGTCGGCAGACATGGGATGTGGTGAATGAAATCTTGTTTTCTCCCCAGAAAATGCAGACCTCCCTACTGCACCCTTTGCTTCTTCCATTGGAAGCCATGGTATGACATTACGATGGAAATCGGCCAACATCTCTGGAGTAAAATACATCATTCAGTGGAAATACACACAGCTTCCTGGAAGCTGGACTTACACTGAGGTAAGAACCACTGCCTATGTACCTGCGTGCCCGTTCAGTCATGTCCAACTCTTTGCGACGCCATGGATTGTAGCCAACCTGGCTCCTCTGCCCATGGGGTTCTCCAGGCAAGAACACTGGAGTGGGTTGCCACTTCCTACTCCAGGGGATCCCAATCCATGGATCTAACCTGTGCCTCTTGTGTCTCCTGCATTGGCAGGTGGATGCTTTACCAACCGCTGAACTTCAATCTTTGCTACTCTTCATGCTAAACCTTTTATTTTTGAGGAAAATATATTATTGGATATAGATATTATTCCTTCAGCTCAGCATCACATAACCAACTACTCATATCATTGGTCATTATCTGTCCATCCCATTGGAAATGAGGCCAACGAAGGTGGAGGTCAGGGAGGTCACCCAGGCGGGTCCGTATTAAGACAGCAAAAGCAGGTTCAGAGAATAGTCCCAAGACACCAAGTATTTTAACACAGAAAATGAAAGGAAAGCCTTGAGGTAAATGCCAAATAATTGAATCCATAATTTTGCAAGTTTGAAGAAGGAAGGAGTTTCGGTGTGAACTGTGTGGACTGAAATCGGGATGTCTCAGCTCTGAGACTCAGGCCTCGTTTTCAGCTGGCCTGCCAGGCCCTGTGCTGTGTGTGCTAAGTCACTCAGTCATGTCCCACTCTTTGTGACCCTGTGGCCTGTAGCCCTCCAGGCTCCTCTGTCCATGGAATTCTCCAGGCAAGAGTACTGGAGTGGGTAGCCATTCCCTTCTCCAGGGGATCTTCCCGACCTAGGGATTGCACCCAGGTCTCCTGCATTGCAGGTGGATTCTTGACTGTCGGAGCCCAGGGAAGTCCTGGATCACTTCATATCCGGAAGGCCATGCATCATCTACAAATGAATCTGTGCTCTTAGTTACAATATACAGAAGTGATTCCATAAATACTGACGTTTGATCTCTCACTGATTAGGCCGTGTCCAAGCTCTCCTACGTGGTAGAGCCCCTGCATCCCTTCACTGAGTATGTTTTTCGAGTGGTTTGGATCTTCACAGCCCAGCTGCACCTGTATTCCCCTCCAAGTCCCAGTTACAGGACTCATCCTCATGGAGGTATGGCATGCATACCTTGTTCAAGAAATCAGGAGTCACTCCAAAGCTTTGGTTTAGTTCACTTTCATTTTAAATAGTGAAATAGATTTATTCGTTTGTTAATCAATCCATCTAGCAATGGGGTACGTAACTGGGTGTCAAGTCGTCCTCTAGGTGCTCACCATGAAAAGTGAAAGTGCTAGTCGCTCAGTCCTGTCCGACTTTTTGTGACCCCATGGACTGTAGCCTACCAGGCTCCTCTCTCCCTGGGATTTCCCAGGCAAGAACACTGGAGTGGGCTGCCATTTCCTTCTCCAAGGGATCTTCTTGACCCGGGGACTGAACCCAGGTCTCCCACATTGCAGGCAGATTCTTTACCATCTGACCCACCAGGGAAGCCCAGGTGCTCACAATACCTCTGATCAAAACAAAAATCTCTGCCCTAGTGAAGTTCTCATTTTGGTGGAAAGGAAATTCCCTCGACAGTAAATCTAATAAATAAGGAAAGTATACTGTGAGTAGAAAGACAGTAGGTTGCTATGGTAAGAAAAATGCTTTGAGCAGGGCCTGTCCATGAAAAATGGGGAGTACATTAAAGAAGTTGGTCAGAATAAGCCTTATTATGTGATTAGGAGTTATGGAAGGTTTTAAAGGAGTAATTGCTTCGAATTCTCCTTAAAAAGATAATTGGCAAATACACATACAATGCATTGAATGATATTGAGAGATAGAGACTGGGAAGTACAGAGGAAGCAAGACCAGCTGGGAGGTTATTATTGTACTTCAACTTTTGGTTAGAGATTATTTTAAAAAATAGTCGATATGTTGGAACATTTTCTGATTACTTCTTTCAAAGATTTGACTTCCATACTGGGAAAAGGATTCAAGCCCAGAGCCTTTCAGAGCGATAAATGCCAGGGGAATACATTCAGTGAGAGTTGCTGCTGTTCTCAACATCTGAGTTAGCCGAGGGGACTTGGGAGGGCTTATTCCAAGCCAGATGGTAGATGTCCCTACCCCTCAGTTCTGGAGGATCAGCTGCGTGCAGAGACCCTCACATTGAACTAGGCCTTGGACCAAACCTCAGCAGGACAGCTGATGAAGCTGGTTGGGGCATTTTTCCTCTCCCTGATTAGTGCCTTTCTTTTTGCTTATCAGATTTTAGGGTACATGGGGTCCCTCTGCTGATTGTTCCCTGACCATCCTCAGGACCTCAGATTAGACACGGGTCTGGGGCAACATTTGAAATGTTCCAGATCAGAGTAGAATATATAGATCCTTTTTGTTCAGAGCAGTGCCTCATGAACTCCAACAGTATGGGAACATTTTCCAGTACTGGAGATACACTGTGGTCCAGGGCAGATGGCTAGTTAAGTCAAAGTAGTGAAGAAGGCAAATTTTGCTTTCCATTACTGAGTCTTTCTCTGGATATGCAAGCCCAAATACCCTCCACATGTTTCAGTTCTTATACTGGGTATCCTTTCCATGGATAACATCTCATGCTTCAATTCTGTCTCACTTTTTTAGCCACATCAAAACTTATAGAGTTATCCATTTTGTGTTCCATCATCTTGTGGCCCTTTTCTCTTTCAGCTATGGGAAATATATGACTTTAGATGGTTATTATCACCTTTTAATTGGGGCCCTTATGAAGATAATTTCTTAATCAGGTGGAATAATTACCTTGCCTAACCTGACCAGCCTTTTCAGAGACGACTTTTGTCAGGAGATTTGGACTACTCACAACTTGCCACAGAGGTGGCATGGAATGTACTTGCAGCGGGGTAGGTCATGCCTGTCTGGGTGTGGACTAAAGAGTTAGGTTTTCTGACATCCTGATTCCGATTTGCTAGGAGATGATTCCTACATCCCTGTTCAGCTGAGTCACTTAGTGTGCGGAGCTGAGGAGTGAGGCAATGACATTTGTGTTCGCTCAAGTTCAGTCTGAGAGTTGGGGAGGAACCACATCAGTTGAAGGGCCTTTTAAAAACACAGCCAGTGGGAGGGCTGCACTGAGGTCTCTCTCCCCGCTCTAAGGGGACAGGGGTGATGCAGTGCAACCTGCCAAAAGTTGTTAGAAGGAGAGAGTCTGCTGAACAGCAAAGTGACACCAGTCTGTCTTTCTATGAAAAGAGGACACAAACGGGTGTAGCTGCAGGGCCTAGGAGGTATGGAAAGCAGGTGGGGACTGGGCTGGAAGAGAGGCTGTTAGATCATTTGTTTTCCTTTCTGTTCTTTGGCACCGGGGTAGATGCTACAGTCTGTGGGTGAATGCTTGGTTAGCAAATGCATGCTCCTTTTCGTCCTTCGTGAGGGAAGGGATGCTGCTAAGGCACAGAAAATCCCCCCCCCTGGATTTGGGGGACCTTGAGAGCTGGGGGGAGGAGAGTACCGTCTGGGTCAGCAGAGCCAATGCCAGCAAAAGGGAAGCAGACTGTTCTAATCCAGGCTTATCTAAATCCCTATCTTTAGCTAGAACTGGACGGGACACAGGACTCTAGTGAGGGAAAAGGCCCCAGGCCTTACTTCTTTCAACTCATGTTAATCATTGACTTCAGTTTTGTTACAGAGCCTCTTCTTCCTAACTTGGTTCCATACCGTGTTTCAACTCAGTCAGGTATCTGGAGATTTTTAACAGTCCCCCCCCCCCCCCCCCCCCCTTACAGCATTATCCTATTTGTATACTTCCACATTTAATTTTATTGCATAAATTAGAAGTGAGGAAATAACACTTTCTTTAAAGAGTCCCTTAGAAGAGTAGCTAATTGATATTGTTTAGGGATCAAGAATTGTGGTTCATAGATTATCACCTCCTACCACTTATTACAACTATTAAAGAAAATATTTCATTTATGCTAAGTTTTCAAAAAACAAGACTTTTATTACCCTACCCTATTACATTTTTCTCTGTATATTTTCTGCTCATGGTGTTACCATTATCTCTTCTAGTTCCTGAAACTGCTCCTTTCATTAGGAATATTGAAAGCTCAAGTCCCGACACGGTGGAAGTCAGTTGGGCTCCACCTCAATTCCCAGGTGGACATATTTTGGGCTACAACTTAAGGCTGATCAGCAAAAATCAGAAATTAGATTCAGGGACACAGGGAACCAGTTTCCAGTTTTACTCCACTCTACCAAATACCACCTACAGGTAAGAATTTAGTGGTACGTGAAGAATGTGACCAGCATGGGTGCATTCATAATTATCTAAGAAATATGGCTACAAAATAACTTAAAATGTTATTTTGAGAAGTCTCATTGACTTTGTGCTGCTGGTTTGAAGTTGTGGTTTTCCTCAAGTTTGTATGCTCATTAGATTACACCATCCTAAGCAAAAGCATTTTCAAGCATTTCTATTATATTCAGAGAAAAATACAAATGTGGGCTAATAAATAAGAGCTAAAAAAGACAACATAAGCACCATCAATATCATTTCTTCATTTAATCCAACATGAAAAAAGTAAAGAGGATTCTGTTAATGGTATTTTTACATTAACTGTTAAGGGAATTATTTTATTATTGTTAGCTTTTCTAGCATTAACTAAGCCCTCCATAAATTAGAGCATGAATGAGGGTCATGCAGATAGCAGAGTTCAGTTTTCGACCTCTGTGACCCTGAACTATTCTGTAGGGAACGCAAACAAGGACATGATAGATGGTCATTGGTGCAGCGCACCAAGTAATTAGACACGCACATTGCCACCTTGTCCTTTAAATAGAAACGTTATTGCTCCTTCTATTTTTATCCTATGTTCACACCATGCCATGTAAAACACATCTCTCCAAATTGTTTTTGGAATAGGTTTTCTATTGCAGCAGTAAATGAAGTTGGTGAGGGGCCGGAAGCAGAATCTAGTATTACCACTTCATCTCCAGCAGGTATAGACTGGGGGTGTGCCTCCTGTTACTGGGAAGTTGAGGGGTGGAAGGGTGGGTTCAGGTCTTACAGGTCCTGAGTCATCCAGTGTTCTTTAAGCCCCTACTCGTCTGCCCAAATAACACTGTCTTGTGAAAACTTGATAAGTTTCAATTTTAAATAAGAAATCAGTCCCATCTGAGAAACAGGAGTAAGTTGTTAGAGCAAAGTTTTCACACTGAAATTTGATATTAAAAAACAAAAAAAAAGGGAATTAAAAAAATGGTCCCAAGCAAACTCTTGGTTTCAGTTAAAGTCACTAGTGATTGTGACTTTCATTTACATACTTAGGGAATACATGTATCCTAACCTCCGTTTTATGGGTCATCATTTAATAAAGATCAGATATCTTTTTCTTCTAGTTTCCTTTAGGTTTTGAAATCTATCTGGACTTAGTAAGTTACATTTTACTATTCTGAATATTCAAACTACCAAATTAACTTTTGTTATTATTTGGCAAATACCTTTTTTTTTTTTTCCCGGCTTCAGCATTTTAATGTTTGCCTTGGGAGACTAAAATATTTACTGCATGATACCCACGTAAGCAAAATTTTAACATAAGAAAATGCTAAGAAGCAACGGAAATATTTTGGGGAAAGTTAGTTCAAAGAGTTTCGAATAACCCATGAAAACTCAAACTACTAGGAGTGTGTTTTCTGTCTTCATGGCAACCCTGTTTGCTGACCTGACCTCCCATTCCCTGAATCTGCCCCCAGATATGCCAGTGGGTATTTATTGAATGTCATCCATTACTAACCTTTAGTTTCTTTGGCTGTTACTAGGCTCTAGGAAAGGAGAGGTATTTTTGTTATGCAAGAAGCATCCAAAGGACGAGTTAAATATAGAGCAGGTTTAAAGTCGTTATTACTGTGATTACTGCATAACATTTATTAATTACCCTCAAAGTGTTGATCAAGGCACAATACATCAGTATCCAGTCGAATAGGACATCACGCATAGTTCTGCAGTCCTCAAATTTCACTACTACAGCCTTTTCTCCTGCCTCAAAGGGAGAGATAATTGAAGACAAAACGGAGGCAACCAAAGTCTGTCTATATGTGTGTATTATGCAACCAACCCCTCCAGCCTGAGCTGGACCACCTCCACCAAGCAGTCAGAGTCCCAGGGTGGAGGATAATGAGCTGAGCTCCTATTTGGGCAAGGCTGTTGAGAACAGTGATACTGCATGTGATGTTATTTTGAGGGCATTCAAGGGCACATACCCAGAAATCCTACTTGGTTGACACAGTACTTCCCACCCCAATCATAGAATGTGATTTATACCACAGTTGAAATACCCCAGTATCTTCAGAGAGTATCTGGCGAAGCTCTTCCATGTGCCAGTCCCCTTGTTTTTAAGGGTGGTATTGATCTTTTTTGTGTCAATATGTATATGATTGGTCTGTCTGTCTATAAAGTCGTGTTGTTGTTTTAGTTCAAGAAGAGGAACAGTGGCTCTTTTTATCCAGGAAAACTTCTCTAAGAAAGAGATCTTTAAAACATTTAGTAGATGAAGCACATTGCCTTCAGTCAGATGCCACACACCATAATATTACAGGTCAGTGTAATAGAGAAAAATGTTTCCTTAATGTGTAAGGAAAGATCCAGGTTGACTTCAACTTTAATACCTTCATTAAAGATTAAATAAATTAGTTCTCTTTAGTGTCAGTGTTGTGTCTGGTTGTTACATAGTAACACATGTATGTGCATCACTTTTCCAGGAATATCAGTTCATGTCCACCAGCAAGTTGTTTATTTCTCTGAAGGAACTCTCATATGGGTGAAGGACGCTGCCAACATGTCTGATGTGTCTGGCCTGAGAATTTTTTACAGAGGTTCAGGATTAATTTCTTCCATCTCCCTAGACTGGCTTTATCAGAAAATGTATTTCATCATGGATGAACTGGTTAGTCTGAGAATTTAAAGTGAAAAACTAGATATTAAAAATCAAATGCATATCTTGACATATTAATATAAGTAAATATAATTCTTTCTTCCAATAATTAATCATTGAGTGTTTACTATGTTTTAGGTACTGGGTTAGCAATGAATCATACATAGAGTCTTACAGGAGGGTCTAGACTTTACCTAGTACTAAGTACTTTACTTAGTTCTGATATACCATTAAATCATCTTTCTTATGATTTTTCAGAGCTGTGAGTTTTCACTAATGATAATTTGACTTCCATGAGACAGTGGTACCTGAATTATCACTAGGTAACAACTTCCAATCTTGATTAAAATCAGCTGAGAGCATTTTGTAATTATGTAATAATCATGGATAACTTTAGTAGGACTCTGAAAATATTGGTATTATCAAATCTTTGAGAGGACACAGTATGCTGTGTTTCAAGTTTCCTTTTTTGAAAGAGAGACTGGTCTCAGTCACTGTTGCTGGAAGCCCATAAGCTTCAGTTCAGTTCGGTTGCTCAGTTGTGTCTGACTCTTTGCCACCCCGTAGACTGCAGGGCGCCAGGCTTCCCTGTCCATCACCAACTCCCAGAGTTTACTCAAACTCATGCATGTCCATTGAGTTGGTGATGCCATCCAACCATCTCATCCTCTGTTGTCCCCTTCTGCCGCCTTCAGTCTTTCCCAACATCAGGGTCTTTTCAAATAAGGCTTTTCAAATAAGGTCTTTTTAAATGAGGCTCTTCGCCTCAGGTGGCCCAAGTATTGGAGTTTCAGCTTCAACATCAGTCCTTCCAATGAATATTCAGGGCTGATTTCCTTTAGGATAGACTGGTTGGATCTCCTTGCAGTCCAAGGGACTCTCAAGAGTCTTCTCCAACACCACAGTTCAAAAGCATCAATACTTCAGTGCTTAGATAGGCCCATAAGCTTAGATATAGCTAAAATATTAATAAAAAGTAGTTGAGTGTCTCCACAAATATGAAAAATATGTACTTGTATTTCATGGATACCAAGAGGATATGGTTATCATTAGGATATAGATATAAAACTGTCTTTTAAGGACTTTTTTATGTTTTCAAAAAGTGCTCTGTGACTGGTGAAATTCTAAGCACAGAACAGTTGCTCAAGGAATATTTGTTGGCCAAATTGACTATAGACACTAATGCTACTGATGTATTTTTCTCTAGGTATGTGTCTGTGATTTAGAGAACTGCTCAAGCATTGAGACAATTACACCTCCCTCAAACATTGCACCTCAAAAAATTGTGGCTGATTCATACAATGGGTAAGCGTTAGCCTTGTAAATGTGAATTCTCTTCCTTTGGCAAGAATCTTGGGGAAGCTTGCTTGCTAATAATATCCTAGTGCCAGATGAGCCAATCTGATTTCATATTTAATTAAATCCAGGCAAAGTTTTCATTCTTATAGAGCCCAGAGGAAATTTCTTTCAAACTTCATCCACAACTTTTCTAGGTAAGCAGGTTTTCCTTTCTCCTTTGCAGTAGATTATGGGCATATGGGAAAAATCTCTTCTCTGGGACTCAGGGACCTGGCTTCTCATCTTGGGTTTGTCATGATTTTATGCATGACTCAGAGTTTTATTCCTCCTCAACTCTCCCCATGAGAAGCCCTTCCTGCCTATCTTTCCTCTTTTCATTACACCATTTTCTCTTGCTGAGCAGTTCAGTGCCTGTTTGTTTTTCTGGTCTGGCTATCATGTCTGTCAGGAGACGGGTTTAGCATTCTTCCACTGACTTCTTTTGCTGATTTTGGGTGGTCCTTCCCAGCTGTTTTTACTCAATTGTGGGGTATTTCATCATGATTTTGTAACATGCTAACACTATTGCCTCACTCAATTGTGAATATTTTTAAAAGCTTGTTACTGTTGTTCAGCTACTAAGTCGTATCTGACTCTTTGTGACCCCATGAACTGCAGTCCTTCACTGTCTCCAGGACTTTGCTCAAACTCAAGTCCACTGAATCAGTGATGCCATCCAACCATCTCATCCTCAGTTGCCCCCTTCTCCTCCTGCCCTTAATATTCCCCAGCAGCAGGGTCTTTTCCAGTGAGTTGGCTTTTCGCATCAAGTGTCCAAAGTATTGGAGCTGCAACTTCAGCACCAGTTCTTCCAATGAATATTTAGTGTTGATGTCCTATAGGATTGGCCTGTTTAATCTCCTGCAGTCCAAGGGACTCTCAAGAGTCTTCTCCAACACCACAATTTAAAGGCATCAATTCTTCAGCACTCAGCCTTCTTTATGGTCCAGCTCTCACATCCATACTACTGGATAAACCATAGCTATGACCATACGGACCTTTGTCAGCAAAAAACTTAGTCTAATACAAACGTAGGATTAGTATTGCTGGGTAGCAACTGTGCAAAATAATACCATGAAGTTTTTAAAAATGGCTTAAATGTTTGTGTTTTCTCCCATTTTGTCATTCACAATGCATAGAATATTTATTGACAGATTTTGACTAAGAATTTCTGTGTATTGGAGAAAAATGTTTTATAATAAATGACAGGTTCAGTCATGTACGTTTTATATAATATGCTTTCCTTTAAGAGTAGACTTCATTAGAAAACCTTTAAAGACCCCTGTTGTTCTTAAATTCTGATTCCTTAAAAAGTCACATGTAATAATTAGGAGATTAAGCCTTATAAGAGGGGCTGACATTTTCCAGGATTCCAGCTTCTAACTTAAATGAATAGAGCATGTTTTTAATAAATGCCTTTATCAGTTTGCATCTTGGGAAACTCTGTACTTATCCACTCTGGAGGTACTTGGTTCTGATTGCCCAACAGGATGAGACAATGGTGGTGTTCTGCCATCACCCTTGTATTGGCTCACACCAGGCTTCTTTTGCCCCTCTGTCAGGTATGTCTTTTATCTCCTGCGAGATGGCATTTATAGAGTCGACCTTCCTGTGCCCTCCGGTGGGGGCTCAGAAGCTATGCATATTGTGCAGAGTGGCACTTTAAAGGACTTTGCAATCAAGCCCCAGTCCAAGCGAATCATTTACTTCAACGACACCGCCCAAGTCTTCATGTCAACCTTTCTGGACGGCTCTGCATCCCACATCGTCCTACCTCATGTCCCCTTTACTAATGTGAAGAGCTTCGCTTGTGAAAACAATGACTTCCTGGTCACAGATGGCAAGGCCGTTTTCCAACAGGATTCGCTGTCTTTTAATGAATTCATCGTGGGATGTGACCTGAGTCACATAGAAGAATTTGGCTTTGGCAACTTGGTCATCTTTGGCTCATACACCCAGCCACACCCGCTGCCAGGCCGCCCGCAGCAGGTCTCCGTGCTGTTCGGCTCCCACCAGGCCCTGGTTCAGTGGAAGCCCCCCACGCTCGCCGTCGGAGCCAGTGAGTTCCCTGTCCCACCTGGAGGCTGGCCTTGTCGGAAGGAGAGGAAGACTTAATAGGCTTGGCATGGCCACTCAACTTTGAGAGCCCTTATATGATTATTTAGCCATTAACCCATAGCCCTCCTTAGCTCTCTCTCTGTCTCCCCCCCCCCCCCATACACACACACATACCCACATACCCAAACACACACACCCATACATACACACACACACACACCCATATACACACACCCGCCCCCACACACACATACACACAGTGTTATAACATTTGTTCTATATTTATCAATTTTGATAGATTAAGAAAATTTCTATATTTCCTCATCTACATCCCAACAGAAGGGTTGGAACATTTATTGAGTGTCTCCTTGGAGCCAGGCACTGACATTCTAGTTGGAGGGAATGCATTAGCCAGGAGGATGGAACACTTGGGTTGAGATTTTGTATCCAGGGAGACCTTGCATGAATTTGAGCCTAAAACTCTCGGGACTTGAATTTTCATCTCTGGAGAGGCAGCATGTGTGGTGGGTATGCAGGTGGGCTCTAGAGCCAGCCTGCACGGATTCAAAGGCTAGTCTCATCAATTATTAGCAGAATGACCTGGGCAAGTTACTTAACCACTTCATGCACGTTTCCACTACTGGAAATAAAAATATTAATTATATCCTTCTAAGGGATTGTCATATAGACCAAATTAAGATGCATAGGTAGAACCCAGAACAGTATTTAGCATAGCAGTTGGCAATTTCTTTTTCTTTTAATAAAAGAAGGACCAGATAATAAATAATTTCAGTTTTGTGGGTCATACAGTTTCTGGGATAGATACTCAACTCTGTCTTTGTGGTATGTAAGCAGCCATAGATAATATGTAAATAAGTCACTGTGACTGTGTTCCATTACAACTTTATTTATAAAAACAGGCAGTGGGCCAGATTTGGCCTGTGGGCTGTATTTTGCCAACCTCTGGTCCTCTAGCAAACACTGGCTACTTTTACTTTAAGACCAAGTTAATTATGTCTGTTTGTTGTATATCTCAAAGATGGCTGAAAATGAATTAACAAAAGTTTTTAATTTTTATTTTTTGGGCTTCTCGGAGAGTGATACTCTGCTGACACTGGAATAATATTAGAGATTCATCATTAAGTGTTTGTTTATTAGGAGCTTGTATAGTACACCCTTCTGATAGTTCTTTGCAGCCAGTCACACCGCACACAGAGGCGAACAGTGGCCTCCTGTTTGTTGGCAAGATGTGTCCTTTGATGAGACAAAATAAGTGAGCAGAATGGCCACTGTCCTAAACATGTCATTGTTTTAACCCTGGTGATTAAGGGGTAACAGGCCCAATTATCCTTCCACTCAAGGTGAAGCTGTAGATAAGTTTACAGACAATCCTTTGTTTGCCCTTGCTGATGTCATCCTAGTCAGTAATATTGTTTAACTCTTCCGCATAGGTCCTTCTGCCTGGCAGGACTGGACTTATGAGGTGAAAGTATCAACTCAAGACCTTCCTGAAACCACTCACGTGTTCTCTAATATAAGTGGGACCATCCTTAATGTACATGACCTTCAGAGTGCTACAAAATATGAGGTTTCTGTGAGAGCAAGTTCTCCCAAGGGGTCAGGCCCTTGGTCAGAGCCCTCAGTGGGAACTACTCTGGTACCAGGTGAGAGAATGCTCTTGATTTAGGGAGTGATTCTGACAAAAAAGGCTTTATCCCTGTCTTCTTTAAAGTTTCTCACCTTAGATGTGGTAAAGAAATGAGAATGAGGGTGCATTGACCCCTTGAGCATGTTTATTTTCTGACATTCGGAAAACAAGTAAAGCACAGTGTGATATTAATGTTTCTAACGTTCTATTTTATACTGTCCAAGATGTTTTTGAACAAACAATATAATTTTCTTCTTCTTCGTGGTTTTCTCCTTTCTCATGGCTTATTAAGCTGTAGCACTGCTTGGATGCTGAAAGTCTCAACAAGAGAAGTTGAGGGGCTGTGAATTATGTTTAATTCTGTCCTGTTGGTTGAAAGAAAATGGAAAGAACTGACCCATTTATACTACTGTTGCTTCTGAATATCACCAATAGCTAAAGCAAAACAACAAAAAAATTTGCCATGATGTGACATTGCTATAGTGGCAGCATCAATACACATTTCTCTTCACATTCAATTATAAATATTTACATAAAAATCAAAGCGTGTTTAATATGATAGCATATTCTTTTAAGCAGATACAATTATTCATATACTTCCAGTGTATTTTTCAAAATGCTGATTTACTTTATAAAAGAAATCTAACAAACAAGATGTGTACCTAAAAATGCGTGTTTTCTGTGATATTTCTTTCAATTTTTTTAAACCAAACAGCTGCAGAACCACCATTTATCATGGCTGTGAAAGAAGATGGACTTTGGAGTAAGCCATTAAATAGCTTTGGCCCGGGAGAATTCCTATCCTCTGATATAGCAAATGTGTCAGGTAAACACCAAGTTCCCTGTACACTTGGATGGCAGGTTTCTACTTGTTAGACTTTCTGAGATATTCAACCAATCAGAAGAATTGAGTGTTTTAATATTAGATCAATAATGAAAGGAAAAAATATTGACTGAATTATACCGCCAGTGACATGATGAAGAAAACGTCTATTCTCAAGGATGAGGGCCATTTATTACTCCACCAAATGTGAGGTTATTTAATGATGTATGCCCATTTCAGGAAGGCTTTGATATACTTCTCATGTATTTTAATCTCTCAATGTCATCTCAAAGTAACAGACTATCTTGTTCCATGAAGATAGCTATAGTTAAGTAATTTGTTATGAGTTTGCTATAAGATGGGAGCACAGAACAGCTATGTGAAGTTCTAAATAAAGCATAAGAAAGAATTTCATGGCAAAGAAGATTATGTAATAAATGCCTAAGGCAAAACTACCCATTTGTTACTTAATGGCATCTTCCATAATTATCTAATTATTTGATTTATTTGGTCATTAAAAATTACCATAGCACTTCTGACCAAAATGAGTTGGACTTAGGAGGTGGTATGGTATTAATGGAAAGAATGATACTTTGAAGTTGGCTCAAGTTTGGGTTCCTCCTCTTTTCATCTGTGAGACCTCAGGCAAAACAGATAATTTCACTTAGTCTTGGGTTTGCCATGTCAAAAAATGGAAATGATTTCTACTTTAGACCTTTAAGAGTTGAGTGAGATATATAAGTGCCCAGGACAATGTTGGCAAAGAGGAGATGCTCAATGAATAATAGTTCCTGTGTCTAGTTCCAGGGCTTAAGATTTTAGAATAATATTATTGAAACATTCTTGACACATCTCTGAAACTCTAGTGAATATCTCTGTTATTGGTGAGGTGCATGTGTGATTTGCTGACGTGCTATGTTTACACTGGCATACATGAAAAAATAACTGCTACCAATTCACTTTGTTTTGAGACATGGATTGGTATAACAACAGCCTCTACTACAGCGACATGAAAGGTGATGTTTATGTATGGCTGCTGAATGGGACAGACATCTCAGAGAATTATCACATACCCAACATTGCAGGAGCAGGGGCTTTAGCTTTTGAGTGGCTGGGTCACTTTCTCTACTGGGCTGGAAAGACCTATGTGGTAAGTTAAAGCCTGACATCCTACATGTTCTCAAACAATGCCTACCCACTTCAGTGACTGGAATGTCATTTTCATGATTTTTTTCATACTTGTGTTTCACCCATGTTATTATTTACTTAATATTTGTCTCTAAGCTTACTCACTTTTTAATTAAAATATTTATATAGAAAGGAAATTCTATATCAGTATTTGATTAGTCATATATTTTCAGTAATATCTTGAAATAAATATATTAAAATGTTCACCGGTGGAGTAGTGTCCTGGGGAAGATGGCACACCCCAAAGGCATAATGAAAAGAAACTAAGTGAGGGGACTATTTTCAACAGTATGGTCGGGGCTAAGGAAAATGAGCATAGGACGGTGAAGCATGCTCTGGGCTAGCAAGTGTGGGAGGATATTACTGCCTCTAGGCATAAAAGACAAGGGAAAGCCGGGAAGGAAAGGCAAGGGCTGTAGCTTTAGCAGAGTTGCCGACATGAAAACCAGCCATTGTCAAAAGGTGTAGTCCAGCAAGCGGTGATACGATAGTACATATGTACCTCCAGCCCTCCTTTCTTCGGAACTCTGATCTTCTGCCACTGCGTCCACTGGTTGATCCTCCCTGGAAGCCAGGGAGCAGGGAGCTAGGTCGATGCAGTGCATCCGTGCCAGGCTCAGGGCCACTGTGGAGGGCGGACAGGGTGGGATTCGGGGGCAAGATGAAGGCATCCTGTGCGTTGTGCACGCTGAAGAAAAGAACGGTTGATGATGAGATCAACGGTCTAACAGATCAAGAAAAAAACTGTTTCAGTTTTATGATATGAAAAATTCATTTTGGTTTTATGGTACAAAACTCATTTTTCTAGTCAGGAGGGCACATGTCTGTTTGTTTATTTATCCATTATCTGTTACCAGTATGTTTAGAGCCTTGAAAACAGGCATAATAGAGAATGTGAGGAAAATAGAAGTCCTGTCTCTGCCCTTGAAAAAAGAATATCAGCTTTGTTGAGATATAATTTATGTACCATAAAACTCACCCTTTGATTACATAAAATGCAGCGGTTTTTAGTATGTTCTGTGCTGTGCAACCATCACCACTTGCCCCTGCTCTTTTCATGACATAAAAATAAATTCATGGGGACTTCTTTGGTGGGCCAGTGGCTAAGACTCCACATTCCCAATTCCTGGGGGGCCTGGGTTTGATTCCTCGTCAGGAAACTAGATCCCACATGCCACAACCAAGACCAGTGCCAAGAAAAGAAAACATCAGGAATCATTAGAAGAAGCATACAGCAACAACATTGTTGTTATGTGCGCTCAGTCGTGCCTGACTCTTTGTGACTCCATAGACTGCAACCCACCAGGCTCTTGTCCATGGGATTTTCCATGCAAGCATACTAGAGTGGGTTGCCATTTCCTTCCCCAAGGACAGAGCACTGTATTTAGAAGCAAAGTAATATGGTATAGCCTGAATTCATAAGTGCCAATGACTTGTAGGCAGAATGGAGCTGAGTGGGGTTAATCAGAGAATGCTTCTGAAAATGGACTAGTTTGAAAATAGTTTTGAAGGAGGAAATGGAAGAGTAGTACAAAAACTGGTTTCAAGTATTTGCTCTGTTTCTTATAAAATGATTTAACTTCTTGAAAAATCACTTTACCTCTTTGAACACAGTTTACTTGTGAAAAAGTAGGAAATAGAAATTCTTTACAGGCTTAATGTGAGGGTTATAATAACTAACAGTTTAAAGATAAAAAAGAAGTACAGTGCCTGGCATATAATAGGTACTCAATAATGACAGTAATTAATATTAGGGAGATTAAACAGACAGAGAGGAGCAAGCAGAGACATCACTATTTGGAGTATACATCTTTGGGAGTCTAATCCAATACATTCTTATGTTTTGATTATGTGTTGATTGTCTAGGTATATGATTAGGGAGAACAAGTATTAACTCAAAATAAGTGTATCTCCTTTCTCTTCAGAGACATGAAAAGGAGTAAGCTTCCTTGTAATTACATTCCTGAAGCTAGGCACATGACAAAGCATAGAGTGCCAGTAAATATTTATGACTGGAGAAATGAATGGATGAATGCAGTAATTTACTAACAATTGCAATAAACTATTCAGAAATAATGATGCCATTTGAAAATCACTAACTGAGTTATGATTGTTTTATAGATTCAAAGGCAGTCTGTGTTGACAGGACACACAGACATTGTGACTTACGTGAAGTTGCTGGTAAATGATATGGTGGTGGACTCAGTTGGTGGATATCTCTATTGGACCACATTATATTCAGTTGAAAGTACCAGGCTAAATGGAGAAAGTCCACTTGTATTACAGGCACAGCCTTGGTTTTCTGGGAAAAAGGTGAAAGTTAAAAAAATAAGATCTGATATTTAATTATACTAAATAATGCTGTGTATAATTATAATAATACTATTTCCGCTTGCTGTGAATACTTCAGGTAGAATTCAAAAGGAAATACTACTATGATAAGATCTTGGTATAACCAAATTTCTCTAAGTCTTATTTGATTGTTAAAATTGATTAAATAAAATATAATATGGAGATTTTTATATTTTGCTTTATCTTGAATGAACTCACACTTTCAGTTCAGTTCGGTCACTCAGTCATGTCTGACTCTTTGTGACCCCATGAAACTCAGCATGCCAGGCCTCCCGGTCCATCACCAACTCCCGGAGTTTACTCAAACCCATTTCCGTCAAGTTGGTGATGCCATCCAGCCATCTCATCCTCTGTCGTCCCCTTCTCCTCCTGCCCCCAATCCCTCCCAGAATCAGGGTCTTTTCCAATGAGTCAACTCTTCACATCAGGTGGCCAAAGTACTGGAGTTTCAGCTTCAGCATCAGTCCTTCCAATGAACTAGGTGGAGCTAAAGAATGTAGGCAACCTGGAGATCCCAGTAAAAGCCTACACTCTTCAGTTTAAGAATCAGAAAAGGAACAACATAGCAAGACAGAAACATTTTAACCAACACTGCTCTAGCCACCTAATAAACACTGCAGAAAAAAAACTGTGACCCCCACCCCTAGCTTTGCCAGCAAAGGTTAAATGGAGAGCCTAGATGTCTACCCTTGTAAGGCTGCAAGGAAACACCTCAATACCACCTCCACAACATGTTGATTTGACAGCTTAAAATACTCACCAATTCCTTAAAAGACACAAGTTACCACAAGTCAGCTAATATGAATAGATTATTTTAATAATCCTATAGCAATTAAGGAAACTCAGTTTATAATTTAAAATCTAAAAAAACCTAAAAAGAAATTTCTAGGATCAAATGGTTTCACTAGAGATTTTTACTAAAAGTTTAAGGAAGAATTAATAACATTCTAAACAATCTCTTGTAGATAATAGAAAGGAGAGCATACTTCTTAATTTATTTTATAAAATTAATATTACCCTAATATCAACAAATGATGTGGGACCAAGCAGATGAACATAAGAAAAAACAAACCTCAATTTAAATCTCACATTTTATAAAAGAGTTTTCTCAAAATGGATCATGGACTCTCATGGCTCAGTGGTAAACAATCTGCCTGCCAATGCAGGAGACATGGATTCAATCCCTGATCAGGGAGGATCCCACATGTCTTGGAGCCAACATCCACTGAATCATCAAANCTCTGTCTATCAGATCTAGTCCCTTAAATCTATTTCTCACTTCCACTGTATAGTCATAAGGGATTTGATTTAGGTCATACCTGAAAGGTCTAGTTATTTTCCCTACTTCCTTCAATTTAAGTCTGAATTTGGCAATAAGGAGTCTATGATCTGAGCCACAGTCAGCTCCCAGTCTTGTTTTTGCTGCCTGTATAGAGCTTCTCCATCTTTGGCTGCAAAGAATATAATCAATCTGAAATCTCACACTTTAAGAGCATTTTTATAGTCTTTAGGATTTCTATTGGATATTTTAGAACTTCTTCTTGGGTGATTATTAGGTGTTTTATTATTTTTAGTCAATTTCTGCTACTGACTGCTCCTAGGAAATGCAGCTCCTAGGAAAGTTATTTGACTTTTCTATAACTGTTTCATTAACTGAAAAATGGGAATATTAACAACTTTCCTCCCTCTTAGGGTTGTTGTGATGATTAAATGAGATAATTCATGGGAAGTAGTGAGAACAATCACTCAATAATTAAGTTATATTTTATAACTCAATCTAAAAAATGCACTAATATATTAAGAGAAATGATTCTAAGACAAATTTTTTTTTTACTTCCTCAACTTCTAGAAGCAATATCTATTTTTCCTGATCCTGTTTAGCTTCCCTCTAGCTATCCATCTATATTTTGAAAAGTTATTTTTTCTGATGCTCTTAAGAATATCTCTACTGTAGAAATTTTAGAAATTACTGAAAAGTGTGAGGAAGAAATAAATCATTCATACTATTTCTATTTAATATTTCTTAAAATTTTTTATCCCTTTTTGTTGTCAATAGAGATAAAACATACATAATACAGGTATACCAGATCATTCATAAACAAACAAACAATTTTGATCCTCAATTCTGAAAGATGTGCTGGTTATAATTCCTAAGATTTTCATATACAGATTATAACACAGGTATTTAAAAGAAATAGAAGTTACACACCATATCCAGAGATTATTCATTTCTGTCAAATAATGAGAAGATCCCTTAATTGTATTTTGGGGCCACTTGAGTCTGAATACAAAGCATATTTTTTATGTTTCAATAAAAAAAGTTAGGGGAAAAACTCCTTTTTGTAAAAGCATATTAAAGATAATAGTATCTCAAGAGTAATTTCCTATTCATCCCCTTGACTTCATCTGTAATCACCCTGCTGTCCTGATCTTGTCTTTTGTGATACATCTACTCAAGATAGCCCTGGAGGGGCCCTTTGGGACTTTTCTATAAATGAGTGAATTTTTAGATGTCTCAGCATGTTTGAGGAAATACATTTTTATTTAAAATCCACTCCAAATTCTCTCACAGGCTGGCTAATGGTGCTTCTGCTTGTGCCAATATGTGTTCTGGTTCCACTGTTTGATGTTTTATTCATCCATCTCTGTTAATGCTAGTGAGTGTTTTGAAGGTAATGTTTTGCACTGAATAAAGCTTTCCCTCTCACTGTCATTCCTTCACATGTTACTCATAAATTTATCATGGAGTCATAAGATACTTCGCAATCAGTAGGTATAATAAAATAGTCATTCATAGAAAAGATGCATTTGTATGATGAAAAGGAAAATGAAATGAGATATTCCTTTAAAGTGAAAAGATGTTGGACTCATAGTATATAGTACATTTTACCACAGGATTAAACATCAAGGTTTTAATTTAGATCAAAGGGGTTATTTCCAAGGGATGGGCTTTATTAGACATAATGATGGTTACCAAAGGTTTATGGAACACCCTCTGACACTGTTTAACCAGGGGCTCCAATGGCTGGAGTAAGGAATGGGGTAATGACCCATCCCCTGAATTTGACTTATAGCTGGCATAGTCTGTCGTATTTCAGCAAAGGGAGTTGTAGAACCTTCTTTTTTAAGAGATAGAGTAGAGTTAATCTGTAATTTAGAAAACTCTAGGGCATCTCATTACAGATAAGAAGCAATATTAACCTGGTTTCACTTTAACTGGAAAAATTATCACTAAATCTCTTTTAGCCTGAAGCAAGGACATAATTCAATTCCCCAAAGGCTGGAAATTGCTAGAATAATTTTCTACTTTTCGGAAAAAGAGTAGGTTGAGTTTTCTTAAAGACAGAAGGCTGTGATTCATATGATGACTGAAGATTCTGGCAGCCACAAAACTTGAGATTATTTCTTTATAGAAAGTCTTAGGTAACCAAGTACTTTTAGTTCTTGGAGACTTCATTGTATTCTTTTCATATTTTTCACTGGTTGATGCTTTTGTTTATATGCTGTTATATCTTGCTAAAGACATAGTCATCAACTTTATTTTATCTGATGCCTCTTAGCCTCCAGGTCTGCTCTAGAAAGACTCCACTACTCTGAGGTCAGACTCCTAGTAATATCAATACTTATAAAGCCAAAGAAAGCAAAAAAGATCTCTTGGATTGTAAATTCTGTCTCTTGCACTCTATTTCATAGGAAGACTCAGTCTTTTCCACAGGTCTCACCTCATCAACTGGACTTAAAATTAAGACACAACTTATAACAAGAAGACAAAGAAAGCGTAATAAAAAGTGGTTGTAAGATGTCAGCTGGAAATGGGACTAAAGTTCCATATGTACATGACTCTATCCAATTATATCACATGAAAACCATGTCTGTATTGTATTTTAGAAAATTATCAGAATGTTTTTGGTTGTAATTAACAGATATTAATATAATTTAAAATGGCTTGAATGGTTGGTTCTCAAACTTGGTGACACAGTGGAATTATCTGGGAAATTTGAAGACATACTGGAGATGGTACCATCTCCAGAGATCAAAATTTAACAGGATGCCAGACTGGAAATTGAGATATTTAAAGAATCACAGGTCATTCTAATCTGCAGCAGTGTTTGAGAATAACTGATTTAAACAACGATCAGATTCATTGACTTATGTGGCTGAAGAGTCCAAAGTTGTGCTAGCTTTAGACAAGGCTTGGCACAGTGGTTCAAAGTTTCTTATTCAGAAGGACCTGGAGAGTGTGTTTGAAACTTTGTATTTGTAACCAGTTCCCAGGTGATGCTAATGCTGGTAGTCCAAAAATCAAACTTTGAGAACCACTGGAGATAAATATATAGAAGTGAATAATAGATAATTCTTGCCATTTGAGGATTTTTAGGAAACCAGTGCTTATATCCAACTACATAGTAATAAGCATACTCACATGATATTTATATTCAGTGAAAGGTAAAAATCAGTAAGTTTATTATTCCAAAGAGGATGCTAAAGAGAAATCTGTAGCTTAAGTGTGACATAATCACAAAGATTAAATATGTATTTGATTTGTTTTCTTTCCTTATTTTCTATTTAGGTAATTGCTCTAACTTTAGACCTTGGTAATGGGTTCCTATATTGGTTGGTTCAAGACAGTCAGTGTATTCACCTGTATACAGCTGTTCTTCGGGGTCAGAGGTGAGTAATACTGAAGGCAATTGGTTGAGAAAAAGAAAGTAACTTGCCCCTTAGTTATAAATGACAGTGCTTAAGAATTCATTTATTCTTTCAATAAACATTTACTAATTATCCACTGTGTTTTCAGGCATTGTTCTTGCAAGGAAAGATGTTTGTAAACAACTAATTACTGTAGAATGTGGTGAATATTCTATGGCTTTCCTCTTAGCTCAGTTGGTAAATAATCTACCTGCAATGACGGAGACCTGGGTTTGATTCCTGGGTCAGGAAGATCTCCTGGAGAAGGAAATGGCACCCCACTCCAGTATTCTTGCTTGGAGATGCCTATGGACGAAGGAACCTGGCAGGCTACAGTCTATGGGGTTGCAAGAGTTGGACGTGTCTTAGCTGACGAAACCACCACCATGGTGAATATGGCAATGGGGTATGAAGAGAGTCCAGCAGAGGCACCGAGGAGAATGCCCCTCAAGAGCCTAGGAAATGAGTGGATAGGTTTCTACGCTTCTTAACACAGTCTCCAACTATGATTATAGATAGGCCTATAGTCCTCTTTAGTTGATGTATCTGAATGCTTTGTGTTAGTATTCTTATCTATATACTTGATTATATTTCCTTTTATCACTATAAAATATTCTCATTCATCTATGGTATACTCTTAATCTTAACGACTATTTTGATATTAGGATATTATAGCAGCATTCTTATGCTTGGTTTGTAGGGCACAGCTCTTCATCTCTTTACTTTCAATTTTTGTCTTTATCTTTAAAGTGTGTTCCTTGTAAACAGCATATAAGTTTTTGCTTTTTTATGCAGTCTGACAGTTTCTGCCTTTTAATTGGGGTGTTTGGTTCATTTACATCTAATATAATTATTTATTAATATGTTTGGATGTAAGTCTACCATCTTGGTGTTTGACTTCCATTCGTCTCATCGGCCATTTATTCCTCTATTCTACTTCTATGCATCTTTGACAGTGAATAAAATACTATTTTAGTATCCCATTTTATCTCCTCTCATGACATTTAAATTACGTGTATTCATAATTTTCTTTAGATGTTTTAGAGAGTAAACTAAGCACTTTTAACAGTAAACATCTTCAAGTTACCATCATCATATTCAAAGTGTTCTTATTTCATAAATGATTTTAAAACTTTATGATGATATGTTTCCAATTACCACCCTCCACTCTTTGTCCTCTCATTGTCGTATATTTTACTTTAACCTATACTATAAAATCCATGTTTATTACTATTTTTAGTTTAAACAGCCAATAGTTTTTAACTTCAAGGAAACAGTTACATATCTCAAATTAAGATAAGGACAAAAAGTCATTAGAGAACAGCAGTCAGAGGGAGAATTTAGAGGTCATATTATTTCATAGATGAGGACATTGAAACATTATACACAATGAGATGTATATAAATTTGCTGACTGTCACACACTAAATTGGAGAGATAGTCAGGAAATGGTTAAAGTAAAGCAAAAGGTCCTGCTCTAGGGCAGAGATTTCTAATGCTGGGTTCTTGGACCCCCTAGGGAGTTCATGGCCAGCTTCAGGAGGTGTGTGAGTGCTTGGAAGCTGAGCATCCATCATTTCAGCAAATTTTCGAAAGAGTCTAATCTTACAAAGGCCAAAAATTCCTGTTCTATGAATACAATTTCAAGATTACTTTTAGATTAAAAAATACTTTTGTTTGGTTTACGGAAAAATTCTTAATCATAGAGAATATGAAAAAGGAATATGCATACATATATAAACATATAATGGAGTATATATGTATGTATATATAAAGGTGTATGTGCATGCATCTTCAGTCACCCAGTTGTGTACAATTCTTTGTGACCCCATGGACTATAGCCCACCAGGCTCCTCTGTCCTGGAATACTCCAGGCAAGAATACTGGAGTAGCCATTCCCTTCTCCAGGGGATGTTCCCAACCCAGGAATTGAACCCAAGTCTCCTGCATTGCAGGCAGATTTTTGCCCTCTGAGCCACCAGGGAAGCCTATATATACTATATGTATATATAAAATATATATAGACCTATAATGCATACCTATAATTCATACAAGCATATACATAGCAATGTGATTAATCATTTATTTTATATCAGCTGTAACATATAGCTCTAGCTAGTTTCCCAATTGTGAACCATAGAAAACTGGCTGTTCCTTTTTCTGGAAGTGTGAAATACTGGCAATCTGATTGTCAAAAGAATCTGTCTGTGTGATATAGACAGTGCTCAAAGTGACAGTGTGCTGAAGGGTCATGATTCTCTGTACGTGTCTGCCTATCTCAGAGGACAGTCTAACTGGAGTTGTTTGAGAGTCCTGCTCTCAAGTGTCCAGAAAATCAATACTGTTGGATTCAGCAGATAAAAGAAGGAAGTTTCTCCTTTAAAAATGCATTTCTTTATTTCAAGGTTAATTTTCCTTGTATTCATGCCCAATGGAGTGCAGCAGATCTTGACAGGGTTATATCAATGACAGGCATTTTGCCCTCCAAGTAAGTCTTGCCTTTTTATCATACCAGAGAAAAGAGTGGTAGATAAAGATAGGAACTCCAGAACCATTTTACAAGCAGAACATTTTCCCTAATATATAACCAAAATTCCTTCTACGGCATTTCAAGCTCCTTACCTCTAGTCTAAATCATCACTGCCCAATGCAAATAATGTGAGCTACACACATAATTGTAAATTTCCTTGTTGCTTCATTTAAAAAAGTAAAAACATAGGTAAATTATTAATGAGCTATTTGCACTCTTTTTTCATAATAATTCTAATTAATAGCCTGGGTGTATTTTACAGACATAGCACATCTCAATTTGCACACTAAATTTTAGTAAGAAATATTTGATCTGCAGTTAGATTTTATAAAATTTACAGTTGAAAAGTTGATTTATGTACCCAAGTTTTCCCAAAATACTTGAAAAGTTTTCTAGTAAATCATATATATGATTTATAATGTATAAATAAAATATTAGCTTAAAATTCTAACCTAAATGAACTAAGATTAAATAACATAAAGATTCAGTTTCTTAATTTTAGTAGCTAAGGGCTCAACAGGCACCTGTAGCCTACCTTATTGGACAGTGTAGTTCTAGCATACAGTAGAGATGAGACTGGGTTTCCCTAGTGTCTCAGTGGTAAAGAATCCGCCTACCAGTGCAGGAGAAGCAAGATCGATCTCTGGGCAGAAAGATTGCCTGGAGAAGGAAATGGCAACCCACTCCAGTATTCTTGCCTGGAGAAATCCCATGAACAGAGAAGCCTGGTAGGCTGCAGTCCATGGAGTTGCAAAGAATCAGACACAGTGACTAAACAACAATAGAGATGAGATTAGCTGTTTGCTGTCTTTTAGCATACACTGAACTTGACAAGAACTCTAAGTGTCTTTTCAAACTGTTCTTCCCTCTGGTATGTACAGCCATTCCCTTTGGTTTATTAAATAATGAATCTATTATCAGTATAACATCATATCTGTCTTGGAGGTTGAAAAGGGTGCATCTGTCGTAAAAGTTCAGGCATATTTAGTCATGTCAGAACTGAGTATATTGCTCTAAAGGTACCCACACCCTGCTGTTTTCTCTGAATAAAATGGTCCCCAAACCTGGTTCTCTTGGTTACTTTGTGTTCAGACTGCAAGGCTCAGCTTAAACATGGTTTTCTCTGAGAGAAGCTTTCTCTGACCAGATCCTATTAGGTCTCCTTGTTAAGGAGCCCACTCTACCTTTCCATTTACAGTGTCACTCAATGATGTAGTTATTTGCTTCCTACCTGCCTATTTTACTAGGCTGTATATTCTAGGAGGGCAGGGATTGTGTTTGTCTTATTTACCACTGTATTCCCAGTGGCCACCACAGAACTAGGCACCAACATTCACTTAATAAATGAGTAAACCTCCAGTAGAGTAACCTCAGCTGACCTCTATACATATCACATGCTTCATGGAAGGATTTACCTTTTAGTGATTTTTTTGTTGTTGTTGAGCTTTGATTTAAATCCAGCTCTACCGGTTGCTGGGGACTGAAGGGTTTGAGGTACTGACTTGCTGCAAGTGAGGAAGTTGTGCTGAAATTGTGATGAACACCGGATGTCAAGAATTTTTGGATTGGCCCAGGAGATACTTACAGAAGAGAAGTCTTCAGCTGGGAATGAGGGGCAGTTCCAGCCAATGACAATTAAGGGATTTCCAGTCTCAGCCTGCAGGGAAGTCTCTGTCCTGGAGACTGTTTTGGGAATGCTGAACAAGCCGCCTGTGAACAAGGCTAACAGGAACATATCTGTGGGATCTAGGCTGCAGCATCCCTGGGCATGGTCCAGAAGGGCTGGCTGTCTCAGGTCAAGTGCATCCTGCTTGGTGAGCTTCTTTCCATATGGAATTTGGTTTTATATATCTCACCAAGAGATATACTGGAAAGGTCTCCTGAGAAGTGGAAACAAGAAAGTGTAAAATTAGAAAAGGTGAAAATCCAAAAGGCAAGCCAGGGGCTGTCTTCACATCTGAGTAGGTATGAATAAAGAATCTTTTACAAGAAAAAGGACTATGGGAATAGTACAAGTGAATGTTGTTTTTCTTTACAAGGCTCACAACTCCCAGGTCCTCTGAGGTAATTTCGGTTTTCTCAAGGAGGTATTAATGAAACTCTCAAAACAAAACTTTTATTTATTTTGATTTTAAGTGCCATATTTTTCTAAAAAGGGGAATGTCAACACTTTAAAAGATATAGAGAGATCATTTTTTTAAAGTGAAATGACTCCTCCAAAAGGCTGAGAATTATTGAGATAGTTATTATTGAGTACTAGAAAATCCAGGTAATTTTAGAAACAACCAAGCAGATTTTTAAAGTAAAAATCATGATAAAATTCCTTGTCATCGAGAAAAAACTTTAAAAGCAATTTTAAATGACATCCTGTTTACTTGAATTCCCTGGTCTGAAACAGCATTTGGACTAAACTGTGGAAATTGGTAAGTATCAATGAAGCAACCGACTGTTGGGAATAGTATAAAGCGAAGGATCAAACAGCTTAGAATAAAGATTGGTGAGTAAATAGTACGACTAACCAAGAAGAAGAGGAAGGCAGTGAGGAGAAACCAATCAGTGGGTTGTGCCTACGATGTGAGGTTATTACGAAAAATCACGAGGATTTATTAAGATCTGTGTAATACTTGTATTGCAAGATCACGTTCGTAAGAAAAGCCCTGGAAAATCTACTTGAGGAATACTTCCTGAAAAAAATGCAAAAAGTCAACTTTACAGAGACTTAAGAATAACGAGAATTATTGTCCCAAAGTTTGTTCTCTTTGTTTTCAAACACACGAAACACACATTCTCACCTCTTGAATTCTCTCCTTGAACGCACCACCCCCTACCCCACTCCAGACACACATGCTAATTGGCGTCCTGTTTCAGCAGTGCCGGGGACGCCACCATCACAGAATTCGCAGCCTGGAGCACCTCCGACATTTCTCAGAACGCACTGATGTTCTACAGTGGTCGGCTTTTCTGGATCAACGGCTTTCGGATTATCACAGCTCAGGAAATCAGTCAGAGGACCAGCGTCTCCATTTTGGAACCAGCCAAATTTAATCAGTTCACAATTGTTCAGACATCCCTCAAGCCTCTGCCAGGTAGGATATTGTATTCCTGCTTACCCTCTCTTCTCCATACTTTCTGTTAAATAAATTATAAGGTTGTTTTTTTTTTCCTTTAAAATTATGTTTTAAGAGGGAAAAAAGGCTTTAGTAGTTTCTGTGCTTGCAATCCTTTTAACTCTTAACCCAAATTTACAGCCTGAAACAGTCAGAAAAAGATGATTTTCAGGATATATTAAAGGAAAGAAAAATTTTATTTTGGTTCTAATTATCAGTGGTTTCTATTAATATTCCACGTGTCCATGATAATTGATAATCCCCATTTTTTTCTCTCTCTATTCTTTCTTTCCTCCCATAGGGAACTTCTCCTTTACCCCTAAGGTTATCCCAGATGCCATTCCAGAGTCTTCGTTTATGATTGAAGGAAATGCTTCGAGATTTCATATCCTCTGGAATGCTCCCCCAGCAGTGGATTGGGGCATCATTTTCTACAGTGTGGAATTTAGTGCTCATTCTAAGGTATGGCATTGGTTCTAATAACTTCTAGTTTTCAAGAGGACTGTACCATCTGCATCAGGCCTGCCTGTACTGATTTGCACTTAATCGTTACTTAACTGAATCCATCTCCCTCACTGTTCCTGTAGCATTTGGTTATAAAGATTATTCCCGAGAATTATGTTTTACAGCTAGTCTCTGATTGCTTTATGGTTAGTGTTAACCATTTGTGTGTTACATACACTAGTGTTGTGGAACAACATGGAACTTAGCAACATTAGCATTTCCAAAATTGCAAGGCTAACTTTCATGTGGACTAAAGTTTAAAGATTGTAATTTGGAAAAAAATGTTATGATTCTCTCCCTAAGAAAATAATGTTTTGTGCTTATATTTTAGTTCCTGGCTAGTGAACAACAGTCTAAACCTGTATTTACTGTGGAAGGGCTGGAGCCCTATGCCTTATTTAATCTTTCTGTCACTCCTTATACCTACTGGGGAAAGGGTCCCAAAACATCTCTATCACTCCGAACTCCCGAATCAGGTACAACGGTTAAAATCTCTTTATAAAAAAGGCAAAATCTTGCTTTCCGTGATCTAGAATGGATAATTAATCATTTTTGACAATCATTTTTAGTTTTGTGTAGATGTATTTAGATTCAATACTCTTTCAGTGACTTTTTGGGTATTAGAATAGCAAAATAAATCTGCATAATTAACTTCAAAATAATATTTCAGATTTCTTAAAGACTGTTTCACTTGACTGTGATGATGTATGTATCAAATGCATAAATATGTTTCAGGTTATTTGTGAAATGCTTCCTAAGGACAAAGGGGATTTAAGAAGGTAAAAATTTCCTGGAAGGCAGGTTTACCCTGGTGTTCTTATAGATGGTAACTCAGAATCTTCTGTAGGTGAATAACTGATGTCTAAACTTTTTAAAAAGTGTTTTTCTTTGGAATATATTTTTAAAAGGGAAATTAGCCACATCTTTACATGTGAATATCACTTTAAAAGTGTACAGAGTACATTTATATGTATCATTTCTTTATTAAACATTTATTACATCCCTATCATGTGTCAGAAACATTATTGTATCATTTTATTTGATCCTTATACAGCTCTGCAGTAGGTAGAACAGGTGTTATTATCTCCGTTATGCAAAGAGATAACAATCAGTTAGCAGGTTATTACGTTATGTTAAGCCTAGGAGTTGCCCCATGTAAGATAGTTAAGTGGCGGGGCTGGGGCTTACTCTGGACTTTTCACTCTGGTTTCTTCAAATCTCCATTCAGTCAGTTTTGTAAACATTGGCAAATGATCATATCACGTTAATTTAATTTATATAAACTTCCCAACATGGGACCTGGCAGATAGTAAGAGCACAATAAACATAGAAACCCATTTGCCATTGCATTTTTTAAAAACTGTTAAGATTTTATCAGCAGTATTTATTCAGGAGTCTCATAACAGGAACATAGTGGAACCTGGGCAGGTTCCGGAGCAGTTAGCATTTGGATTCAGGTGTGCACTCTTTGAGATTGCCTTGGGGATGTTAGCTTTGGTAGAATTCTTCTGTGGAATGGACTTGACTGCATCCACCATGGGATGCACTGGGAACAAGGGATCATCAGTACTCGGCAATAAGGAAGAATGATACGATTTGGCACTTGCCTCTGGGAAATTTATAATATAGTTGGAAATCATTCAAATTGACAAATATTTATTAAGCACTTACTGTGTGCCAGTCCTCTGCTATATTTGGGGGGATTTAATAAGGATTAAGAAAGGGTGCTTTCTCTCTTTCTCTGATGAAGCTCATAAAACAGTTGTGAGTTCTGGGGATCAATGTATATCATGGTAACTGTAGTCAACAACACTGTATTATATACCTGAAAGTTGCTAAGAGAGTAGATAGTAAATGTTATCACCACATCAAACAATTATAATTATGTAAGTTGATGTGTTAATTGACCTTAATCATGTTGCAATATATATGTGTGCATCACACCATCACATTGTACACCTTAAACCTAAACAACGTTATATGTCTATTGAAAGTATTAGTCACTCATTTGTATACAACTCTTTGCAACCCCGTGGACTGTAGCCTGCCAGGCTCTTCTGTCCATGCAATTCTCCAGGCAAGAATACTGCAGCGGGTTGCCATTCCCTTCTCCGGGGAATATTCCTGACTCGGGGATCTCTGTATTGCAGGACTCAGCACTCTGTATCTGGGTCTCCTGCATTGCAGGCGATTCTTTACCGTCTGAGCCACCAAGGAAGCCCATATATCAATTATATCTTAATAAAGCTGGGGGGGAAATTTTAAAAAAATGCAGAGAGATAAGCACAGATGTTGCTAATAATAATAGAAATGAGACAGTGACAGTTGACTAGCAATAGCGTAGAGTGAATAAACAAGCCATGAAAGCTTCACCTCTATCAAGTGAAGCATTCTTAGGAGAGGGCCATGCTTGTGGACTGGTGTGACCAGGGAAGGCCTTCCTTCGGGGAGTGGAAACTTTAGCTGGGCTCTAAGGGATGAAGGAAGAAGAGGTTTATCCCATGTAGGTACAATGTAAAAAGGCCTGGGGATTGGATAATGATGTGAATGCTGAACATTGAGGAGCAATGGGGTTGGAATGAGAGACTGGGAAAAGACCTTGTGGGGGAATCCTGGGAAAGAAGAAGAATGTCTTGGATGGCACAACTTGGAAAACAGGCAGAAGAATTCCTCTTGATTGACATACACACAAAGAGAGAAATTAATTAAAGGACTGTGAGAGGCTCAATTGCTTGGTTTGGCCCTAGAATAGATGGCAACAGTCAAGCCATACTCTCAGAGGGGGTTCAAGATGAGATAACCTGGACGGATACGCTTTATTTTACACCCTGAACTGACTAAAATCTAGATAGAGATAGTGTCTTCCTTCCAATGGTGACTGCCATTTCCACCTCCAGAATGGGAGTAAATACTGTATTTTATAAGGAGAACTAGCCAGCTTCCATGTCTACAGACACAGACTAGAAAGATGAGCCTCAGTGGTAGGAAGCAGGATTTGGGTTGGAGAAAAGGAAGACTAGCAGAAATATCAGGATAGGTTCCTGAAGAAATCTATGGCATATTCTCTCCAGAAGATCTTTAAGGATAAGATAGATACACCTTAACTGTCTGGAATGAGAAATAATTATTACCATGTTGCTCTGTACCCTCATCGTGAGTGATAGAAGTCGACCTTATATTCTTTTCTGCCCTGTGTCTCTGCTTTTCAGTTCCATCAGCACCAGAGAATCCCAGAATATTTATATTACCAAGTGAAAAACACTGTAACAAGAATGAAGTTGTGGTGGAATTTAGGTGGAATAAGCCTCAGCATGAAAACGGCGTGTTAACAAGATTTGAAATTTTCTACCAAATATCCAACCAAAACGACACAAACAAAACATTTGAAGACTGGATTGCTGTCAACGTCACTCCCTCAGTGATGTCTTTTCAGCTGGAGGTCATGAGTCCCGGGTACAGCGTGGCCTTCCAGGTACGGGAGTGAAAATGGGGATACGGGGGTCTCAGTGTAAACAGAGAGTGGATTAAAGGACTAGGTTAAGAAGTCGGCTCTGTTAATAATTTGATGTATGCTGTAATCACAGAGGTCGAGTGGCAGCAAATATGTAGCAGGGAGAGGGGACAGCTAGGATTAAGGACTTTCTTGCTTCCAGATTCAGAATAAATCATTATTTTTGGCTCCATCACTAAAGGCCATGTATCACGGTAGGTGCTTTTATGTTGATTATCTCATTTGATCTTCACATTGTCTGTGAAGAAAAAGCCATGTCCCTGGGTGCATCAGGGAGTTACAAAAGCTGTGTGGTTGGGAAGTAGTGTGCTGTTTGGTCTGGCTTCTAGAATCCTTTCCATCATATCACATCAGTTGCTGGGAGGCATCCAACAAGTGGGGATGATCTTACTTCCAGTTACGGAAGGAAATAGAAGCTGAGGGTCTGGGTAGTTGACATCTCACATTTTTCGCCTGGCTGCTGAGAGAGAAGAAAGTGAAAGAGAGTATGAGTCAAAAGGAAAAAGCTACTGCCACCTGTTTTGGCATTTTTAATTTAATATGACAAAGCTTTCCCCTATGGTAGATGGCTTGATGATTTCTACATCCTCATTATATATCAGGTTAGTGACAAGGTTGTGCATATTTAGAGTTATTTTCCATCCTTTTTGGGAAATGTAAGATTTTGGGGAGAGTTTTAGAGATTTGTGGTTTCCAGAAGATCTATTTTATTTTTGCAAAATTTTAATTCAATGATTATTTTTATAATATATTAAGTTCAGTTCAGTTCAGTTCAGTTCGGTCGCTCAGTCATGTCTGACTCTTTGCGACCCCAAGAATCACAGCACGCCAGGCCTCCCTGTCCATCACCAACTCCCGGAGATTACTCAAACTCATGCCCATCGAGTCGGTGATGCCATCCAGCCATCTCATCCTCTGTCGTCCCCTTCTCCTCCCGCCCCCATCCCTCCCAGCATCAGGGTCTTTTCCAATGAGTCAACTCTTCGCATGAGGTGGCCAAAGTATTGTTAACATATATTAATAAAAATTATACATAAAAGTGAAAGGTAATACACATTCCTATCTGTTAAGAATTGTGTGTGTTCCAGTTAAACAAATACTCTGGCTAAGTGTGTTTGCCTCTATGGTTTGTTGGTGCTGTTTAGTCTCACACTTGTGTCCGACTCTTGCATCCCTGTGAACTGTAGCCCACCAGGCTTCTCTGTCCATGGGATAGCCCAGGAAGAATATTTGAGTAGGTTGCCGTTTCCTCCTCCAGGGGCTCTTCCCATGTCTCCTGCATTGGCAGGCATATTCTTCACCGCTGAGCCTGTATGGTTATTATAGTGGTTCAAATCTCAGTCAGGACAGAACTTTGCAAAGTGACATACATACATAGGCATGAGTTTTACTTGAATAGTCCAGTGCAGAAGTAAAGACTGCTTGATATATATAAAATATACACACATATATATGTACCATGTTACACACACACATACACACACACACCGTAGACAGATAGTGATAAATAGAATACAATAGAATAGATTCAATAGAAGTATAATAAAAATGAACCAATGTTTTGTTGATTGAGAGAACACTTGAGGATCTATCTTTCAAGGTCATCATTATGCACAACAATTTTCTTGTAGGCTATAGTACACAGGCAAGGTTTTGAAGTGGAAATAATTATCATGTAATAAAAGACATCTAATAAAAATTGTTAAAAAATGTTGCTGTTGGAATGCAACATGGCACAGTGGGAAGAAAAGCATACAGACCTCAGAAGACTTAGTTCTTATGCCAGTTCCTACATGTGTCATTGTGGCTGGGTTACCTACCCTAATGATGATCTTTGCCCAGTTTCTACTCTCAGTAGTTGTGAGGATCAAAAGAAATAATATATGTAAAAGTGGTTTGAAACACACAATTCATTTTCAAATATAAGGGTTAATTACTATTTTCTTTTTATAAATCTCCTTTTTAAAAAGTACAGTAAATTTAGTTATTTGAAACTTCATGTTGATTTCACGATAAGTAATTTACCATAATCTGTATAGTTTTGTTTCTGTTAAATATTCCACGTAACTTAATTTTGGAAATAGCTAAAGACCTTTTTTAAGAACTTTAGATCTTTTGCAATAGGGATTTGCGCCATTACTTTGTACTTTTCTGGACAATAAAAACCTTACCAACAGTAGGTTAGGACAATATTTTCCCTTATAATTTATTGCTGTATACTTAGATGTGACTAACTAAACTATTCATAATGTATCTTATAACTCTGAAATGAACCACTCAATAATTTATCAGTCTTAGAACTTAATTATTGTCACTCAGGACACTTCTGAAGGCACTTCTTTATATCCTTTTCTTTCTTTAGGTTCGAGTCTTCACATCCAAAGGACCTGGACCATTTTCTGACATAGTAAAGTCCAAAACATCAGGTATTTATCATCTGGAACCTGTGCAAGTGTTAATAACAATTAGTTATTTAATTATAAAATATCAATATTATATGTTTATATAATATTAATATATTAATTTTATATAATATAAATTTGATTTAATTATCAAATATTAATAACAATTAGTGGTTTCATTATCAGGAGCTTCCCTGATAGCTCAGTTGGTAAAGAATCTGCCTGCAATGCAGGAGACCCTGGTTCAATACCTGGGTTGGGATGATCCCCTGGAGAAGAGAAAGGCTACCCACTCCAATATTCTGGCCTGGAGAATTCCATGGACAGTCCATGGGGTCAAAAAGAGTTGGGCACAACTGAGCAACTTGCACTTTACTCTCTCTCTAGTGATTTAAAAACATTTTGACTGTTAGTATTCTCAGAAATACCCAAGTACTATCTCTGAGCTGAAACTAAAGCCAAATAAAGTAATCATCTTTTATCATCACCAAACCTGCTTGTATAAATCTAGGCTTAGAGTGCCTGGGCAGTCTCCATCGAGATGGGTTGTAAGTGTAGTTCATGAGCCCAGAGACTCATTGATTTCAAAATGGTCTGATATTGAATCAAGGGGTTTTGCTAAAGTTCTTTTTCTCATACATATTATCTACTTGTTTTGTTTTTAGAAATTAACCCATTTCCATACCTCATAACTCTTGTTGACAACAAGATAACTTTATTAGATATGGATCAAAATCAGGTCGCATGGGCATTTTCAGCAGAAGGTGATGTTGGTGCCATGGGCTACACAGCTGATGATGCAGTGGGGTACTATGCTCAGGGAGACTCCCTCTTCCTCCTCAAAATGGACAACCGGTCCAGCACTAAGGTATTTTGCTATGTAATTCCTTTGAACGAAAGTGGAGTATTTGCCTATCACACAAACCTGTGATTAAAATGATTGGCCAGTGGTTGAGACATTAAGATTAGAATGGCTGAAAAAGACAGGTGTTGTTTAACTATTTAGTTACAAATGAATTCAGGTTAGATTTGGGGTAAATGTGATTCACGCTTAATTTAGCAAACAATGGGTTTAAGGCACTGTGTTACCTGCGATAGAGGTAAAAAAAAAAAGTCACTGTCTTTGAACAAATCCAGTCTAGTGTTAGTCTAAGATGATGAAGACAGTGTTGCTTAGTGGTTAAGAGGGTGAGCTTTGAAATCTGACAAGCTAGAGTTTAATTCTGAGTCTGTTACATGCTAGATCTGTGATCATCAGCAATTTCTTTAACCACTGTGGTTGCATAGTCCCTCATCCTAGAGAGAAGATTAATGAGCTAAGCCTTGGCAGGCACTTAGTACAATGCCTGGCATGTGGTAAGCATTCACTGAATTTAGCTAGTGGAGGGGATAGGCGGAAGACTGTAAGTGCTGTGCTGAGGGCAGGATGCAGTGGGACTGCAGAGAACGGATACTTAACCCAGGGTGGAATGGTGGCGGTAGTGGTAGCGTGGAAAGACATCTTGCATACAAAGACGATGAACCAGGTGAAAATGGGGCATGGCTGAGCAATCAGCAAAGTCTGGGAAACCAGAGAGTCACAGCCTGTTTGGGGAGCTGTAACTAGAACGAGGTCTTCCCTGATGTCTCAGCAGTAAAGAATCCGCCTGCAATGCAGGAAACATGGGTTTGATCCCTGGGTTGGGAAGATCCCCTGGAGAAGGGAATGGCTACCCACTCCAGTACTCTTGCCTGGAGAATTCCATGGACAGAGGAGCCTCAAGGGGTACAGTCCATGGGGTGGCAAAAGACTTGAACATGATTTGGTGACTACACAACAAGTAGAAGGGACTTGGAATGGAGATGGAGGTGAGGGCACAGGAAAGTCAGGTGTTAAAGCCAGAGAGGTGGGCAGGGACCTGAATATAATGTGCTAAGGAGTTGAGTGTCAATTTTAAAGCCAGCATTAAGCCATTCAAAACATTTAGTGCATCATTAACGCAATCAACCAGTGTTTCAGGAAGACCTCTCTGTCACCTGTCTGAATACCCTTAGAGAAAGTTAAGTCGGAGGCAGTCAGGAGGCTATCACAGAAATCCAGACAGGAAATTTTAAGCAGGAAACGAGAGACAGTGAGTGAGAGAAGAGAGGATAAACTTGGGAGATACTACCCATAATTCACTATGGGTAGTAATGGGAGGAAGAAGTCAAGGGTGAATGACAATTGTCAAGATTGTTCCTCAGGTGAGTGCTGGAAATCCATAGTAATATAAAATGCAGGAGAAAAGGAGAATTGGGGGTGGAGGGATGCGTTCTGTTTTCTGGGATATTTTCAGTGGGTAGTTTGATATTTGAATCAGTAACTCAATGAGCCACCTTGCCTGAAGATGTAGATTTGTAGCACTGGTCTATGGATTACAGTTGAAGTCATGGTGATTGAAATTAACCACGTGTGAAAAGAGGTCCAGTGTCACAACGGTACACAGTCCAGAGTTACCAAGTTTCAATGTTACAAAAGAGAAGTGCAGTTAATAAGTAATACGAGTGTTTAAAAAAAAGTCATCAGATTTGAGGAAAGTGACCACTATCTTCTTGATTGTGCTTTCCACCTGTTGTTAAGATTTTCAGAGATGCACTGGTTTTTGATATCACAATTATTACAATTGACTGGATTTCAAGGCACCTCTACTTTGTGCTGAAAGAGTCACAAAACAGAATGCAAATATTTGATATGGATCTTGAAAGCAAGGTGAAATATCCCAGGAAGCTGAAAGCTTGCAACAGAAATTCAACAATAACTTCTTTTTCTGTGTATCCTTTTTTAAGGTATGTGAAGTGTATCTGTTTCTATTGTGATGAAATAGACATAAACATATTTAATGTGATATCTTTGGTTTAATATCAGAGTCAGTGATGGGACACTAAGATGCTTAATGTTCTTGATGTTAACTTACAGTAAGTAATTCTATATATGAATAATGAGCCCATAACCACCACTATATAAAATTAATCCATACTGAGAACTCCTTTAACCTAAAGTTAGATTAATTACCAGCAGGAAACTGAAGTGTATTTTTAATCCAGCGAATTTAATAAACACCCCCAGTTGGTAAGGACAGGAAGGGGATTGAGACAGCGGCAGGAAATGAGCAGGAGATAGGCAGTTTGTTTTGCACAGTAAATGATATTCTGGGTTCATTTGTCTTTAATTAATGTCTTCATTAGATGAATTTTAAGACCTCCATTCAGCAGCTGAAGGGCAGTTTTTCAGGTTGCTTATGTTTGTGCCATTAGCATGGTTATAATCTATCTTGAAACTAGATTGGTAACTAGTGTTAAGAAGTGGAAACCAAATTAAGAAGAGAGGAATGGAGATGGTGTTGATGGAAAGTATGCAAATGTATTTCATATTTAGAGCCTTTAATGAGCCATTTAATACAACACCTAAGATCATTAAGGCTTCTCTGGTGGCTCAGATGCTAAAGAATTCACCTGCAATTCAGGAGACACGAGTTTGATCCCTGGGTTGGGAAGATCCCCTGGACAAGGGAATGGCTATTCACTGCAGTATTGTTGCCTGGAGAATTCCATGGATAGAGGAGCCTGATCGGCTACAGTCCATGGGGCCACAAAGAGTCGGACACAAATGAGTGACTAAACACACTTACAAGGTCATTATAATCAAAGGCTTTTGTTGTAAACACATTTATGGAGAAATTGTTGGCAAACGCTACATACTAGACTTCATGTGACCTTTTCCATCAGAAGGTTTTTGAGCACTGAGACATGTTCTCTCTAAAGGTGGCATTTGTTCCCACAGTCATCAGAAACGATGTCTCTTCATTAAAAAGTGATATGTGTGATGGTAGGTTTAACTGATTAAACTGGAGGATCTTTTTTTTCCCCAATAGTCGCCTATATTGGACAGAAGTTTTTGGTTCTGGATCTCAGATGTTCTACTACAGTATTATCAACCAGACTGTGCATGGAATTCTGCAAGCCCCAGTCACAAACCATCCAAACGGGACCCAGTGTTCTTGCAATGTGACTGAATCTGAGTTGAGTGGAGCAATGACTATTGACACCTCTGACCTAAAGAAACCACAGATATACTTTGTCAAAGGTCAAGAGATCTGGGCCACAGATCTAGAAGCATGTCAGTGTCGGCAAATTATCATCCTGCCTGCTCTTCTTGGTAAGACACATGTGTGTATGTAGATCTTCACTGGCGATGGGAGACCTTCCTGTCCCATTAAAAAGGAGTTACAGGCAACATATACTCAAATGAATATATATGCATATACATATATATACATACACACATATAATATACATATATGGTATTTGCTCCAGACCATGCCAAATGTTTTTGTAGAATTTAAGCTGTATTCAGGCAAATTGTACATAGGCATTCACATAATTTTCTGGATCTATTAGGGAGCTTTTTTCTTGTCATTTTACGGTTAACAGAAGTATTAATACAACTTATTGAGCTTAATACATATTCTAGACAGGTTACTAAATGCATTATTGCATTTTATCTTCAAAATACCTCAGTGAAGTAGATATTAATATTTGCGTTTTACAGATAAGGAGACTGAGGCCGAGAAAGGTAAGGTCACATGTCTGTAAGGCCACAATTAATACAGAAGCTGTTTTGAAACTGGGCCTAATTACAGCATCCCTGATCTTCCTACCAGTACTTCACTCCTGTGCTGATCTCATTGCCTTCACATTTAGTGTGACTTGGTCAATATTTGACAGGTCTATTTGTTGAAATTCACAAGCTTATAGAGGAAATATTTTAAAGTCATTTGGTAGTCTCCTAATTAGAAGTACCTGTAAAGTTTAAAAAACACCCTAAACATCCCCATATATTCTTAAAGCTCTAAGTCCTCACCATCCAGTATAGTAATCACTCATCACATGTGGTGATTTAAGTTTAAATTAATTAAAATTAAATTAAATTCTAAATTTAATTCCTCAGCCACACTAGTCACATTTTAAATGCTCAAAATGCATTAAGTGGCTAAGGTTACTGTACTGGGCATCATAGATATAGAATATTTCCATCATCAAAAGTGCTGTTGGGCATTTTGAAACTGTAAATTGTGTGTGTGTGTGTGTGTGGTATAACTGAATGTATGGTTTTGTTGACTTGTCACCCAGAGCATTCTAGAAATAATTCCAATGTACTTTCAGTGGGCTTCAGATTAGAGATAATGTTTTGAACTTCTCTTACTAGGAGAATAACTTGCCTCTATTGAATCTGTGACAAAGACTCACAGATACACTCATAAAGACTCCTTGGTCAAACTTTAATGCCTTCTTTTTGGTCCGTGCCTCGTGACCTGCTGGATCTTACTTCCTGTATCCAACCAGTGCCTCACACCGTAGGAGCATGGAGTGCAGAGTCTTAACCACTGGACTGCCAGGGAAGTCCCTAATTAACCTTTAGTTACACTCTTGTGAGGAGTGTAACTAAACTAGGCCTCACATTTGACTTTGCATGTCCATCCTTGCTGAGTCCAGTTTTATCAAGAATCTTGCCAGATCAATTTAGAGAATCCCTCCCGCTCAGTATCTGACCAAGTTCTTTATCCCCCTTTCTTGATGTTCTTGGCTCGCTGTTAGCAAAAATCCAGTTGGACCAGCTTAGCAGGAATCCCCCGGCCCTTGATTCTCCTCTCCTCCTTGGCAACAGCCCTGCTGTCCTGGTTGTATCTGAGTTGTCCACGTCTCCCTCCCCTATTGCAGTATTACAACAGCCTTGATTAATGTCTTCCCAACCATTTAAACAAGTGTCAGAATGACTTTCCTTAACATCTGATACACAGGACTATCTAATGGGCCCTTATCTTGTAGAACTAGTCAGTCTTTCAGGAAGCCACAATTGAAATCCGTAATCCCCAAATTAGAAAATGAGAATAACTTTAGAGATCTTTTAGCTGATGTAATATTGGAAGAAATCTTCTTTACAAAAACAGCACTGCTTGAGCTCTTGTTTGTGAAACACTTACTACCTTATAAAGAAGTCTAATTTTTGTGCAATTCTAGATATTATATATTTTTCTTATGTTTAAAGTTTTCTCCCATTTCTCTATTCATTGGCTTGAATTCTGATCTTTAAATTTACAAAGTATAAATCAGTCACTTTCCACATGATAGCCACTTAATTGTAGAAACAGCTGCACTTCCTTTAGAGGAAAAAATTTAAGTATCTATAAGTTCTCCTTAGGCGATGTGGCTTCTAGATCTTTCTTTGTCCTCTCCACCCTCCTGAGATTTAACTCTAGCTGCTTAATCCTCTTAAATGGTGCCCCATAATAACTCACTGTACTTTGAATATGTTCTGGTCAGTGCAGAGGACCTCTGACTACTCAGGTCTTCTTTTACTGCAGCTGAAAGTGACGTCAGGCCTTTGAGCTGCCTGCCATTTGAAGAACCCATGGTCTTCTTTATGTTAATGATTATAAAGCCAGATTTCTTTCCTAATTTACAGACTTGATTTTAACCTTGAATTTAGGATGTTATATTTGTTATTAAATTAAATGCTATTGAATTTCCATCCATTTCATGATTCTGCTGTGATATTTTTGAATTTACCAGCCAAAGACTGACTGCACTAGTGACATTAGGATTCATATGTATTGTCTGCAAATTTGATAAATAAGTTTGCTCTGCATTCATTCTAAATCATGGATAAAAATACTGAGCGAGGTACTGAGCCCTGAGCCTCATCTCTTACCTCCCTTCATTTAGTGTTGTTTCATATGAAATCACACAGCTAAGTTTTGAATCCTGGTTCTGCCCTTGGATAACTTTGTGGCTTTGAGGGGATTATTTCACCCCTCTAAGCCTCAGTTTCCTAATTACAAAATTAGACTAATAATAATAGTATTTGCTTTGATATGACTTGATATGGCAAGTTGGCTTGATATGGCAGTAAAATGAGAAAATGTCTATAAAATACTTAGGCTAAAAATTCAAAATAAAATTATTCTTTTGTACTGAAATAATAGATTCGAAATTGATCGGAAAAAAAGATTTCACATATTGCTTAGAGCAGAAAATGTCAGCTACGTATTTTGTCCTTTATGTTCTTTCTTTCATTTATGATTTTTATCAGCAGGAAAAATGCTTGTTAGCTTGACTGTGGATGGAGAATTTCTTTATTGGATCTCCAAAGTAGAGGACAGCACACAGATTTATCAAGCAAAGAAAAGCAATGGGGCCATCCTCTCCCAGGGGGAAGCCCCAAGGAGTAAGCATATTTTGGTTTACAGTTCAGTTCTACAGCCTTTTCCAGGTAGGAAAATCACATTTTTTACAAGCTTGTTCTCCCAGTTTCGGATCAGGAAAATCTCATAATGTCTCCTCCTCCAGGGCAGTCCTTCCAAGTCTTCACTGTGCTCTCAGCATTGCTCCAAATGCTCAGGGTTTGGTGCACGCTGTAATTGCTATTTGCCCTGGGTCACAATTTATCTCTATGTGTACTCGTGGCTTGGACTGTGGTAGGCCACTTTAGATGTGGGAAATCCTTGTCCTGTCAATCTGTCTGTTCTCTTTCTCTTCGCAGTCACATAGCTTCCCTTCTTTTTGTCTTGTGTTTCCCCTGATGGTATTTTAGACTTCCCAGTGGTGTCAAAAAGCTTTGCATTTAATTTCAGATCTTTTTCATTATAATATTATATATGTCAACTATTTAACGTGTGTACATGTGCACTACTATTTTTATTGTTTCTATTTTATTTATTTCATGTGTCATCCATGAAGTTTTCTAGTGTTGTGCTCCTAAATCTATTTTCCCCACAAACCTTCCGGATTTTGTTTAATGCAATGCCTTTTAGGAATGTATGTATCAAGACTTCCCTGGTAGCTCAGGCGGTAAAGCTTTCCACCTACAGTGCGGGAGATCTGGGTTCAATCCCTGGCTCAGGAAGATCTCCTGAAGAAGGGATTGGTACATATTATGGTGGAACTGACTATATTTTTTGCTGAGAGTCATAATAAAAAATGTTTGAAATGTAAAAACCAACCAACCAAAAACAAAAGCAGCCTCACATAGCCTTATGGGTGATAGTCAAACCTAAAGTGGTTTTCTTAAGTTCTCTCTTCCATTAGTCACAATGTCATTCTAAATTCAGTATAATTCCCTCTTAGAGATGGACAGAAATGAAGAGAAGAAACTCTTTGCTTAAATGTATTCAGTTATAAAATATGTAAGTTATACAGTATGAAAAATGGGAGAATTCATAAATAAGCTGAATATATATTTTGGTAAATAATTCGTTAAGAGATAGTTGAGATTGAGCACACAGGCATATCTGTAGAATGAAAGTCCTAAAGGTGACATCAGTTTTCATCATAGGAGTTCATTGAAAAATGGGACTGATAGAATACTCTCATTACTTTCTTGGAAATAAAAAAGGGTCCATTTTGCTACTGTCTAGGTGGCACCCCACTCCAGTACTCTTGCCTGGAGAATCCCATGGACGGAGGAGCCTGGTGGGCTGCAGTCCATGGGGTCGCTAAGAGTCGGACACGACTGAGCGACTTCACTGTCACTTTTCACTTTCATGCATTGGAGAAGGAAACGGCAACCCACTCCAGTGTTCTTGCCTGGAGAATCCCAGGGACGGGGGAGCCTGGTGGGCTGCCGTCTATGGGGTCGCACAGAGTCAGACACGACTGAAGTGACTTAGCAGCAGCAGCAGGTACATAATTAGGGCTTCCGTGGTGGCTCACGGGTAAAGAATCTGCCTGCAATGCAGGAGACTCAGGTTCGATCCCTGGGTTGGGAAGATCCTCTGGAGAAGGCAATGGCACCCCACTCCAGTACTCTTGCCTGGAAAATCCCATGGACGGAGGAGCCTAGTGGGCTGCAGTCCATGGGGTCGCTAAGAGTCGGACACGACTGAGCGACTTCACTTTCACTTTTCACTTTCATGCGTTGGAGAAGGAAACGGCAACCCACTCCAGTGCTTTCTTGCCTGGAGAATCCCATGGACAGAGGAGTATGGCCAGCTACAAGCCACAGGGTCGCACAGTCAGACACAACTGAAGTGACTAACGCAGCAGCAGGTACATAATTAAGCGTACTTTCGCTCCATCTGCTGGAGATTGTAAGCAATTACCAGTTACTTTGCTCTTTTCCCGAGGCATTTAGCATCTTCAAAATACATGAAAAAAAAAGTGTCTTCCTGTCCAGAATAACATTTCCAACACTCCAATATATCATACCTTATCTGTTGAATAAAAATGAAATGTGAAATTATCCTTGATGTTAGACAAATCTGCTGATTCTCTTTTATCCATATGTGTGTATGTATTTAATCATTTTTATTATTATTTTAGATAGAGCATTTCTGTCTCTAGCTTCCGATATTGCAGAGCCAACTATACTTAACACCACTAACACCAGCCTCACAATCAGATTACCACCCACTCGGACAAAACTTACATGGGACGGCATCACCAGTCCCACTCCCACATACTTGGTTTATTACAAAGAAGTAATTGACATGAAGAACAGCTCTGAACTGAGAGATAAAATGCTGGTAAGGCTGAAGCCAGTTGTCTTGTCTTTTCCCAAGATGCCCTATTTTGATATAAAATCCTCAGCCGAAGTATTTTCTGTATAATGTTCTGAAATATGCTATTACTTTGATTTTTACAGCTGAATCATCAAACCATTCTAGTCTCTTGCCTGGGAGTAAGTTAAGCTTTAAGAAAGTACATTAACTCTAACTAATGGTAGATTGCCTTATAGTAACTATTCCCTGAGTGTCCTAAAAGAGCTGGGTTTGTTGTCTTTCTAATTATTTTATCTAATTATACCCAGAAAGTGATAGAGACCTGTTTTTGTGGCCATCCCAACAGATTGAGGGGTAAGAAGTAAATTGGGCAGAAAGAACATTATTGTGTACCTGTTTTCCATTGTATATAGCTAATATACAAATTGTACTTTATATTTTTATTTTCTATAAATGTATGATTAGGCAGGGACTACCTTTTTATCCATCATTGTATTCCTAGCACCTAGCATACTACTTGGCATTGTATAGGCATTTACTAGGTATTTCTTGAATGAATGAATGGACACAATTCATTCCAACACTGGCACTGATGTTCTAATTCCACGTGATGGAATCATGTGTTTCTAGTATTTTTCTTTGTACTTATATTTTGATCAAGTGAAAAGGTGAAATTGACCATCATCTATTGGTGGTAACAAGCGCTATACATTTTGACAGAAAGTACACCTGATTCTTGTTACTTCATTTGTCTATTTAAAATATATATATTATTTATTTTTGAATTTTGTCTATTTTAATCTTCCTTTACACATTTCTAAAAGGAGTTGTTTCAGAGACAGATTAGATCATTTGGCTGACTAAGATTGGGCTTCTGGAATTGGCATTTCTCTTATTAGAGTTAATCTATTGTTTCGGCTTCATAGTGATTAACATGGATCAAAGGCGGTGAGTGGTTCTCAACCTTGATAGTGCATTGGAGTTTTTAAAGTCTCTGAGCACATGCTTCACCTAAGACTAATGCAATCATATCTCTAGGGGTGGGACCCAGGCATCAGTGTTTTCTTAAAATTCCCCAGATGATTCCAAAGTATAACCAAAATTGAGAACCGTTGGTCTAAGGAAAGCCTTTTCAGTTTCTTAAGCTTTATTTCTAAGAATGATTAGGTAACATAGCTTAATCTTTTACTGTATTCACTTATGTGTCACATCCTCACAATACCTTCCTGCTGAATTTCTAATGCACGGCTAATAAAGACAATTTTGTCCTCTGGGAATTTAACATCCTACATAAAATAGTTAAATAACAATTGACTGAGGGCTGCCAATCATTTGGCATTCCTGGAAACATTAAACAACTCAGGTCTGGGCAGACTAGGACAATGAAGACCATCAGTCATGATCCAAGATTTAAAAATAAATTAAAATTTTGAGTCTTTTCCTTTTTCTCTCTTTGATTAAATAACTTCTCCCCATTTCTACAAAAATAAGAATAAGTTATTGATTTTTTAAAATTAATTACAGGAATTTCAGGGGAGTATCGCCCTTATTGAAGGTTTACAACCATTTTCAACATATATGATACAGATAGCTGTAAAGAATTATTATTCAGATCCTTTGGAACAAATACCTCTGGGAAAAGAGATATGGGGAAAAACTAAAAGTGGAGGTGAGTATGGGCATGGTGTGGGTTTCTAGAGTGGGATTTTGCAATTTATGTGATGTGTGAGCCTATATTTGGTTTTTATCTGGATGTTAAGAAATCTTTCTTATGTGAGTTTTTTAAGCTTAATAGAAAAATGTGTTTGTAGAAGAATATTCTGATGACATCCTTACTCTAACACCGGAAGATGATGGATAATATTCCATCAAAATGAAAAGCAACTATATAGCAAAACATTGTAACAAATTCTGTTACTGGAAACACATTCTTTGGTCTCACCACACAGTGTCACTCTCTTCCTGTATATTTCTAGGTCTCTGCACACATGGTGAGGCCCAGGAAAGTCAAACTTTTTTAAAAAATTAATATTTTTTAATTGAAGTTTTAATTTAGTTGCTTTACAGAATTTTGTTGTTTTCTGTCAGACTTCAACATGAATCAACCATAGGTCTATGTGAATTTTACCGAGGGCCACTGAGATGTAGTCATGTAACCTCATTGCCTTAAAGAAAATGGATTTAGAGTCTGAAAATGTGTTGTAAGAGGTGGTGATTATTATGAGGAAATGCCATTTCTTTCACATGTCTCCGATGGTGTTCACAAAACCAGAATTGGCCAGATCCTCGAACTGGAGTCAGAGAATGATTTAGTCATTAGTCAAAAATAAGCCAGAGCCTTTCAGGCAGCCTGGTAACTTACCATTATATAAGAGGCTGGCTTTCCCTTGGAACATCTGTCATTCATTCTGCTCACATGATATGCTTATTCCTCAACCAAGACCCTATGACTTCTTTCCATCTTTCGGTGCTATTGCAACATCCCTTATTGTGCGGGGCTATTTATTTCAGTACCAGAGGCGGTTTGGCTCATTAACACAACCGTGCAGTCAGACACCAGCCTCGTTATATCCTGGACGGAATCTCACAAGCCAAATGGACCGAGAGAGTCCGTCCGCTACCAGGTGGCAATCTCTCATCTGGCTCCCATTCCAGAGATTCCACTAAGGCAAAGTGAATATCCAGATGGGAGTCTCTCTCTCCTCGTTACTAGACTGTCTGGTGGAAAACTCTATGTGTTAAAGGTACGGCCAGTGGATTGGGTACTTTAATTACCACGCTCCAGAGCAAGGTTTGAGAAAGGTTACGCAATTGTTCTTTTTTACTAAAAGGTTCTGGCCTGCCATGCCGAGGAAATGTGGTGTGCAGAGAGTCACCCTGTCACTGTGGAAACATTTGACTCGCCAGAGAAACCTTATGGCTTTCTTCCAGAGAACACTAGTTTGCAGTTACATTGGAATGCTCCTTCAAATGTTCACCTCATCAGATTTTGGTGTGAACTCCAAAAGGTACATCTCAACGTACACTTTTAATGCAAATCTTTGTTTTATGCTGTAGAATAAATCAAAAGGCCTTTTCAAAAAATATCTTGGGGGCATTCACTTGTGTTAAATGAGTGATATATTTGACAACATTCATTGATTCAGATTTTCCAGATAGATGTGGTAAGCTACCTAGACTGATTTCTGATGGAAAAAATTCCCAGAGAGATTAATTTGCTCTTAAAAGGCTTCACATAAAAGGGTATAAATTACAGTTAACTGGTTTCATAATGTTTTACTTACTTTAGATGTTATCAGCATGGTTCTCTGGTTTGAAGTCCATAGCAATTTGTTTTATTCTACGGGGGAAAAAATGAAATGAAATGAACAAACATAAACCTAAAACCTGTTTATAAATGTTCTTTCAACCATTTAAGGACTATATAGCAACAGGAAAGAAGTAAATGATAAACTAGTTTATTCTAAAGTAGTTGGATCTCAGCTTGTAAACTTTAAATAGTTCCTCATTCAAAAATCTTCATGCTTTAACCAATGTAAAGCTATCCACTGAATTTAAGCATCAATTTAAGCATCAATTAATTCACTTCTAAGGAAAATCTACATTGATTTTTATACTGATACACTTAATAGATTATTAAGTTTTTATAATTGTGACATTTCACTTTTCACTCCTATATATTTGTGTGTCCATATTTGTGAAGACTGGTTAGGAGTGTTTTGTAAAAACAAATCAGTATGGTTAATGACCTCACTTTTCTTTAAAAATGAAGTTGCTCCCCAGAGGCTTTAAAATTTTACTATATAAAATATTTTTTAGAATCTTGTACTTTTAGATAAAAACTATGAAAAATAAGCAACAGCAGTGATAAGTTGCTCTAAGTATTAAGTTGATAAGACCAAAGACCACAGTTTAATTGGATTTTTTCCATTGAGCGTGTTAATGATGATTTGTTGCCTATTTAGAAAATAGTCATTTCATAAAAATTCAGTTTTAAATTGGAGAAACTGAAGGATCATCTTTTTGGGGTGACGTCTATTTATAAGCTTAATGTGGTTCAGCTTGAAGTCAAGGGGAGGGACGTAAAGTTCATTTCCCATATCAAAGGTGTGAACTGAGGAAGGACCTTAGAGGTGATTCCAGCTTCTCGTGTTACTGATGAGAGGCTGGAGACTCGCAGGTGGCCCGATGAGTCAGAATCACGGCTGGACAGGAGAGGACCCTCAGGGCTGACTCATTGCTACAGAGGCTTTCCTTTAGTCCATCTGCAGAAGGAACATGAGTCATCATCACCCACCCCACTCCTTAAAGTTTAGGAGAGGGGCAGAAGACGGGGCCACCTGGTTCTGTCCCCATGACTTTCTTATGATGCTTTTGTTTCAAGACCTCCTCTACCCTTGCTCAGAACAGATTTTTAGGTAGACCACTTGAGAAATCTTGAAGCTGAAAATGTAAGATGGTAATTTCTACATGCATGATCACCTACAAGTACTAATGTAGAAGGCTGTGTTCTGAGAGGGTTGGTGATGACATCTAGTCGGAAAGGTCTATTTCTTTTGAGCAAGTTGAACCTACCTCATCATGATAGGAAGTTAGGAATAGTCTTGTAACGCCACAACAAAACTCTGAGGGGTGAGTGACAAAGGTGAATATGCATATTTTAATTAATCTTTTTTGTTCCTTTCCACCTCTGCCCTTCTCCTTTCTGAAAAGGGAGAAAAAGATAAGCTTCCAGTCTTCATCTTTTCCTTATATGGAAAAATGAGAGTCTTAGAGCACAAGAGCTAAATTTTTATCTTGGTCTTAGATTTCATAGATTCTTTATTATAATAATGCATAGAAAAAGAACACATTCAATTTAAGATTGAGGAGAAACAAATAATTTTGCTTTGGTAAATTTTTTTCATGAAAATTCATGTAAATGGTCTTTTTCTCAGCTATCCAGGGGAATCCCTACCAGAACCAGACATTTCTGAAGTTTCTGTCTCTGATACATCATAATCTGCACCATTTCCCCCACACCCTTGCTCAATAATTTGGAAATCCTCTCTGGTAGCCTTCCCTGCTGCACTTGTTGGCTTCTGATGAATGAAGATCCCAACTCCCTTGTGATTTACTGGGGTAGCCCGTGGCATCTCTCCAAGTTAGTGGTCCGCCCAGGACGTTCGTTGCTGTGGTGAGGTCAATACGCTATAGTTTTCCAGCAAAACCCTTGGCCAAATATCTCCCTGACATCCCAAGGCGTTCTTATGATTTCTGGGTGGTGTGGAATGTTGGGCCATCCAGACTACTCACTGAAGGAGGCATTAAGGAGGCAGGACCAAAAAGGGCTAAAATTTTTCAGCCAGGACTCAACATCTGCCTTCCTCCTTGCCCCTCACCCCCTTCAGAAGGTTCAGAATAAATATTATTTTGCATCTGCATCTATTTCATTAGGCTATATGAATCAGTGGCACTGAGACATTTATGAGTTTAACAGGCAATGTCTCTGACATCAGCATTTCTGGTTTTTCTTTTCGTTCCTTCTGTTCCTCTTTCTTTCTGTAATAAGGTGATCTACTTCCTGAAGGTGCTATAGTGAATTATTTCTTTTTTTGTATGTGTGAATTATTTCTAACTGAATAGAAAACTAATATAAAGTGCCCATCCAATGAAATGGCATGACCTTGTGAATGCTAAATGAAAAAGGAGATGTAAAGTAAGGTTTATTTATGGAAACTGATCTTCTTAGGAAACTTTACTGGGGAAAATACATGAAGAACCCTTGACAGAAGGCCGTATCCTCTGTCTTCTCCTATTTGTATATTGAAAAAAGTCATCATTTTCATATAAGATATTAAGGATCTTGTATCTTATTTAAAATACACAGATATTTTAAAATATACAGATTTTTTAAAAGCAGTGTTTCAGAGAAAGAATTTTAATATAGCTATAATTACAGACCCAGTGAAATGAAAGTAACATTTCCTATATTTAACTTCTAACTTTGCTACTTAGTGATTGAGTGACAGTAGGCAAAGATTTCCTTCTTTTAGGGAACTAGGCTTCCTATGTAGAAAAATAAGGAATGTTGCTTAGATGCCTAAAGAGGGTTTGGGGAGGAAAAACTAAATGTTTTCATTTATAAGTCACTGTGGACTTCTTCAATATGTGAAATATTGTGAAAATATTACTACTTTGAAATCAGCAAATGTGTGGAATTGAAAATATCACAGTTTTAATTGGTCATTTCCCCTCAGCTGTGAATTTGCATCCTCAGCCATCCTGATTTGATAAAGAGGCCTATGAATAGGGATACCAAGAAGCCAAACAATCCTCCCGATGATAAACAGTCAGAGGTGCATGTCGCACCTTGGACTTATCCTCGGGACCATCGTTCAAGTAACTTACAGCTTGTCATAAAAAATAGAATTGCTGTTCGTGGAAGGGGATACTATCTGGGATCTGACACTCATAAAGAAGCTCTTATTTTAGTATAAACTTCAAGCTTTAAGGCTTGCTACAGGCTTTTGAATTTCTATGTTTAAGAAGTTTTTCTTAAAGAAACAAAAATGTTAATTTAGACTTCTTTTCCTAGTGGAAGCACAATGAGTTTTACCATGTTAAAGCTTCGTGCAGCCAAGGTCTTGCTTATGTCTGTAGCATCACAGACCTACAGCCTTATGCTTCCTATAATGTCCGAGTAGTGGTGGTGTACTGGACAGGGGCAAACAGCACCTCTCTTCCAGAAAGTTTTAAGACTAAAGGTGAGTACTAACATATTCAACACTTAGGCAACTCTAGACATCTCTCAATTCTTTTCTCATTGCTCGCTTCACTAATCCTAGAGGTTGAAATTTTTCTTAAAAGAGTAAATTACTATCTTTAGAGCCTGACTGAAGAAATTGAAAAGAGGTAGGGGTTTCTTACAGGCAGTAATGAGATAATACTTGTGTGGTTTTGCAGGATCCTAAACTGGAAAAAATTGTTTCACCTTTCATTATTCTGATTTTCTGTCTAGCTATGATATTTTGTAGTAACAAGTAAATGAAAACAGTGTCACTGGGTGTTCAAGTATTTACTTATAGACTACTACAACCAGATGTTAAAAGTAAAAAATCTAACAAGTATATTAAATTAGCCAGTGTTTTAACAGCTATTCCATAACTCCAAGTTGATCTCTGTAATAATCAGTGAAAAATGCTCCAAATCTTACAATCATCTTTTTTACTTGCATCACTTATTTTGTGTCGGGCTAAGATCTATTGTTACTCCTATCATAAATCTATCTAATCCGTCACTAATAAAAATCTTCAGGTACTCACTTAAACATATGCACTCTTATGAACGTATTTCTGAACATTTCTTTAATGTATTTGGCTTTTCTCTTGGTAAATGTTGTCTATAGAAAGATGTTATGCAGAATATTTTATACTTCTAACATATCAATCAAATTTTCTTTTGTTTCCAAAGCTGGAGTCCCAAGTAAACCAGGCATTCCAAAATTATTAGAAGGGAGTAAAACTTCAATACAGTGGGAAAAAGCTGATGATAATGGAAGCAGACTTATGTACTATATCCTTGAGATCAGGTATGTCTGTTTACAAAAGTGCTTTGTAAACTACAAAGACCTAAGCAGTTGATTTTAAGGTATTATTGGATCAAAATTAACAATATTTATGAATGTGTATTTATAAGTAAACATAAGGGGTCTTTAGTGTAAGGGCCTTGCATGCCTCATTACATTCTTTACACAATTCCTAGTGGTCAGCCTTGGCATTCAGTTACAAGGCAGATAGTCATTCTTCTCAGAAATCTGCGACACCTTGTTAGTGGAAACAACTCAGTCTTTTGATCATGCACCTAATATTTACTTGATTCTGTTCAAGAAGCTAAATTGATGTTTGATGTTAGATGATGGTATGTATATAAATTTCTGAGATTGATTTGTTTTAGAAAGATGAATAAGATCTAGTGAGAAGTGATAATGACCTGGTATATTTCAGAAGGTGAAGTCAAGTCAAGATCTGAGATGGTCTGTAGTGTATAGGCAACCCAAGATTCTCTCTCCATTTTCAAGGTTACAGTTTGTAGTGTGTTCCCAGGGACTAAAATTGCGCCTTCGATGAAAATCTGATGAACATACGCAACCTCAGATCCGGCCAGTATGGGGAGCTCTGTGAATCATAACTGGCTCAGATGAGCTGATTTTGTGCCAGCTTAAGGAGAGAATTCCAAATTCCACAGACACTCCCCTCACGGGACTATGAAGCCATCTTTTAAGAAGCTCCAAGGACAAAAGTCACTTCCATAATTATAGTCCTGGCAACTTGAGCTTTAGATCTATTTTTGCTTCATCTTGCTCTGGCATTCCCATAACCTTAAAAAAATTTCCTGCTCACACTAGAGAATTATGTTTGCTTATTTCTAACTGAAAACTTCTTGAAATTTCTGGTACTTTTTTTTTAAATGATGCAGACTGAAGTACATCCTGACCTGTAGAATGTCTTGGTGGTCTATGACTGCAGTTATGTTCACCAGCCAGGCCACACCATAGTCTTACTATAGCCTTGCTAGAAACGCTGTAGTGTATTCCCCTCAGTAACATGTGAAGCGCATAGCTCCATAAATACTCTGCATTTCCTTGCTCCCAAGTCTCTACTCTCAGGAGAGGGACTGTAGGATAATATAAAGTGTCATCTATCTCAGAGAATCTCACAGTATCTCAGAGTAACTTCTTCGGTCAGGACATTTGTGTGTACTTGCTCGTGTTGTGCTGGCGGTCTTATTGCAAAGTGCATGCACTTGGGAGCTGAGTAGATTGCATGAGTTTCCCAGGGCAGTTTCCCAGGGCAGCCAGAACAAAGTACCACCAACTGGCTGGCTTAAAACAACAGATATGTATTCTCTCACAGTTCTGGAGACTGGAAGTCTTAAGTCAAGGTCATGGCAGGATGGATTCTAGGGAAGCATCATCCCTTGCCTCTTCTCAGCTTTTGGTGATGGACCACAATCCTTGGCTTTCCTTGGTGTGTACAGGCATCTCTCCAGTCTCTGGCTCTGTTATCCCATGATTTTCTTCTTGGGTGTGTCTCTTCTTAAGAGGGCACTGGTCATTGGATTTAGGGCCCACCCTAAACTAGGACCATCTCATCTTGGCTTAATTATATCTGAAAAGACTGTTTCCAAGCAAGGTCACACTCACAAGGTCTGGGTGGCATGAAGTTTGAGGCGGATTAGCCAACCCAGTACATAAACTACTTAAAATCCTTGCTCTATTTCTTTTTTGAACTTAAACTTTCTTGTCTGTAAAATGAGATGATGATATCTACCTCTTCAGGTTGCTGTGAAGATTCAGTGAAATGATACTGCATATGACAAGCCCCAGTATGATGTATTGTAAATAGAAGGTGCCCAACCAATATAAAAAGTCTTCCTTCTCTTTCTTAGTGGCCAATGTCTGTGAAGAGCCACTTTATTCTTTTTTCCATTTATTTTTATTAGTTGGAGGCTAATTACTTTACATCATTGCAGTGGTTCTTGTCATACATTGAAATGAATTAGCCATGGATTTACACAGCTTCCTCATCCATTCGTCTGCTGATGGGCGTCTAGGTTGCTTCCATGTCCTGGCTATTATAAACAGTGCTGCGATGAACATTGGGGTGCATGTGTCTTGTGAAGAGCCACTTTATACTTTTTAAAAATTTATTTATTTTTAACTGAAGGACAATTGTTTTCCCATTTTATACATGTTTAAGGGTCTCTTTCTTTTGGACCAGAGTTGTTTGGGTTGAAAATTGAAATTGCCAGTTCCCAACATGAGGTTTCACACAATGCAGGAGAAACACAGCTTTACTTAGGATGGTCCCAAGGACACTTGGCTGCTCGTCACAGTTGTGACCATCACTGCTGTCCTGCTCCTCCCGATGTCCCAACTCATCCTCTGTCCCTTGGAGGCTCAGCTTTTGCTGTCCTTGGTGCTCTTTCAGGACAATCATTCAGTTAGTGGGAGCAGAACTGGCTTCCATTATTTATCTTCAAGCTGACTGTGGGTTGGTAACCATGCCCTAAAACTGCTGCGGGCTGAAAAGTTTCAGACCTTTGCAGACTTGAAAAGACATAATGGGAAGGCCTTGAGCTTACCTTCAGTCTATGATTCTGAAGGTAAAAGTCATTTTAGTATGTCTTTTGAACCCAGCTCTTGTTCTCTTTCCATATTTCATTAGGAAGAGTAATGAGGACTGATACTGAGATAGAGTGTAGGCTAATTGGAAGCAGCGAGGCTCAGAATCTCAGATACAATGATAATTTTGGTGGCTGAACTATTTTCTTTTCTTTATCAATTCTATGTTCTGTGTTTTATCCAGATATGGTATCAGTAAAGGACAGATAGCATAAGAGACTGAAAATTAAGAAAAATTAAAAAATTCCCAGTTAAAAAGTATGAAATCACTGACTTATGTGTTTGGAATTCTGAAGAAAGTTTGCACACTCCAATAGTAAGAAGAGGCTCTTCAGCTGTCTCTCAGCCATTGATTATTCGTCATTTTCCAGATGGGCTGAGTTGGTTGGCTCCAGGCATTGCTGGGATGACTTTATAAGACTCTGCTATGTTCTGTAGCCAAACCATGTGAGAGGAATGAGATCAAGGGGAAAGTGTGCAACAGGAGACGCTCCGGAGTTCTGTCATTAAAATGATATATGAGCATCTAGAAATAACACATATATTGTCTTGTATATTTCCTATATTTATGATTCTGCTTTTTTTTTTTTCCAGAAAGAGCACGTCAAATGATTCATGGAACCAGAATTTAACATGGAAGATGGCATTTAATGGCTCATGCAGTAGCATTTGCACATGGAAGTCCAAAAACCTGAAAGGAACATTTCAGTTCAGAGTAGTAGCTGTAAATAATCTGGGGTTTGGTGAATATAGTGGAATCAGTGATGATATTACATTAGTTGGAGGTATGTTACCATGTTTGTCTACATACTAACTTATTACACAAGGATTCAGAAATAAAGATAAGTGTATTCTTAGCATTAGCAGTAATTGAGTGACTATATAACTTCACCAAACTACCATAGAAACTATTGAACTATTCATTTTATCCGATGTGAGCTTCCTGAAACATCAATATCAACATGTCCTTTTTCTCCTCAGTAGCCATCAGCTGATCTTTAATGCCTACTGCATCAAGTCCTTGCTCCTAGATGGACTTCCAAGGTTATTTGCAGTCTAATTTTTATCCAGCCTTACTTTTCTGTTTCTGGATCTCTCATCTGCTACACAACACACCTGAAACTCGACTTTGTCTCTTCCCCAATATCTACCTCTTCCACTGGGGAGCCTCTTTTTGTTTATAATACTTTGTCTTTCTAATCACATAGGCTAGAAGTCTCAGTACCATGTTTGATTTTACTCTTTATTCAGTCACCAAGTTCTGTTGACTTTATTATCTTGACTTCTGTCCACTAAGTTCCCTTCTTCCTGTTTCGACTTTGGCTTTCCTAACTTAAGCTGCCACGCAAGCCCATGCTCTTGGCTTAACCCCACGGCTGACAGCTAATCCAGCTGAGGCAGGAGCTGGATCACCGCACCGCTCTCTGAAAATCTTGAAATGGATCTCCATTCACTGCCTTCAGAATCAAGTACAAACTTTTCTGTGGCATTTAAGGCCTTCTATGATTTGCCCTCCAACTGTGGTTCCTCTTTCCCAATATTTATCCTTATGGCTATAGCCATACCAAACTGGTAAACAAACAAACAAACAAACAAACAAACAAACTTCCATGACACCATGTTCCCTCAGGCTCCAATGCAGGCTTGCACCACCCACCACTTGCCCTTAACTGGGCTTTTCTTTCTCTCACTTTGTCAATGGAAATTCTTCTCATCCCTCAGTATCCATTGTGATGCGTAACTGCTGCTCCTTAGACACACACAGCACAATGTTCTATGAAAAACTGAAATAATTCTTATTTGTGTTATAGTTAGTTACCTGGAGAAGAATTCCACAAACCTTTTTTGAAAGAACCAAATAGTAAATATTTTAGGCTTTTCAGGCTACATTCAGTCTCTGTAGCATCTTCTTTTTTTCCTGATAATATTTTTAAAATGTAAAAATTGTTCTTGGTTCACGAATAGTACAAAATCAGGCTACTATGGCCAGATGTGGCCTGCATGCCATAGTTTGCCAAGATCTGGTCCACAAGTCTATCTTCTCAGTGAAACTAAGGGCAGGTACCATGTTTTCACCAGGTGGCGCTAGTGGCAAAGAACCCGCCTGCCAATGAGGAGATGTAAGAGATGTGGGTTTGACCCCTGGCTGGGGAAGATCCCTTGAAGGAGGGCGTGTCAACCCACTGCGGCCTCAAGAACCCCATGGGCAGAGGAGCCTGGCAGGCTGCAGTATATAGGGTCCCACAGAGTCAGACATGAGACTAAAGTGACTTAGCAAGCACACACACACACATCATGTTTTCATGTTTATATTCCTCAGTTAAATACTCATGGAATTAAATGTATATGAAGATGTTACAGAGGAAATAATGCTCCCAACTATATGATAAATGAAAGTTGAGACGTCTTTGTCCCAAATTCATTAAAAAGATTATTCATGTTTTATCAACCATTTTAAAGTAGAAGATAGGGTGGGTATATCCCAAAGATATGTTGGAAACCAGATCACTGGAAATGAAAAAAGAGAAAAAAATCCCTTGACTTTGATTACTCACAGTGTAAATATACTCTCTCCATGGATGATTTCAAACTACTGATGGTTTAACTATTGGCTTGCAAAAATTCAGTAGGCGTTAACTTTGGCATATTCTGGCACAATACTGAGACAATTGAGTTTTACTCTTTGAATTATGTTCTTTTTCTCATTTATTTTATTAGATGGTTTTTGGATACCAGAAACAAGCTTTATACTTACTATTATAATTGGAATATTTCTGGTTATTACAATCCCATTAGTCTTTGGTAAGTATAATAGATTTAAAAATACATCAATAGGTAATAAACTGCTCACTTGATTGTATTAATTGATTTATCTGAGTTTAATTTATATCTGATTAATTTTCTACATGAAATAGATTCATGAAATTCACAATGTTACCTTTGGCTATGCTTCAATCACCATTAAACCCTGTGAAATTTTTTTTCTAATCTGGGGTAACCATTTCATGAAAAATATATCCATATTTATACTTCACAGTATTCTTTAGATAAAACCACTTCCTAAAGCACCAACTTCTAGCCTTTTTTAAAACTGTATTACAGATTGGCTATATAGCAAGTGTTTGTAACTTATAGTTTGAAAAAAGTAAAAGAAAAATAACTCTGGGTATAAAAAAAGCGTAGGATTAAAGGGAGACCAGTGAAACCCTTGTTCGGGATAGTCTGGGTTTCCAGGCAGACAGCCTAGTTTAAAATGAACAGGGCCTCTTGCAGAAGATCCATTTCTGGCTTTTAGCATTCACTCTCACTTTTGGATGTCTGGTCTATTTGTTTCAAATCTCTGCTCATTTGTAAATAACTAGGAAAGTAGAGCAATTTGGCTAGATTGATAGAAAGCTAGTTATTTCTCATCGCTAATTTTATACTAATGTGTTAGTCTTAAAAGTCTTTCTTTAAACATTTAATAATGGGAAAATACAGTGACAAGCCCCCAAAAGGTGATTAAACATTAGACCTTTCAGGTCATCATACATCAGGGCTTCCTTGGTAGCTCAGTCGGTAAAGAATCTGCCTGCAATGCAGGAGACCCCAGTTTGATTCCTGGGTTGGGAAGATCTGCTGGAGAAGGGAAAGGCTACCTACTCCAGTATTCTTGGGCTTCCCTTGTGGCTCAGCTGGTAAAGAATCTGCCTGCAATGCAGGAGACCTGGGTTTGATCCCTGGGTTGGAAAGATCCCCTGTGGAAGGAAAAGGCTATCCAGTATTCTGGACTATATAGTCCATGGGATCACAAAGAGTCGGACATGACTGAGAGACTTTCACTCTCAGGTTATCATAGTGGATCATACATCCTGCTTTATTCCCATCATTCCATTATAGTCATTCCTACTAGTTTCTTTCAGTCTCCTAAAATGTCCTGATTTGGATTATAAGATACACAGTCACTCTGTCATTAACATATAAGTCTCTAACATGCTGAAGCGTTATAAAAAAGACGTGATATTTACCAGAAACCAACACTCAAGCATATATTCAGGAAATTGCAGCTTCTTTCTTTTATTAAATAAATAGGGAAAAGTTTAAGGAAAAGTTACAAACATAAAGTTGAACACTCAGGATAAAGAAAGTCAATATTTCACTCCATGTCCTATTCTTTCCCCAAACTGATTAGAGTCATAGCTATTAGCATGTTGAAACTTGAATTGAGATTTTTTTTTTTCAAACATTCCACACCAAACAGTATGTGGAATATATGATTCCTGCAGCTAACTTGGAAAGCTAAAAATTTCAGCTGACCCTGCCAGGATTTTAACCTATGGTTCCAGAGAGTCTAAGTACTGCACAGCTGATGTTTGTGCCCCTAAGCCAGCCCCTCCAGAATTACGCATATGACTGTAGTATATTTGGCAGTTGGCATATATGCTTGACTGTCTGCTTTCCTGCTGGGAAGGAGTATTACGTGAAGGATCCTGCATCTGACCTTTGCCTGCTACTTGTACATCACCGTTGTCTAAACTCATGACTCTAGTGGATGAACATGAGATAATTTCAGACAACCTATTGTGCTTTCAAGACACTTCATGGATATCTGACTTTCTCAGGACTTAAAGGTCTTTATTCTACTTGGAACTCATGCATTTTTGAGTGGAGCTAAGCTAGTTTGGTTCTTTGGCTTTTAGTAGTAGTGCATGTGGTTTTACTGGTAGGATTGTGTGAGTGCATGAGGAAAGATTGAGTTATTCAAATAATGAAAATACCAATTGTTAAAAAATTTGAATTGTGCTGAGGACTTTCATCAGTCATACTTATAAATACAAAATTGAAACAAAGATTTTAAAATAAGCATCAACAGCCTACTCTTTGGTGAGTGGTTATATCTACTGTGTAACCTGAGCCTTACACTGGGAGCAAAGGAAAATAGGCTGTAATGGTGCTCTGTGACAACCTAGAGGAGTGTGATGGGGAGTGGGAGGAAAGCTTAAGAGAGAGGGGATATATGTATATTCTGATTCATGTTGTTGTATGGCAGAAACCAACACAACATTACAAAGCAAGTATCCTGCAATTAAAAGTAAATGAAAAAATATAATTGCTGACCTCAGGAGCTTGTCTTTTAATGGGGGAGGTAAGGCATATTGGTTTCCCTTGTGACTCAGCTGGTAAAGAATCTGCCCGCAATGTGGGAGACCTGGGTTCGATCCCTGGGTTGGGAAGATCCCCTGGAGAAGGGAAAGGCTACCCACTCCAGTATTCTGGCCTGGAGAATTGTGTGGACTGTATAGAGGAGTCATAAAGAGTTGTACACGACAGAGTGACTTCCACTTTCACTTTCAAGACATATCCTGTGCAAAGAGTATAATGAGAGATGTGTTAAACAGTAATAAAAAGAAGTAGTAAATGGAATGTAGAAGACAGTGACACAGCCTTGCTGACTGAGAGCTGCAATTGGTCTTATAAGTTCAGAGATGAGATATCAACAGACGTTGCAGAGGTCTTGGATAGCATCCCTGAGGATATGGAGTCTTGAGCTGGGTCTTTAAAAATGAAAGACTGGTGGTAAGAGCATTTCAGGTTTAGAAAAATTGCATTAGCATAAGTACTTAAGATCTTTTCCTGTGTGGTCCCTCAGATGGAATTTCACTTGCGTAAAACTTCACCTGTTGGGTACAGAAGCTACTGTGGAATAAAATTCAAATTTTAATCATCATCTCGCAAAACATCCTTACTGTTTTCAACTTCTGTGACAATATTCTAGTATAGATGGGCAATCTTAATGACATAAATGTATTTTAATCTTTGAAAAATATAACATGTTTTATGGTTAAAAAAATATTATTTGCCCATTGTATGAAGAAAACAATACAAATCACCCATGATTCCACAACTAGGGAGGACCACTGCTAACACTTGATAGACTTCATTCTAATAATCTTTCCATGTATGTGAGTATGTGTATTATGAAAAACAATGAATATACACTCTGACCTCTGCATTTTAAAATAAAACATGCCATTATATAGAAAACATCCTTCAGGTCTGCTGAGGAGAATAACCTGGATGTATCTGGATTCCAAAATGAATTTGTTCACTAACAATTATAATGCAAATTTGTTTTGGTATATTTTGATTCTAGTCTATGAGTGATTTTGTGAAATAAGTTCTGATAGTAAGATACTTCCAAGTGTTTATAACAGCAATTGGAAATATATTAAGATTTATCCTGAGAAGTGAGATAAAATGTGATGTGGTATAAGTTATACATTTTCATATGGCTTTTTACCTGGATTTAGTTAGTTTTTCTATTATGGGCCTATTTTTTTTCAATCAAATTTGGTTGTTCTATCAGTAGTGTTGTTTAGTATAAACTTTAAAAATGTATTGTTAGCAGCATTTTCTAAAGAAAGAGAAAGCAATGTTTTATTTGGTAAATTATGTTTTTTTTTCTTTATAGTCTGGCATAGATTAAAGAATCAAAACACTCCCAAGAAAGGGCTGACGGTTCTCGTAAATGAAGACAAAGAATTGGCTGAACTTCGAAGTCTGGCCACTGGCGTAGGGCTGGCAAACGCCTGCTATGCGATACAGTATGTAACCTGGGCTGGCATTACGGGACACCTAGATGAAAAGTGTGTGTGCTAAGTCGCTTCAGTCATGTTGGACTCTGTGATCCTATTGTGGGCAACTCTAGAAAGAGTGTCCATGAGTGCCACATTGCCCAGGACTGTCCTGGTTTATGCCCATTATTCTGGCATATTCAAAAATAACATCCCCTTTCATTCTCAAATGTGACCTGGGATGGATGGCAAATTATGCTGTTATCCTATCCTAAGAAACATGAACAAAAATCAAATGTTTTCTAGTGTTTTAGCACATAATTTAAAAATAAGTAAAACAAAGAGATAAATGCCACGTGGAAGGGAGTAGATGGTAATATGGTTGATTCAACAAGAAAAGACGGATTCTCTTGTGTGTGCTATTAAGTCAATTTTTTTCTGTTTTCAGAAATTGTATGGTGATTGTCTACAAAACTTCTCTAAAATATATGAGGTTTTAACTTTCATTGTCATCATAATTTAAGAAAATATTTAAATGTCTCCTTTAAAAGACACTATATTATGCTCCATGCAAAAAGGATTGTATATAGTCATAGGCCTTGTTTCTAGAAATTTATTTAAAGACACAAGAACACAGAACTTGAATTAGACACAGAAGTGACCTGAATGTGCTTTTCAGAGATGACTTTTCCTTGAGAAAACATGCAGTGTATCTGATTTTCAAGATTCTCTCTTAAAAACTCAAAGCATTTTTAATGCTGATGAATTTTCTCCTCCTCATAATATTTCAAGTGAGAAAGTTGACTTTCTAAAAGTTAATCTGATGGACAAGAAATGATGTTATAGTCATTAGTAAATTTTGTATTACATGAGAGATTAGGTGTATGAAGTAAAGTAAAAGCTTTGAGCTCATAAGCCCAGCTGTATTTATTACTAATTTGCAATAGCTTTTTATACAAATAGGTGACCTGCAGAAAATACGAACTGATAATTTTAACAAAACAAACTACAGTGAAAAATTTTGACGCAATGCACTCACAGGCATGTTATCAAAAGGAAGCTGCCTAGAAGTGAAGTAACCTACTCTGTCTGGGTTTCAGAAGACAGAAGGAGTATTCTAGAAGGTGGAATAGAACTGGAATAGGGATGCAGACACGACACCATGTCACATTGAAGGGATTACCTTCAATGCGTTGCCAAGCCATGAGATTTCTCTTCCCTTTCTCCTCCTTTTTTACTCTCAAACATTAATACCCATATCCACTTATCAACCATTTTGGGAGACCAAAAACAGCGTTATTTTCCAGTACTCTTCCGACCCAAGAGGAGATTGAAAGTCTTCCTGCCTTCCCTCGGGAAAAACTGACTCTGCGTCTCTTGCTGGGAAGCGGGGCCTTTGGAGAAGTGTATGAAGGGACAGCGGTAGACATCTTAGGAGTTGGAAGTGGAGAAACCAAAGTAGCTGTGAAGGTAATGTGGGTCTTTTAACTCCTCGGCTTGTTACGTCTGCGTTATTGACAGGGACTTATTTAAACATAACACTGAGAAAAGAGGAGTGATCTTGACGGAAAAAATGACTGGGAGAAGGTAGAAACCTATCCATGGCTACGGAAATCAACAGTCCTTTTTCCATTTCCTGCATAAGTTCTGTTATTAACAGTTACCTCTGAGGTTACTAATTCACTAAGACCAGCAGAGAGTTTTTCCTTTCAAATATGCTCTAAGAGACCTGCGGTGCTTGGTACTAGAGCAGATAGTAAATATTTTAGACTTGCTAGCTAGACGGTGTCACTTCTAGCTACGCAACTCTGTCACTGCACTGTGAAATCAGCCACAGTCAACATGTGAATGAATGGCTGTGGTTGTGTTCCAGTAAAACTTTATTTATAAAAATGGAAATTTTCATTTCACATAATTTTCATGTGTTATGCAGTTCTCTTATTTTTTTATAACTTTTTTCAACCATTTCAAAATGTAACAATTATACCTCAGTAAAACTGGAAAAATAAAAATGTAACACCTATTTTCAGATTATAACTGTACAAAAATAGATGCTAGGTTAGAATTGGTCCACAGGTTGTAGTTTGCTGACCCCTGCACTACAAAATTATTCATCATAGTGCATTCAATGCAGTTAAAAGGAAGCACTGGATATACTCTTGTATTTTTATAAAACTTTCTTTTGATCAACAGATGACATATCTTTTATGTAATTGAGTAATAATATCCTGATTATTGCTTGTTAAGAATTTATTGCTTTGAGAAGTTGTCAGAGAAGTTACAAAATTCTCTCCATTTCCGGTTGATAGTATTTTAACATACTTTAATCTCAAGTGGTTTAAACAAGTGTTTCTTTTTCTTACATAACCAGATGACTTCTGGCTTTGGTGTAGTGCTGTGTCAAGCCAGAGCTAGTATATCTGAAATTCTCTTGACTTTGTACATGTGTGGTGCCTCATGGTTCTAAGATGGCTGCCAAAGAATCAAGCAGCACATCTTCATTCAGGATATGGAAAGGGGGAAGGATAGTGTTAGGTGTATATGTTCAGGAAAGTAAAAAATTTCCACACACCTCCTCAACAATTTACCCCTAACATTTCATTGATCAGGACTGAGTCATATGACCACGCTTGCTTGCAAGAAAGGCTGGGGAGTTGGAGAACAGTTTTGTAAGATAAAGGTGGCTATTACAAAACAAACATTGTCTCCATTAACTACTTAGCTCACAGAAATGCCTGCTATACTGATTCCTGGCTTGTTTTATGTTGTGCAGACTTTGAAGAAGGGCTCCACAGACCAGGAGAAGATTGAATTCCTGAAGGAGGCACATCTGATGAGGTATTAGGCAGTTCTGAAATAATTTTCCCTTGGTATGGGTAGGAAGCTTCTACATATGATTAGTGGATTTTTAACTTTCAAAATCAGCTGACATTGCAGATTATGTTCAAAATAAGTGTGGCTGAAATTTTTTTTTTTTTTCCATGGCTGAAATTTAAAAGGAAGTATGCCTGGAGTGACAAGTATTCTGTAGAATAGATTTTTATGATAGATTCTCTGAGACTGGGCACAGGCAGTCCTTAGACAATAGGTCTTCTTTTCTTTTACCTCCAATAAGAATCATGTTTTGCAAAGGATTTCTGAGGCTGATAAGCTTAATACATGCTTATGTTCTTCTAAATGTGTAATCATAAGTCAAGTAGACCAAGTAAGGGAGAGTTCTCTTAAGCACAGTGACATCAGTGAAAATATTCTTGGTCTTGGTAAACTTGTCTTCAAGTTAGAGTTAGTTGACAGTAATGAAAACGGCTCAGGTACATTTTAATAATGCTGAGGCGGTGGTCGACAGGGTCCCAGTTGCAGGTTCTGACCATTAGACGGGGGCTTATTTGCTTTGACCTGTTGAGAAAACAACTGTAGCCAAAAATTGCGTGTCTGAATTGTTTCTCTAAAACGGAGAGAATTATTTCATACTTGTCATGACCAAAAATGTAGTGTTTTAAAATGTCTTTTGAAGAAAGGTATTAGTTAAAGTTACTTTCTTTTCCCAAAACATAAAATACTTGCTATAAATGCCACTTCTTCTGAAACTACCCCTATTCTATACACATGCCTTGGCCACTAGGGGTTGCAATATTACCTCTGTAAGGCAGGCATGAAAAGGAAGCTTTCATTTATTGGAGGGAGAAAAAATCAGGGGTTGAAAGGAAACCAGAGATAAAGATTTCCTCTGTTCCACAAAGGCCTTCACGAGACTTCTGTCGCTGACATGTTATCCTGCCTGTCTGTTTCCACCTTTTAGCAAGTTTAATCATCCCAACATTCTGAAGCAGCTTGGAGTTTGTCTGCTGAACGAACCCCAGTACATTATCCTGGAACTGATGGAGGGAGGAGACCTTCTTACCTATTTGCGTAAAGCCCGGATGACGCCGGTAGGAAATGGGGTCCACACTATTGGTTTGGTAACACAGATGACCTTTAAGTTCCTCTTAAACTTCTTTTAAATTCAATAGACTGCAGTTTTGCCTGATGGTAGAAGTTTAGAAGACTTCCATCAGAAAAATTCTTGTATTTCCTTCATATCGGACTACTCAAACTAGAACCCTGGGCTAATGTCTGGCCTTTTCTGGCTGATTGAGCCTGTTTTTAGTATCTAATGGAAAAATAGGTTCCCCACCACCACCATGCTGCCAGAATCGCGTTCTCTCAAGAACAGAGAGTGTGTGGAGTTTCTCTGTACTTAATTTATCTGCCTTTATGTCACAAATTGAAATTTCCAGCCCTCATGTCTTTGCCAAGTACTAGGTTATACGTCCCTCCCCAGCTGACATTTTCCGTATGGATTTTCACAGGCATCTCAAAAACAGATCTCTTGATGTCATGCATCCTCCTTCATGCCCCCATCCAGTTCCTTACTTTCTCTTTTCCTACCACCATGCTAATAGGTCCTGTCTGCTCTGGGGTTCCTCTTACAACATGCAGCCCCAGTCCATCCTCCCCATCTCCCTGGGGCCGAGAGCAGCAGCCTGCACAGGTGGTCGCTGGAAATCCAGTGGCCTGTGTGTGTTGAATCAGGCTCGGGGGCGGGAGCGGTGTCTCAGCTCCTATGGAATTTGCTTTGGGTCTCAGATGAGAAACCCTTGAGACAAAACAAGTAACTAAAATTTAAATCTGTAGTTTTAAAATTTCTGTTTTTTATTTCCATCAAAGTACATGTGCGTGCATCCGTGCTAAGTTGCTTCAGTTGTATCCAACTCTTGCGACCCCGTGGACTGTAGCCTGCCAGGCTCCTCTGTCCATGGGATTCTCCAGGCAAGATTACTGGAGTAGGTAGCCATTACCTTCTCCAGGGAATCTTCCCAACCCCGGGATAGAACCCAGGTCTCCTGCATTGTAGGCAGTTTCTTTACCATCTGAGCCACTAGGGAAACCCATCAAAGTACACATTATATGCATAAAAAACTGAACTATGTGACAAGGTTTATGGTGAAAAATAGGTGTCTGCTCATTCCTTCTGGTGTTTACCTCTGCGTTCCTAAGTGCTCTGTGTATATGGTACACAGTGAGTTTCCAGCCTTGGGGGAAATCTATTGACTGTCTACCATAAGAGGCAAAGATTTAACCCCTTAGTCATGTACCATCCCAGCCCCATCAGCTCTACACACAGAAAAACTTCATTTTCCCCATTTTTTGACAGTAACCCCAACTTGCAGATAAATCACCTTTGCAGGTTTACATTGCTATGCCTATTTAATTATTATTTGATACTCAAATACTATGATTGTGATTTTTCTCTTGAGTAGTTTAATAAATGCCTCTTTCCCCGCATTTGCTTAGCTTTCTATATACCTAAACTTTCTGGCAGAACTGTAATCCTTTCTCAACATGGTTAAATGTATCAGGTAATCCAAGGCCTCACAATTTTTCCCCTGGACACCTCCCTCATGAGTTGATATGGGCACCTTGTCTTCTATCTCTACAGAGCTGTTATCTAGGGGTTTCCGTCATGTTTTGTTTTTTTTTTTTTTTTTTTTTATGGTTTAGTATGGTTTATTAAGCTGTGCCTTAGTAGAGACGCTGGGGCTTGCCCATGGTGCTCTTAATGTACAAGGCCCTGACGTTCTGCCAATTTTTCTTGAGCAATGACACCAGGAAGTTGACAGCTAAGTGGATGTTGTACACAAGCTCATCATCTGTCATCTTCACGTGGCCAACAGCCACTGCCAGACACAGCACCTTCTTCATCTGGAACTTGATCGTGGACTTCACTTCATCAACTTTGGCCACCATGTTCTCATTGTGGGTCAGCAAGGAAGGGAACTTGCCAGCCTTGTTCAGGCCTGGGCCCAGGATTCGGGGGATCTGCTTGATCAGAGACTCTGAAGCCAAAAAGGCATCATATTTCTTGGCCAGCTTCTTGACCAGTTTCTTATTCTTGTTGAGTTTCTTCAGCGCCTCAATGTCCATGTGGGGGATATCCACAGCCTTGGCCTCATCACAATGCTGCTGGTCCCCCAAGACACACACGGAGAACTTGGGGCGGGGAGTGGACTTAAGCCTGACGGTGCCCGAGAAGCGTTTGTCCTTCTGAGGGTCGTAGTTCTTCAGGCTGATCTGAAGCTCCACAGTCTCCAAAAACTTCCTGCGCTTGCGCTGGTTCCCGTGCAGGACTTCCCGCACCGCCTCGTAGAGGGTGTCGCGGGAGATTTTGCTGCTCATGGTTCCCTACACCGCGATAACCGGAAAAGCTCCTTCATGTTTACCCTGGTAATTTCCATGTTGGGCCCTTATTTCCTCAATTCCATGACTTTATTCTGTTTTAGAAAAGAGAAAGCACAAGAGGCAAAAATCTCCTTTTTTTCCCCCACTTTGAGGAAATGTTCTTTTTCATTCCCTCACACTGGATTAATGATTTGTTGTGTTCTAGGTTGAGAATCCCTTTTCCTCAAAACTAAATCCTCTTTGTCTTTGTTTTCAAGCTTCTACAATTGCCTTTAAAACATTTTGTGCCATTCTGATTCCTGGACAAATGATCAGTGACCTGCTTTTTTGCCCTTCTCTTTGGAAAATTTTAGGAACTTCTCCTTATCTGAGGTCCTTTTTACTCATCTGGATGCTCAGCCTGGAAAATCATGTCTTTCAGTTCTGGGATTTTTTTCATATCATTTCTTTGGCAATTAACTCTTTTTTTTCTTTATTTCTTTGTTCTAAAAATCCTATTATTTGGATAATGGTCATCTTTGTTTTATCCTTTTATTAACTATTTGCTCCTATTTTCTACTCTGTATTTTTGCTCTCAATTCTGATATATTTCCTCAACTTTGAAATAGAATTTAAAAATGTAATTTTCCACAGCTCATTCTTATATTTTGACTGCCTCTTAAAATAGTATTCTGATTTTTCCATACATGCAAAATTGTCTTTTATCTTTCCTAGGATACTAATTATAGTGTTTTTTTTTTAAAGTGTTAATTTGCTTTCTACATTGTCTTGACTTCCTTTTTGCCTCTTGTTCTGGGGTCTGTTTGTAATGTGAGAAGCTTTTCTCAAATGTGTGGTAATTTGTGGCCGGTCTGCATATTTAATAGTGAGCCCCAAGAAGCTGATTGGAGCCTATGTGTCCGAGCAGCTTCCTTTTGTTGTCAGGTGGGACCCTGCTGTTCTGTTGGGGTCCCCTAATGACAGCATCTGGATGTCTTCCCTGGCATATGCCAGTTTCCCCCAGAGAGAAGTCGGCTGGTCTCCTGCCTGGGCAGTAAATGCCTGAGCCTCAGTTCAGGGAGTTGAAGCAGGGAAGAGAGCTGGGGGTCTCACGGCTCAGAAAGAGGATGCGTGTTTAATTCCCTTCTCCGTTTTCAGCACAGAACCTCAGCATGACTGGTATCTTTGAACTTGGAGTTGTTTTGGTTCTGTGTGAATGTGTATGTGGTGGGTGGGGTGGTGGGTTGCGGTTTGCAGAGGAAAGCCTCCTGCTGCAGTGAGGGGCTCTAGTTAGCCCATAAAACAAGCTTTTAAGTATTCACCTTGCTCTTCACCCTACTTCTCACGCCTGCATTCAGAGATACTTGCTGCCTTCAATTCCAGAGTACTTATAGGGTTCTATAGTGAAAAAAAATCTCTTAATTCTTGTCTTCTTCTCTGCAGGCAACTAGCTTTCATCTCTCTGGGCTCAGCTAAATGACCACGCCTCCATCCGCTTTCCTTCCTCCAAAACGTTGGCTATCTATTCTATTCTATTCTATTCTATCTATTCTCTATCTGTTCTCGTCTGTTCACCCTCGTGAGATTATAACATTCCCTCTATAAGGTCACTTTAGTAAGGTTTGGGAAGAGACTTTAATAAGAAAGTTTCTCGGTAGATTTCTTCGTTTAGTTGTTTGTTGGAGAGAGAAGAGACAATGAATGAAGATGGGCTGAAAGAACTCACAGCGCTGCTTCTCTGTAATGAATCCTATTCAGCTAGTGTCCTAGTGGCTCAGGTGATCGGTTCTCAAGTGCACGTCAGTCCTTCTGCTGTCTTTCCTGCTGGTTACCCAGGCAGCTTCCACGCTTGTCTCCCTTGCCAGGACCCTATAGAACAGGGTGCCCTTAGGTGCTCAGTGCTAGAATTAAGGTCTGGGGTCCGCAGTAGAGCACCACAGGCTCTAAGCTCTCAACAGGCTAAGTTCATGTGGGGCCAGCCATCTCTCCACGGAGGATGCTCAGAGGCACCTTTCTACATTTGCCACAAGCATCCTTCTCCTCATCCCTGCTCTGAGACTGTTTTGTTGAGTTGAATGCCTAGGGATTGACTGCAACTGGGTTTATAAACCTTAGGCTAGTCCTTCATTTTCAGGACGCTCAGTTTCTGCATCTGTAAAATGGAATATTGAATCTAAACTTTCTCAGTTCCTTTTAACTTTGACATTCTAAGATGTACTAAGATAGAAAAAGTGAAAAAACAAAAAGAGTGAAAAAAGAAGGAAAAAAAAAGCTCTATCAAAAAAAGCTCTGTAGATACAAATCTATTGTCTATTATCTATAATACACATCCATAGCCAGATACGATTGAATTTGTGAAATTTCTGCTGCATATTTATTTCATTTAATACAACAGTGGGGGATGTGGCAGTTGCTTTCAAGGATCTCGTCATATGGTAGAATGGGTAAGTCATGTGTGAATAACTCATTTAAGGTAGAAAGAGAGAAGTTCATTAGAATGGAGTAGAGAATATTTCACTGAAGCTCAGATAAGAGAGAGAGATGTTACCTTCTGGGAAGATGCAAGAAGGTTGCATGATGGAGGTTTTCTGTTTGGGACACAATCAAGGTGTGAGAGAGAACAGTTTCTGAAACTACACCCATATGAGTTATAAAAGGCTTTGACTAGGGATAGACCAAGATAGAGATTCGATACATCTGGAGGGTTGGCAAGAGAAGACAGGTCCAGGGTAGCATCTGGAGTTAGAGAGGCCCAACATGGGGTGATGAGGTGTCCCAGTAGGTTGTCACGGGGACTAATAGGTGTAAGTTTTAGTTAGAAATCCAGGCAGGCAAGGAGCATCTGAAAATCTGTCAGCAGGGAGCAAGGCACCAGCCACCAGACTGTCATTCTGGAGGAGGATTCTCTGGGAAGAGTGTCTTCAAGAGTAGGGTAGGTTTTGCCAGGAGTAAAGCAGGGTTCTGTTCATCGAAGAACCAGTGAACCTGGCGGGACGCCCAGCAGGGACTCAGACACAAGGCTATGGGACAGGCTTCTGGTGAACCATAACAGGGCTGCAGGGAACCGATTCTTGGGAGTAAAATCGAGTCAAGTTATAAGATGCAGGTGTGGTTGAGTGGGATCATGGCAATACTGAGTCCCAGATCATCAGGATTCTTCCTACTCTGGGGACAAGACATGAGCTTGTCAGAGAAGGCAGAGGGAACAATATTTAAGAGCACCCATCTATGAGGAATCAAGGGATTTCAAGATTGTGAATCCTTTGAGATGCTCAGTGAAGGATGTTGATGGAAATCAAGCATAGGGAAGGCCTTCCAGGAATGATAGCAGGAATAATGTACAGAGGTTGAGAAATGCAGAGGAGGTATAAGGAACTACAAATGGCCCAGTGTGACTGAAGCACAGATTGTGGGAGGAGAATCTATGGAAAATAAATAGATGTGAGGAGAGGCTGGTGCAGCCTGGGGCTTCCATGGAGGCTGTGCTCAGGGATCCCTAATAGATGCTGCAGGCAGTGGGTCACAACAAAGTGAGCTAATTAAAGCACAGGGGGCTGGGGACATGGGGAGTTTGGGAAGCTTCAGATAGGGATGATAAAGGCTTGAAATAGGGTAATTTCAGGGAAATAGTAAGGAACAGACATATGAATATAGCCTCCAGGAAGGAACTTTGAATTTTTCCCACATGGTCCTAATAAAAACTCCAACTGGCTTTTTTCATGTAGAAATCATTGCAGCTAGTACAGGCTCAACTCTGTGTTTGTGCTGGTTCTCCTAGATGAGAGGAGTAATCTGTGACCTTGAAATAGAGGATTGCTAGCAATTTCTATGGGGCTCATATGGAGAACAAGCCCATTCTCATGACGGACATTATTGCGTGACATTGGGCCAATAATTAAACTATCATAATTACTACTTATGAGAGCAGCTGCTGTTTATTAAGTTCCTGGTATGTCCCACCAGAATACATATCTCATCTCAGATCCAACACAATCAGTCTTATTGTTTCTGTTTTATACATGAGAAAGTGGTTTAGTGCATTAAGCCATGTAAGCAAGTTCATGCAACTTCTAAGTAGCAGAAATAGGTTTTAACATGGTCCATTTGACTAACACCCTGAGAGTTTTCCAATGAAGATTCTACATTGCCTTGGCTTATTAAACATAGTCTTATTTTTGTATATTTTGGTGGAAAGCCTATAAATATAGCTCTTTTCCTCTTTGTTTGAATTCCTTAACCGTAACTAAAAATTCCTTTAAAACATCATGTATATGCAGTCCTATGTATGCGTGAATGCTAAGTTGCTTCAGTAGTGTCCTACTCTTTGCGATCCTATGGACACCCCAGGCTCCTCTGTTCATGGGATTCTCCAGGCAAGAATATTGGAGTGGGTTGCCATGCCCTCTTCCAGGGGATCTTCCTGACCCAGGGATCAACCTGTGTCTCTTAAACCTGTCTCCTGCATTGACAGGAGGCTTCTTTACCACTAGTGCCACCTGGGAAGCCCAGCCATATATATATATATATATATATATATATATATAGTGCAAACTGGAAAAGTGTCTGTAATTTTTCTTTTGTTTCCTACAGTTTCATGGTCCTTTACTCACCTTGGTTGACCTCGTGGACCTATGTGTAGATATTTCAAAAGGCTGCGTCTACTTGGAGCAGATGCACTTCATTCATAGGTATGGTGACTTTTTGGACACTGGGTTCTTATGAATATTGATACAATAATCACCTTAGTTTGGGTGAAAACTTACAAGATAATTAACATCTTCATTCCTTCAAAATAGCAATACTTTCTGTTAAAATCTCTCTTCTTTCCAGACCTACTAGTGTTGCTTGTATGATCTCTGGAACTTTATTGTTATTATTATTATTAAATATAACTTCTGCTATAGGGATCTGGCAGCTCGGAATTGCCTTGTCTCCATGAAAGACTATACCAGTCCATCACGGATAGTGAAAATTGGGGACTTTGGACTTGCGAGGGATGTCTATAAAAACGATTACTATAGGAAGAGAGGAGAAGGTCTGCTCCCTGTTCGGTGGATGGCTCCAGAAAGTTTGATGGATGGAATCTTCACTACTCAGTCTGATGTATGGTGAGCTTATGGGACACAGAGAAACGTGGGCAGCACCATCAAATATCAGAGCCAGAAGGGACCTCAAAAGGTCATCTTGTTTCGTATGTGAGAAAACACAAGACCATAGCGGTTGAGTGATTTTCCTCAAGCTACAGTGAAAGCTAGAGGGCAAGAAGAGGCTAGTCCTGGGTGTCAGCAGTTTATACCAATTCTTTTTGATCCTTTAGCTTACTGGTGTATGTTCAAGAGATCCATTTACTTCAACTATCTTATTACTCTTCAAAAATGTAGAGGCTATGACTAATAGGAATTGGCACCTATGAATTAGTGTCCAAGTTTGTGTCCAAATGCCTACTATTTTGGGATGTTTGGTCATTAATTTATAAGCAGAATTTAAATCATGGATCTCAAAAAGATTAGGACACGAGGAAGGTTTGGACAGCTCTTTATTATTTGAATAGAACCCTTCATTTTTGCTTGTTGACCCCAAACTTTTGATTAGAGCTGCTCAAAATGTAAAGATGTATCCAGTAACTTAAAAAGTAATTTTATTTATTTACTTATTTGGCTATGCTGGGTCTTCGTTAATGCTTGGGCTTTTCTCTAGATGCGGTGAGCGGGGGCTGCTGGAACGGGGGCTGCTGCTTCGTTGTGGTGAGCGGGCTTCTCATCGCCGTGGTTTCTCTTGTTGCGGAGCACAGGCTCTAGGGCCCTCGGGCTTCAGTAGCTGTGGCTTGTGGGCTCAGCAGCTGTGGCTCCCGGACTCAAGAGCACAGACTCAGTAGTTGTGGCACACGAGCTTAGTTACCCTGAGGCATGTGGGATCTTTCTGGACCAGGAATCAAACCCATGTCACTTGCATTGGCAGACAGATTCTTCACTAGGGAAGCCCTCCCATAACTTTTAAGCTGGACTGGACCTCTGCAAAATTGGGGATAAGATAAAGTTGACCCTCAGTGTTGCCACTTTTTATTCATGCCTTCCCTCTCCATGTTTGCTAGCACTCAAACTCACGTGGATGAAAAGCTTTCCTGCTCACCCCTCGTGTGTTTACACAATGAAGCTATGAAAGCCATAGGTAATGGAGGTCTGCAGTGCAGGTTCAGCCAGGGAGGAAGAGCAAAGTGTGTGTGTGTGTGTGTGTGTGTGTGTGTGTGTGTGTGCGCGCGCCCCTGCTAAGCCTTCCTATCACCTTTGAAGTGTTGCTAGTAGGCAGTTGCTTGTTCTACTTTTTCTTGAGGTTGACTTGCTTTTAAGTCTCCCATCTGCCTTTTATGGGGCCAATAATGCCAATCACAAAGTAGACTCTTGATAGCCCCAGGAATAATTATGTTGGAAAAACTACTGTAAACATGATGTTTGTAATAAGTATAATTAAAGCAAATTGTTTAATGTCCTTAGGTCTTTTGGAATTCTGATTTGGGAAATTTTAACTCTTGGTCATCAGCCTTACCCAGCTCATTCCAACCTTGATGTTTTAAACTATGTGCAAACAGGAGGGAGACTGGAGCCACCAAGAAATTGTCCTGATGATCTGTAAGTTAATTATGTTCCCATAAGCATCTCAAGAACAAAAACACATGGACATGCATTCTTATGCCTCATTGGTATGGTATTTTTAAATAAAAACTGGAGTTCATGTATTTGTATATCCTATTTAAAATGTAAATTGTGACATTTAACTCACTAAATATATGATAATTTCTTTTTATTTATATACATATACACACATAATACTTTACTTCAGAAGCAAAATCTAGAAGAACAGAATATGTTTATACTCTTGGTTAAGTGAATTCTAATAAGTAAACAAAAGCTCTTTGTGTGTTTGTGTATGTGTCACAAACATACTCATTTTATTTTGGAACATCTGATTTGACTAACATCTTAACCTGCATATTTAGAGGTTCTCTTAAATAGGAATATATTGTTTAAAAGCTGAATTGCTTTTGTTAATAAAGCTGATATTGGGGTATACTACTATTAAAAATATATAACAACCTATATAGGTTGTTATCTATTTATGAACTTAACATAGTGTTAAGTATTAAAGACTCTATCAAATTGGTCCTGGTAACTACTGAATTCTAATAGATTTTTGATCCTTGGAACAGTCTGTGATTTTGATCTAGTTATAAAGGGAAAACAAACCAGGTTATTTTGCTGTGTACTAATCTCCCTTCTTGTGAACAACCTTTTAGCAGAAATAGGAAGTCTTGACACTTTTTCTAAAAGGTGTCTTACCCAAGATGTTTCTGAAAGAACATAGAATCAACAAGTATAAACTCCTCTGTTTTATGTACTGCACCATGCTACAGATTGTGTGGAATACAGAGGTGTTTAAACTAGAGCCATGGCTCTTTAGCATCTCCAAATGTATTTTGAAAGAACAGACACACACATGGAGCAGTTGGATAACAAGCCAACATGTAATAACGTGCTAAACTGTGTGGTACAGAGAAGTGCAAAAGGAATTAGCAGTATGCGGATACACACCATGGCCGTCCTGCCTTGACTATGCTGTGTTATTTAGAGGATTATTCAGACTGGAGCCAAAAGATGATTAAGAACTGGGCACCTTGGTTGGATGTTCTGTGGGTGAATGTTTTTGTATTATTTAAGTCTTCCAGCTCGAAGAAGATTGGAATCACTGTCTGTTTCTGATTTAGCTTTTATAGCCTCCGGGATATTTACAGAAGGATCAGTTATACACATATCTGAACGAGTTTGGTGGCAGTGCCTAAAAATATGATTCATGATCCTTTGGGGGCAGATGGAAAAACTTCTATAAGTTAGGGGTAAGAAACTGATACAAAATTTTTAAAAAGTTAGTCTAGGGCTTGAGGGAAAAAAAAACAATCCCTAGCATTCCTACATATGAAATAACATTTGTATCAAGTAGTTAGCAAACTAATCACTGTTTTGCACCTTTTATACATCTATTGAACACTCAGAAAATTTCCCCCAAATTTCAGTTGCACAAAATTTTCCTTGTGCTGTTAGAATTCTATTTGGCACATCTTCCCCTCTAGGGGGTAATGTATCTCATCATAATTATGCATTTCTTTTTTTTTGATAGGCATTCTAGGAATCACTGAATTATACATTTTGATTAATGTGTTCATTCTGTTTGGGGAGGAAGAAGGTAGATAATTAATTGTCCTATTGTAAGGAAGAAAAATGCAATTATGTTGAACTTTGCCCTCTCCAAAGGTATCCAGAAATTTAACTAGAAGGAGGAGGAAGAAGGAGTGCTAGAAAAGTTCTAGAAAAATATTCCTGATTATGAGTGAAAAAAGATAATGTTCTATATGATTTTATCTTGAGTAATTATTCATTTGGATATATTATTGCTCTAATTTTATGAAAGTATAGTTTCCTTGAAGCCAAAATTTCCATTGCTGATTTTGAAGTTCATTTGAACATCAGTAATTAAAAAACAAACAACGCTCCACACCCTCCAAAGGCTGCCTGCTTCAGATCCCCAGGAAGGGTTAATGATGATCCATGGCCGACTAGGGAGACAAGCCCTGCTAAGGAAATGGAGCTCTCAGCGATGCCATTCATCTGGCCACGGCCTTAAGTTGTCATGATAAAGATTAACTACTCTCCTTAGAGTACAGAGGAAACTGATTTTTATTTGAAGCCTCTCTCTGAGATCACAGGCCCAGCTTAGAGGGTTGAAAGTCTGCGCTGAGCCGATCTGCACCTTCTATTCACTGCTTGAATGCTCAGCACCTGGATGCACTCTGGGTCAGGTGAGCCCGTAGATGGCTATGCTGTGCTTAGCTATTAATGGAATGTGAGAGTTCAGAGCTTTCCCGCCCTTCTCTCCATAGTCTGGGATGTATGGTGCAAAGCTCAGTCCTCAGTGTTCCCTTCAGCTTTTAGTTTGCACAACAAGCTTAACACTCTCAGGAATAAATGGGATCAAAGGGCAATCTACATCAAGTGAGAGCTCTTTGGGGTTCTCCGCCACAGGTATCACAGGGGAAACTGAAATTACTGGAGAGTCTCTCCAATGCAGGAGGTCACAATAGAGAACATGGAGGCTCACCATCTTATTTTTACTTTAAGAATATGTATAAGTGTTAGTTGCTCTGTCATGTCTGATTCTTTGGGACCCCATGGACTGTAGCCTGCCAGGCTCCTCTGTCCATGGAATTCTCCAGGCAAGAATACTGGACTGGGTGGCCTTTTCCTTCTCCAGGGGATCTTCCTGACCCAGGGATCGAATCTGGGTCTCTTGCATTGCAGGCAGATTCTTTACCATCTGAACCACCCGGGAAGCCCAAGAATATGTATATCTGGATGTTAATTGCATCTTTCCAGGATTGCATATAATGAGTAAGGGAGTTTTTCAAATCTGAATTTTATGTGATTTGCTTAAATCCCTATTAATTAACCTCCCCTTAATTCTGAAAGATGCCATGCAGTTTTCATCTGTTGAATTTCAACTGCTTTATGAATCTAAGAACTTTACTCATAAAAACTAATCATGAACATGGTTAATGAGTTTTGTGCTATTTTGGAAAAAATTGCAGCAAAGAGGAGTAAAAGGGTTGGTATGGTGAATATAAGAATTCATAGTGAAACACTTAGCTAAATGAGATATTTCAAGTACTGGAGTATCTGTTTAGAGGTAGAAACAGCCCAGGTAAATTTTAACAAAATTGAAGGACCTGTCACTTTATTTAGACTAATATGATTGAATATTTGTAACTATAACTTGGTAAAAGTATTTAATGGATGATATTGAATTGTGACAAGTGAGGAAAGACCCCTATTTGTAAGGAAAGACCCCTATACCAAAGAAATAGTTGTTAATTTACAAGATGCAAGAAATGCATTTTTGGGGGTCTGATAATATTTAAAAGCCTAGTCATTTATTCCATTGCCATTTTAATATTGTTTAAGAGCACAAGTTATGTGTGTGCTCAGTTGTGTGTGACTCTTTGAGACCCCATGGACTGTAACCTGCTCTGCTCCTCTGTCCATAGGATTTCCCAGGCAAGAATGCTGGAGTGGGTTGCCATTTCCTTCTCCAGGGGATCTTCCCAACCCAGGGATCGAACTCATGTCTCTTGTGTCCCCTCCATTTGCAGGCAGGTTCTTTACCACTACACCACCTGGGAAGCCTGAACAAGTTGTACTCTTTACTTTAAATGACTATTGCTTTATAGAGTGTGCCTCTTTTCTTAATCTAGGGCAATCGGTACTCATTTGACCCTGGACAGTGGGAGAGAAAGGTTTTATATATTTATCAGGTCTCTTGTTTTTGCCATTAGAGAGTTAAGCAGAATAATGTAAATTAAAGCCTCCATAGATGAAAAATTAGGAATATGTGCTTAAATAACTTACATAAATTAAACTTTGGCAGGAAAGTGGGAGTGGGTGAGGTGCAGAGTGGAGAAGGGGCAATTGTCTGGGTGCTTTCTGTCCTCTCTCCCTCCTTCCTTTTCCTCCTTCCTTCTCCCTCTATCATCTTCATTAAGTGTCTTGAATACTTTGTAGAATGAAGTGGATTATAAATAAAGTAAAAACTTCATAACAGAAATATGACAAGTCTTGGGAGATTCAACGTATCCTTTGGTAATATCTCAGAATTACGGCCTTGTTTTAGAAGAGGTTAGGTTTCTGGTGGCAAGTTACACTTTACTTTCTCCTTTCACCTGTGTGCTTAGCCACTCAGTTGTGCTCAGCTCTTTGTGGCCCCACAGACTGTCCACAGAATTTTCCCGGCAAGAATACTGGAGAGGGTTGTCATTTCCTACTCCACAGACTCTTCCTGGCCCAGGAATAGAACCTGCATCTCTTGCGTTTCCTACAATGGCCGGTGGATTCTTTACTGGTAACACCACTTTAGAAGTCCACCCTTAGGTTAGTCATTAAGATCCTATTTTAAATTTTGGTCTAAATTCCATGATCGAGTATCAGTTACATGATATTATTTCACAGTTAAATTGTCCTTCTTTGAGTTATTTGTTTCATTCCTATTGCTAAATGCCAAAGATTATAAAGCAATATGTAAAAGATTAGGTTCTTAGTGATGACTCCAATCTATAAAAAATACAACCATGTTCAGTACTCTATATCCAGAATGTAAATTGTAATATAAATGAAAAGTCATCAGATCAATACTGAAAAAGATCAGTATTAGTTTTTTCTATAATACTCTAATATTGAGTATTACCACTGACCTGAGGTGCTTGTCAAGAAATTAAAGAGATGGAAGTGGAGTTTTTTTGTCACATATAGATATTACTATTCAATCAATACCTATGATGGTTTCTGGGTCATTGTCCCCTAGAGATTGAATGTATTCTCACTCCATAGTCATTGCTTTAGTCCACTATCGCCTCTCACCTAGTCTTCTCTAATAACTTCCTTGCTTCCAACTTGCCCCTCTACAATCAATTCTCCATATATATCAGCTAGAGTCATCCATTAAAAATGTAAAGATCATGCCCGCTTAAAAATCTTTGACAGCTTCCACTGTGTTGCGTAAAATCTAGCGCCAAGGCTGATCTTTGACTTTGTGATCTCACCTTCCTCTCTGGCCTCATCTCTTACACTCTCCCCGTCAGGGACTGCTCTATAGCCAATACTGGCTGTCCTTCGCATCCTAAAATGTGCCAAGTTCTTTCCAAAGTTAGGAATTTACACATGCTTTTGCCTCTTCTAGTGTGTTCCCTGACTTTCATCCCCACCCAGTTCCCGTGACTAGCATCTTATTTTTCTACAGAGTTCATTGGCTTAAACGTCACCTTTGCAGAAATTCTTCTGTGAACAACTTACCAAAAATGTTCCATCTCTAATTAGAGTTCACATTTGTTTTCTCTAGTACCATTCTTAGAACTTATCATTTTTAATTATATATTTATCTGTTGATATGGTAGTGCGAACATTTTTAAATACTTCCCAGTTTATGTTTCTTTACTAGTGTTTTTCTCTCTGCCCCCAGCCAGCCTTCTAGCTCCAGAGAGTGAAAGACGAGAGCAGGTACTGACCTTTTTAGTGAGTCAGCAGACTTGGAAACAATGCTTAGAGCAGAGAGCGGGTTATGTAGAATCTTTTAGCTCCTTGTTAGTTTGCTAAATGGCAACTTTGAGCTACTAAACCTATAATTCTATATAATCTAACAAGCAAGAAGAATTGAAGAGAAACTCCACTCCTTCTACGCTCTGGACAAAGGGAGGAAGAAGAAACCTTGACAGAGGTAGGAGTGTGAAGATGTTGGATATTTAGGTCCTGAAACCTCTGGAGGCTTCAGTTCGATGAGGTGTGTCTGCTCCCCCAGACACAGGGAGCAGCTGCCTGCTTCTCCCAGCCTGGCAGGATGGCAAGGGGATCCCTGAGCAGGGACCCCCCCCGCGTTGACAGGGATACTCCGCATCCTGAGTAGGATGGACTGGCACGTCCAGACAGAGAACATGTAGCTTGAACTTCCAAGCCTCCTTTGTTTCCCTGTGTAAAGTGAACATTTTGTTGAAAGCTAGAACTTCAGCTAGGGAGCATCCTGTAGGCAGGCAGCAGAAGCTGAGCCTTGTCAGCAGATGTAGGATGTGATGCAGTCTCAGAGAGGCCCGCAGCTAGAGAGAGAAACTGGAGGACCAGTTGCGTGAGAAGGACCAAAAAGAGCAGGTAAAGAGATCATGGATTACAGATAGCAGCCGATGCCTGCAGGATGGACCAGACCAGTCGCTCCTTATGGAATTCCTCATCATTCCACTCTGAGACTAGAGAAGGCCTGGAGGGCGCAGTGGGGCCCAAAGCATCCTTCACGGGCCCAGTACAGCTCATTCAAATCCTGACAGCCCCTTGGAGAGGAAGACAGAGGGAGTAGGAATGGCCTGAAGATAAGAGACAGAGAGTTATTAGCCATAAAAGACAGGATTACCTAAAAAGGGTGGTTTTCAGAACAGACTAGTTTACAACTGGCATTGTTCTAAATGAAGTTAATTTTCTTCTGCTGGGTGGGGCTTTGAGAATCAGTTACAAAGCTAACAAAAGAGTTACCTTTCCCCCCTGTTCCTGTGAGCTGTAGCGGGTAAATTTTGCCACCCTCTTATATGTGCTTTATATATCATATGAGGTCAGGAGCCATACCGCCACGTCTCTTGATCTTGATATCCTGCTTGTATATAATGTGTCCAACAGATCTTTGCTGAATGAATGAATGAACGCTCATTCAGAGTTCTGTACAGACATGTCTTAGACAATCATTAAGGAAAAAATAATATTAAACAACCAGCTATTTATGGCCAGGGGAACCGAGCATCTTAATTAACCTGACAATGAAGAACTGGATCTGATTTCTGCCTCTGGTTCTGCCACTAAATATCTGTGTGGCTTGGAGTACCTCTTTAGATTTTGTTTCAGATATCAATGTATAAATGTAAAATTTAATCTCAGCTTCTTCAATAATTTGTATAGCTGCTGGTTTTCTTATTGGTTCGGTAAACATTTTCTAACTGTATATTTATCTGATTAATAATTGTTAAATGTAGGCCTTTCAGAAGGGAGAAGTTTTCTAATAAAGGTGGTTATATTGCCAGGAACTGTTATCTTTTTGACCCGTGGCTCAGTGGTAAAGAATCTGCCTGCAATACAGGAGACAGGGGTTTGACTCCTGGATTGGGAAGATCCTCTGGAGAAGGAAATGTATTCCTGCCTGGGAAATCCTGCTGACAGAGGCACCTGACAGGCTACAGTCTGTGGGGTTGCAAAAGAGTCAGACTTGACTGAGCAACTAAACAACAACAAGAAATTGAATAAATAAGAAACAAAAGCTTTTGTTCTGGTTCAGTTATATTAATTATGGAAAACTGGCAATAACTCAAATTCTTTTCCTTCTGAAATGACCTTACCCAGGTTATCAGTAATGGCTACCTAATGATATCCAGTCACCATTTACTTTCATGTCTTTACTCATATATCCAGGTGGAATTTAATGACCCAGTGCTGGGCTCAAGAACCTGACCAAAGACCTACCTTCCATAAAATTCAAGAACAGCTTCAGTTATTCAGAAATTTTTCCTTAAATAGCATTTCTCAATGCAGAGGAGAAGCAAACCCCGGTGGAGTCGTAAATGAAGGCTTTGAAGGTAAGTTTGATTCTTCCTCAGGATTTCTGGGTTTTCTCTCCAGTGTTAACTGAACAAGGTCAAAATGGGACGTACCTGGAAGATACCTTCCAGTGCACAGGGGGAATAATATACTGGCACCATCCTCATAAGTAAATATTTATTATCCTCCTCTTTGAAAGTAATTTTGGTTTGTTCTTTACATTAAAAAAATAATAATAATGATATGGACCCTGGATTTATAACCTAAAATAGTAAGGAAGAGAATTAACACATTAGACTATATTTTCATGAGGGCTGTTCTCTTCATTCTCCACTTCTCATGCCAGTTTGGACCCCAATGTCAGAGTTGAGTTAATTACAGTTGATGGTACGTTATCATCGTTGGTCTATGCAGGGTTTCTCTTTCATTTGTTGGTTTAGTCCCTTATATCCAGGTACCTCTGTTGTTCTATTTCCTCTCTCTACCTGTCAAGTAGCCATTTAATGTGTCTCTGTTCATTTGTATGTTTTCTACAAAATGTGTATTGTATGCATGGATACTTCAGTGCTATACACTGCTTCTTTTCTTCCTTTTTGCATTAATACTGTGTCTTTAAAAGTCATCCCTGTGTGTATATCTAATCTAGTACTTCAAACTGCCTAGTTAGTTTGCTGTGATTATTGTAGTGGGTCCTACCCTGATAAAGGCTAGTGTAATTCCACCTCAGAATTTCGGTATTAAAACACACTAGTCACTTACTTCATTTCCAAAGACAGATTTATAATACATTTGCCTAATTGGCTGCAGAAAAATAAATTTTAACATGATCCTTTCCAGCTGTTTGTAAACTCCATCCCATAATTAAAAGTTCACAGGACTTTTTTTTTTTCAAATGCAAACATTCTTGCTTAGAAATAAACCTGGCAAGATGGACCATGACTCAGAATCCCTCGGAAATTAAGCCTCTTGGCTCAGCACTGGTTGATTATACAATGGCTGATTGTTGCCCTGGAGGCATCTCTCTACAGTGGGACCTTCACCTTGAGTGATGCACTTGACGAATAATAGCAGGGAAAAATAAGAAGCCCAGGATGACTATCTGCTTGTCTTGTTTGCTGTGTTTCTAGCTACACATTTTGAGTAAATTTCGATCCATGACATGAATGGAGATAAGACTGTGATCGTGAGACTTCTTTAACATGAACAGCTAACTGACAATTTGGAAAGAGATGTGCTTTGAGCATACATCCCGATCCTCCTCAGAATAAGCCTTGTTAATAATCTCACATTGGCGCTATCTGCTATCTCATCATGAAGCTGAGCTGATGATTCTCAGAGTGTCAGTGGTAGAAGACAGAAGACTGACTGACTTTTCTTGGTGGGCACTCAGAGAAGTCAGAATGGGAAGAGGAAGGATGTCATGGAAATCGAAAAGAGAGAGACTCAGAGTCAGGAGTGGTCAAACACTGCAGAGAATAAGAGTTCTGTGGGGATATGAGGAATTTACAGTTGGCTTGTGTTATATTTCAAAATTCAGCTCTGCTCACAGAAGCCTTTCCTTCTAATGTGTACAGGCATTTGTCAAAAAAAAAAAAAAAAAAAGCAAAGGCTGCCATAATTGGTGTTAGAAGACCTGAGAGCTTAGCTTTACCTTAGGGTCTACCAGATGTCTCTATGAACCCTTACAGAAATCTTTTTACCATGTAGCATTACCTAGTTCATCTATGAAGCTGAAGTAATACCAAACTGTTCACGGTATCTATTAAGGACAAATCCCTTTTAATGAATGGCTTTTAATTGCAATACTATATAACTTTATTTCAGCACTTTTGAGTATACCACTTGTGCTATTTAACTCATTAAATCCTTACAATAGCCCTATGAAGTGGGCATTATAATATTACCATTTTACAAATGAAAAGACTGAGATTAGTAACTTGCCCATGGTCATCCTGCTGAATGGGGCTGGAGCAGAACTCTATTCTCGAGCCTTTACTCTCAGACTTCAGAGTGGCAGCTAAGGCAAGGAAACTTTGTTATCTTTAGTGTTCTGCATAGCTAGGGGTAGTGAAAGAATTTGCTACTTTTGGCCTGCTAGAAAATCTGTCCTGGTTATATCTAATTTATTGAGGCGCCAAGTTGTTGACAGACTGAATTAAAATTCTAAAGGATATTTTTAAAAAATAGAGAAGCAGACATAACGAGGCAGAATAAGGATACTGGAAGAGGTTAACAGGGAATATAATCAAACTCTAATAGTTTTTTTAGAAACAAGTCTGTGTCATGACAGATATATGATTTTGGTAATGAGAAATTCACATTCTGAAATCTACAACAAATGTAAATCGTGACCACAAGGAATGGAAAGATATATGGGGATCACTGTTTTTGATAATTGGCATGTGACCGAACAAAAGTGACAGAAAAATGAGAAGAAATAGAATGAAAAGCAGAGGTTGAATATTTGCAAAGGATAGAAATCACAGAACAGTCACTTTAAGGCAAGCTTACACTTTATTAACTTTTAAGTAAAAGAATGTGTTTAGTAATAGTTTGCTGTTTTGCAGACTGGTGGATGTATTTAACAAAGCAGTAAGAAGTCGTCTTTGTTATTGTCAGAGATATATAAGAAGACAAGTAAAGCCACTAGGAGGACTTTCTTGAAAAAAAAAAAAAAAAAGGAGGGGGGCATTAGGATTAAGGGAGCAATAATACCATGCCTATGCTATGGTCCTACTGACCTAATGGGGTGGAGAGGGGATAGAGAGAAGATTAGTAACATATCTGGGTATCTAGTAAAAATATCCTAGTGACTTCATCCAAACATTTGTGTAAACATCACCTCATCAGTCCCAGAGAGTTCTACAGGAAACAAATCTAAATGCTCCTCTGCTGTTCTAAACATAGCCAGTCAGCCGGCATATGTCTCGTCTGTAAATACCCTGTCTTACTTGGAAGTCTTTATTTTAATATTTCCCTCTTAAACCAAGGGTTGCCAAGTGCATGCTGTCTTTGCTCAGGATCTCTGCTCTAAGGACCTGCAAGTTTTCTATTTAGTAGTTTTAAAATCAAAATAAACAACCCACCCCTTCTCTCATAAATTCCTTATGCAATAAGAAGATGTACTCATTGCTGAAAGCTTGCCAGTGTCAAGTTACTAAATATTGTCCTAAGTACTATGAAGCGATGAAATAGTGAGCTAATGATTTTTCTTTGACATGTTGCAGCAGAATTTGTAAAAATAGAATTTATTTGCCTTATGGAAAAGAATTTTTTTCCAATGTAGGCAAAAACATTAAATCATGTTTCCCAATATACTATTTAATGAGCCAAAGGTATGGCAGTGAAGCAGCTGATAATGTGAGTACCTAGACCTATGTTATAAGCATATGTTTTTGTTGAAATTTAAACTCCTTTAGCCTAATTTCTTTAAGCCCTTCAGGAATATCATCCTAATTTTCTCAATAATCTGGGCCACTGGGCAGTTTAATTCTATTTCTTCCTATCATTTTTTTATATTTTTATTGCTATTTTCATGCATAGCAAGTTATTCTTATGCATTTCTCAATGGCTATCAGTACATATTGACAATAATCATAACAGTTGGAGCCTTCCATATATATTCAGCACATAGGCACTAACCAAACTCAGCATCTGATAAGCTTATTTTTATGGGGGAGATATTTTAGAAAAACTGACTATTCACATGGTTTGAAATTTACTAGAATGATATTGGAATAATGAAGAGGAACATGGGGTGATACCAAAGAGCCTGCAGTCTGGCCTCTGTGTTATTCAGCAGTGGGGGAGGGCCTGAAAAACGAAGTAAACACCTACTAAGACAGAGCAAGAACAGTGATTCATATGTTTTTATAATAAAATAAGCTTTGTAGTTCAGATTTGGAACTTGGTAATAGGTGTGTGCATGCGTGCTAAGTCACTGAGTCATGTCTGACTCTTTGGGACCCCATGGACTGTTAGCCCGCCAGGCTCCTCTCTCCACGGGGATTCTCCAGGCAAAAATACTGGAGTGGGTTGCCATGCCCTCCTCCAGGGGATCTTCCTCACCCAGGGATCAAAACCATGTCTCCTGTGTCTCCTGTATTGCAGGCAGATTCTTTATCGCTGAACCACTGGGGAAGCCCTGGTTAATAGGTAGATCCATTAAATTCCATCAGGGAATAAATAGGTGCAATGGCGCCTCGCTTCATCCTTTGAGATTCTTTAAATTTTTCGGATATTTCAATTTAAATACATTCCAAATAAATCGAGCCTGGGGTATGCACAGAAGCTTGGCAGCCAGACTGGTCTCACCCACACATTTGGACGCTCTTGTGCTGCGAGTATCATTAGGAGAAAGGGAGGGACCTTCATCTATTGACTGAAATGTTTCTGATTTGTAAAACGTGATGCTATGTGAAAGGACAGTTACATTTCTGACTGTAAACTTTTCATCCAGGCAGTAACACTCAGGGATTGGAAAACATGGATAAAAAACAAATAATTCCTACAACATACATGTGTATGTTTATCTTGTAGATTCCCTAGAATTTTGTGGAATGTTTCAGAAGCTCTGCTATTAGGTTTCAATAGAATTCTTATACGTTTCTAAGTAAGAAGGTCAGCCTTTAAGTAGAGAAAGAAAATAATATGAGCACAGTTGTGAAGAAGGTCAGATTTCCCTCTGACTATCCGTTTTTCTGCAGGCACCCCCACCTCGCCCATGTGCGCCTGGAGTCAGCCCCTCTCAAGGACTCCTGTAGGGCATGCTGCCCACCACCTCCTCTGCGCACAGCACGGCAGCTCCCCTCTGCTTGGGGAGGTCAATGTGAGCACAGACTCGAGCCAGACAGTTTGGGTTCAGATTCTAGTTGTGTGACCTTGGGCAAAGTATTACGCTTCTCTGCCCTCAATTTCCTCCTGTGTTGAATGGAGATAGTACCAGTACTTACTTAATAGGGGAAGAACGAGGTAATATAGGCATATAGCTTAGAATAGTGCCAGGTATGTAATTAGTACTCTGTAAGTATTAATAACAATTATTATGATTATATTTCATATCAGCGTTTATTGCCACCTGACATAGATTTAGTTGTCCACTAGTTTACTGTCTGTATCCCCCCATTAGAGTGTAAACCCCAAATAGCAACAACTGTGTTTCGTGCCCTGTTATAACATCAATATCTAGCACACAGCCTGGTATGCAGTATGCAGGCAATAAATATTAGCTTAATAAATGATTGACTTCCTTGATCTAAAAAAGTACATCTTTAAAGGTGGATATTTTAGCCGATGTGGCAAGATGAAAGGGTAAGCTCTTTATACAAAAAGGGCCATCCTAGGGCCACTTAATTTCTGTCGCAAAGACCAGACCTGTGTCACCTGTTATGGCAGAGTTACCTCTATGCTCTTACTGCTTCATGCATTCCTTTCTTACATAAGCACACGTAACCTTCCATCACATTTTATTACTTCTGCTCTCGTAACTAGACTGCAGCAATATCAAGGACAGGGAACATGTCTTTTATCTTTGTGTTCCCTCAGTGGTCATCATAAATGCTTACTGAACCAATGAGCAAGGCTGGTGTTCTTCTAATTTTCATAGAGCCTGGATATTACAAATACAGGAAACCAAGTAGATGCTAGAATAATGTTTGCTTTTTTTTTTCACAGATGAAGATGGTCATCCAATTTGTTTGAATTCAGATGACGTCACGTCAGTTGCTTTAATAGAAACCAAGAACCAAGAAGGGTTACACTACATGGTACTTGCTACAGAATGCAGACAAGGTGAAGCCAATTCTGAGGGTCCTCTAGGCTCTAAGGAATCTGAATCTTGTGGTCTGAGGAAAGAAGAGAAGGAACCACACGCAGACAAAGCTATGTGCCAAGAAAAACAAGTGGCTTACTGCCCTCCTGGCAAGCCTGAAGGCCTGAACTATGCCTGCCTCACTCACAGTGGGTATGGAGATGGGTTTGATTAACAGCTCTGTTTGGGACATGCAGGGTTGAGATAAACACTCCTCCCATTAAGTGGTCACTGAAAGAAAACCTAGTAGAGTGATAGGTGTTGTGGTGTGGTGGTCTGTGACTTCAAATTAACACTGGACAAAGAAACGTATAGAAGAACTGTACAATACACTTGCATTACAATCTGGATAATAGAGAAATTTACAGGATATCTGAGGAGAACGGCCCATAAAGTATCAGATTAATACTCTCCTGTATTCTAATTTTGGTTCTAAGAGCCTTTTGGTTTAGGTTGAGACAATCTCCATACCAACAGTCTAACCTTGAGCAGAATTCTGTGGTGAACCTCTGAGCATTTGTAAAGCTTAGAAAGACTAAGGAGTCTGGAAATGAAACTGTAATTCTTTGCCCTGAGGTCCCTTAGGCCACTTCCCACCCTTCAGTCTGGGCTCTAAGAGCAACATTTTAGTTAGAGAGAAGAAAAAAAAAATGTACATCCAAAGACCTGAAGGAGGAGAACAAGTGTGCTCAGGGGGCCAAGTGAACTACAGATTATCCCAAGCAGGACAAAGGAAATGACTAAATAACTCTACACATAAAGAAGGAGCCAGCACCCAAGACACGTCGTTAAGAAAGCTATTCATACAAAAAATATTGTCCTTAATGACAACTTAAAATATTTTGTTTTTTGGAGTCTTGGAACAGCAGTTTCAATTATATTGCAAAGAGGACCATGAAGATCTCTATGTCCTAAAGTTTAGCATTCCATGATCTTTGGATCATATACAAATGACTCTGTGATTTGTGTGCTATTAATATTATAGGAATTAGCTAATACAGATTTTTTATTTGCCATATCTATTTTCTACATAAAATACTTACGATTACATTTGTTACGAAATTGTCCTTAAAATTAAATACAAATGATAATATAATGTTAATTCAAGCTGTATGATTTTTAGCAACCATACAAAATAATAAGCACCTAAATGAGAACTATTAAAAAATCGCTTCAGGGAAACACTAATTTAAAGCCAGTCATTCTCTGCAGTTGCCCACTTAAATCAGAAAGCTTCAAGTCTTCTCACAACAGATCTAATGAAAGTATTCGATGTGTTATTTAGTTGCAGCATACAGAATGTTCACAAGATACAAAGAGTACTTTGATCATACTAATAACATTTGCTAAAAACTATTGTGGAAGCAGAACATGGATCCATTTTCGCTTTGGGTCATTTAGTTCATTTTTAAATTTGTCCACCGCCTGAGAACTTGCAGCGATGACAGGCTGTGTGGTAAGGTACACAAGGCGGTCAGTGTGTTTGTTCTGTGGTGAACAGCCCCCAGGTAAGGGTCCAGGAGTCATGGCCACTCTGTCACATCTAGTATCCACTGAACAGGCAGAGTATTTTCCCTCTGATCTTCGGACTTTTTAATGGGCATTGATCATTCTTTTTGTTGGCCCACCATATGATGCCCCTTCCCCTGTTGGGGAGTTCCCCTACCTTTATCTTCAGATGGGGAGCCATGTTCAATTTGCTTCCCTAAGATCTCATGCCTTTGTAGAAGGCAGGCAGTGACCCGAGCCCCCACCACTCAGACACACCCACCACAGGCTTTTAATCGAGAGAGAAGGAAGCAAAGAAACAGGGTCCCCAGTGAGTCATCCCTGGTCATGGTGGCAAGTGGAGTTAGTCTGCTCCCAGAACGCAGCGTCCAGGGCCAGGGGAGCCAGGAGAGCAAGCCTGGAGCCTGGTGCCTCCGGCAGCCGGGGCAGGCAGACTGGGGGCTTGGTTCTGCTGTCTGCTTCTAGCAGGGGTTCCCTGCTCCATAGCCTCTGCGTTCGGTTCTCAAGCCCCCCCAAGGATTCTGTGACTTATCTCCATAACCTTTTAATAAATGTTTTTCTTTTAAGTCAGCCAGAGTCAGTTTCTGTTTTTTGCAACTACGACTCTTGCTCTGCCAAAGTAATACAGAAACTTTATTTTGGAATGCACAAAGAAATGTATAGAAGAATTGAATTTTCGGTACAATACACTTGCATTACAATCTGGATAATAGAGAAATTTACAGAATAACTGAGGAGAACAGCCCATAAACTATCATGTTTTAGCTAGGATATAATTGCAAATTATTAGACTTTTAAAATTAATTCATAATAAATGATATTGGTAGAAATATTTACTACAACATAAAATAGACAGTGGCTGAAATCTCATAGGAAAATTTATTATAGATCAAAGTAACTGATAAAAATACAAATGGCTGATAATATTGAAAACTATAAGTTTATTCTGGAAAAATTAGATTTCATAATCAAGAGGGAAAAATTGGCTATGGCTAAAATCGGCACTAGTTAAAATGTGTTATTCACTAAAAATTAACAGAAGAATAAAATCTCATTGATAAATTTTTTTATCTGCAAAAATGACCTGGGAATATTGGACTTGAGAGAAATTATGGCTCCCAAAGGCAGAAGTTATAATTGGTATAAACAAAACAAAACAATACAAAGCCAATCAATAACTCTAACCTTCATTTTAAATTGTTCAAGGAAAACAAACAGTCTGTAAGAAAAATATTTAAGTTGAAAATGAAAAACATTTTTTTTAACATTGCCAGTTGAACAAAGATTTACCTGGATAGAATTAATATGTTGCTATAATTCTGCTGCAAATGCTTTATTCAAAATGTCCTGGAGAAAAGAACCTGTCCCTGATCTGAGATATTCTGTGTTGCTTACCCATTCTGGTTTTCCCTGGCCTATTGGAATGTTCTCACCTATTCTTCTCTGCTTATCTAAATTCCAGACATCCTTTAGGGTCAGCTCATATTCCAACTTGTTGGAAAGGCTTGTCTCTAACTCCTCCCCTCCTTCTTATCAGAATTACTGCTGCTCTTGTCTTTCTGTCTTGTTAACTGGCAATTATGGTATTGTGGTATGGTATTTCTACCTTATTTCTATATGTTTTATTAACTTGAATAAATTGCAAGCTTTCCAAACTCAGGTGGTGTCTTTTAACCCTTTGTATCTTTAATAGAAAGTAAGTATTCATATTTAATGGGTGAATTGGCTTTCTCATCATCCTTTTCCAACACATTTCACAAGTTTTCACTTTTAGCTCATAAAAGAGATGCCAGAAGACTGGTATATTGCTGAGAGGGACACTCATGAGGATTCTTTTGATCCTGAGCTATCTCTTGAGAGCTAGATATATTACAGAAATTTGTGGACTCCTTTGAGTTTCAGATCAGACTTAGATGAGCCTGAAATGCTGAAAGTCCTTGAAATGATGGTAAAGGATATTAAAGGAGACAAAAAATTAGTTTTCTCCCTCATTGTAAACTCAAACTTTTATCCTCAGAATGGCCTTATGGATGTGGAATAAATGTTCAGTTGTCCTTGACTTCTCTTTGACTTTCTCTCTTTGGTGAAGAGGAGCCCATTCAGTTTTGCTTTTTTACAGTTGATCAAGGCTCTGGGTTGCCCAAACTAGAAGACCTATCGCAATCCTTCTAGGCTTCTTCACAACCAGAAGAAACAAAGGGCCAACATATACAACCCAAATGCCATTGTATGTAACTCAGAATATTTCCTTTTAGGTTTCTTTATTTCTTCCTCACTGTGAGCTTATTTTTATGGCTGGGTTAGTTTCTCCTTTTTTTCCCACTTACTTTTTTGCACATGCTTTCTCTCTTATCATTAAAAATTCCTTGTTTTTCTAATAACTGCGTACAACCCCTTAGGATGGATACACTGTAGTTTAGTGTTCCCATGTAGATTCATTCATTCATAAATATTTATTGAATGTTTATTACACAGAAAGCATAGGTGCTAGGAATAGAACAATAAACAAAGCTAAGTCTCTGCCTTGATGGTGGCTACATTCTAGCATTCTAGATGGGGGAGAAGACATAGTAAAAATAAAAAATAAAAGTATGTATGACAATACATTAAAAGGATGATACATCATGATTAAGTGGGTTTTATTCCAGGGTGCAAAGATGTTTTAAACATTCACCAATGAGTCAGTGTGATATACTGCATTAACAAAATGATGGATAAACATCATATGATCATCTCAGTAGATGCAGAAAAAGCATTTGACAAAACCCCGCATCCATTTATGATTAAAAACTCTCAGCAAAGTGGGCATAGAGGGAGTGTACCTCAACATAATAAAGACAGTATATGACAAACTCTGTTAACATCATACATCCAAAGAAGAAGTAAAAGTGTCATTATTTGCAGATACTATTATATATAGAAAACTCTAAAGATTCCATAAAAAGACTATTAGAACTAATAAATTCAGTAAAGTTACAGGATACAAAGTTAATGCACAAAAGTCTGCCACCTTACTTTACATTAATAATGAACTATCAGAAAGAGAAATTAAGAAAACAATCCCATTTATGACTGCAACAAAAATAATAAATCTAATCAAGGAAGTGAATGAACTATATTTTGAAAACTATAAGACATTAATTTAAAAAATTGAAAAGACAAAAGGACCTTGATTAGCCAAAGCAATCTTGAGAAAGGAGAAGGAAGCTAGAAATGTCATGTTTCCTGATTTTATACTATATTACAAAGCTATAGAATTAAAATAGTAGTGGTATTGATATAAAACAGACACATAGATCAGTGGAAGAGGGTAGAGAAGCCAGAAATAAACACAGACATATATGGTCAATTAATTTATGACAAAATATTGAGGCAAGAATGTATAATGAGGAAAGGATTGTCCCTTCAATAAATGGCATTGGGCAAATTGGACAGTCATGTGTAAAATAATGAAACTGGATCGCTGTCTTATATACAACTCCCTTTAATTAACAAAAGTTAACTTAAAATGGATTAAAGTCTTGAATATAAGACCTGAAACCTTAAAGCTTCTAGAAGAAAATAGGTGGTCCTTGACACATGTCTTGGCAATGATGTTTTGAATCTGACACCAAAAACAAAAGCAAAATTGAACAAGTGGAACTACATCAAACTAAAAAGTTTTTGCACAGTTAAAAAGAAAAATCAACAAAATTAAAAAGCAATCTACTGGATGTGAGAAAATAATTGGAATTATAAATGCGATAAAAGGTTAATACCCCAAATACAGGTTTCCCTGGTGGCTTAGACAGGAAAGAATCTGCCTGTAATGTAGGAGACCTGGGTTTGATCCCTGGGTCGGGAAATCCCCTGGAGAAGGGAAAGGCTACCCACTCCTTACTCCAGCATTCTTGCCTGGAGATTTCCATGGACAGAGGCACCTGGTGGGCTAAATATACAAAGAATTCATATAACTTAACAGTGAGTAAAACAAAAGAAAGGACTGAGAGAAGAGTGGTAGTGGGGGTTAGCTCATGCAGGCCACTGTGTGGACTTTGACTTTTCACCTGATAGGAAGACACTGGGGAGTTCTGAACATACAAAATACGTGATTTGATTTGGTTTTAAAAGAATCATTTCAGAGCCTGTGTGAAGAAGGGGCTAAGAGTAGGGTGGGACAGAGAGGTAAAAATAGGAAAATGTTCGAAAGTTATGACGATTAACCATGAGATGATGATGGCTTGGCAGGGAAGGAGATGAAACAGCAGTAAAAGTGAAGAAAGCAGTTGATTCTATGTTTCTTCTGAAGGTTTTGCTGATGGATTAGATATGGAGTACAAGAGAAGAAAAGATTAAGATTTTCAACCTGAGCAGTGGGAGGAACGTACGTTATACCACTTATCAGATGGGAAAGACCGAAGGGGATAAGATTCATTTTGAGAGGTAACGTGGCAATTAGAGGTTCAGTTTAGGATGTGTTAGTTTTGAGAGGATTCTTAGAGACCAAAGGGGAGAGGCTGAATATGCAGTGGGAGAGAGGATTAAGAAGGGGGTTCTGGCTGGAGAGTTGTCAGTGTATCGATACGGCTGAGATTAGCCACGAGACTGGCCCAGCTCAACCAGCAGTGTGGATAAATAAGAAAGAAGTGCTGAGGGCAGAAGCCAAAGTCTTTCCATGTTGAGACATTAGGGAGCTGAGGAGAGACTAGCAAAGGAGACTGAGAAGGAGGTGTCAGAAAGGTAGCCTGAAAATCAAGAGCCCGTGGAATCCTGGAAGCCAAATAAACACAGTGTTTGAAGAAGGATGGAATCATGAACTGTGTCAAATATTACTGATGGTGATGGAAATCATATGTCTTAGTTTGCCTGGGTACTCCCAGTTTATGCCTTTGTCCTGGATTATGACCCATGTTCATTTCACACTTACAAGTGATCTTGTTCAGACCATAAATTACATGGTCCCCTGTGGTGGACACGGAGGGGTGCTGTTTAGATCATCTTTCAAGAGAACCTGCCTTGGGGAGCATGGCTAATTGACACATCCAGCTGCTGTACCTTCAGATCCACTGTGACATTCATACCAGGTCATGCTTCCCTTGGGCCATTTCCAGCCACTGACTAAACACAGGGGAGTACCAGAAATGGGCCATTCCTGCCTGATCTGGACATTATTTGGCCACTGTCAGGCCATTCTGGCTTGGGGACTGACACCCTCTTGGTCTGGCTGACACCTACCCAGAACAGCACTGTAGCCCCAGGCTCTCCTCATCCAATCCTCCTGCCTCTCTCTTCTTAACAGGTTTCAGGCCCGAATTGCAATCTGAAGGTTTTTTGTTTTTTTTTATTAAACTTACTCTTTCTCTCCCTCCCTTTATCTTTCCCAGGCATTTCTCCTAACAAATCATTTGCGCATCTATTCCTCTTGGCATCTGTTTCTTTGAGGCCCTTAACTAATATAGATAGTAGCAGGAACAGCCAAATAAAACAGGTAGCAAGATGGGGTTTGGGGTCTGGCTCACTCATCACTCAGGGGGCTAAAAGGGCCTCATCATAAGGGATATGTGGGACATGGACAGTCCTGGGCACAGTGGGGGCCCCAAGGGCTAAGGGCTTCACCAGTGGTGAATAAGAAAAATGTCCCATGGAGGGGAACCTCTGCCAATGGGATGATTCAGGTCTTTGAAAGACACAGAGGTGACAATGTCTATAAGAACAGAGGAAGTGGTTATTTCTTACTAAGATGCCCTGATTCCCTGAAGAAGGATTATGAGAAATCAAGGTTATGTAACAAATAAAGGCTAAGTATGTGGGCTAGAGGGTGTCTCTGATAGGTTAAAAAGAGGCGTTTATAAACTGTCAAGTAAAAGCAGACACAAGTAAGGGGCAAGCCTTGCATGAGAGGTGGGACCCATCGGTCAAGGTATGTTGAGAAAACCTAAGACCCTGAAACTCTGGACTGGGGCAAGAGACTGGATGGGTGCCCCTAAGGAATTTGGCTCAGCAGACCGCTCTCACCCCTCCCTGCTTGTCAAGATGGCTCACAGCTCTAATGTAAGAGCCAGCACTCTGTACTGGAACATACTCCTGTGGCCTCTCCACAGCAAGAAACATGGGCCCCCTCACGAGCTGGGCACACCTACCCTGGACACGGCCAGCTTGATAACCAGGTTAAATCCCAGACCAGCCTGGCTTGGGATAGACTGGATCTGATAAAGGAGGAAGAGACTACATCTCAAAGGAACTACACAAATTAGCTAACACCTAATGGTAACCAGGCATCCCTGGCAGCTTAGCGGTGAAGAATCTGCCTGCCAATGCAGGGGACACAGGTTTGATGCCGGGTCGGGGAAGATCCCACATGCTTGCCACGGGGCAACTAAGCCCATGTGCCACAACTAATGAAGCCCGTGTGCCTAGAGCCCATGCTCCACAATGAGAAGCCACCGCAATGAGAAATCTGAGCACTGCAATGAAGAGCAGCCCCCACTCGCAGAAACTAGAGAAAACCTGTACAAAGCAATGAAGACCCAGTGCAGCCAAATAGGTAAACAAATAATTTTTTAAAATGTGTAATAGGGATTGACATACTTGGTGGTTGGCTCACTGCATCTGTGACCTGTGGGGTGAAATGTATCATGGTGTGTGGAAGGCCAAACAGACATCTCTGGAA